CGACTCAAAAGGATAGACTCGGTGGGTACACAGGTGACTTTTGAGTCGACTCAAAAGGATAGAGTCGGTGGGTACACAGGTGACTTTTCAGTCGACTCAAAAGGATAGAGTCGGTGGGTACACAGGTGACTTTTGAGTCGACTCAAAAGGATAGAGTCGGTGGGTACACAGGTGACTTTTGAGTCGACTCAAAAGGATAGACTCGGTGGGTACACAGGTGACTTTTGAGTCGACTCAAAAGAATAGAGTCGGTGGGTACACAGGTGACTTTTCAGTCGACTCAAAAGGATAGAGTCGGTGGGTACACAGGTGACTTTTGAGTCGACTCAAAAGGATAGATTCGGTGGGTACACAGGTGACTTCTGAGTCGACTCAAAAGGATAGAGTCGGTGGGTACACAGGTGACTTTTGAGTCGACTCAAAAGGATAGACTCGGTGGGTACACATGTGACTTTTGAGTCGACTCAAAAGGATAGAGTCGGTGGGTACACAGGTGACTTTTCAGTCGACTCAAAAGGATAGAGTCGGTGGGTACACAGGTGACTTTTGAGTCGACTCAAAATGATAGACTCGGTGGGTACACAGGTGACTTTTGAGTCGACTCAAAAGGATAGAGTCGGTGGGTACACAGGTGACTTTTGAGTCGACTCAAAAGGATAGAGTCGGTGGGTACACAGGTGACTTTTGAGTCGACTCAAAAGGATAGAGTCGGTGGGTACACAGGTGACTTTTGAGTCGACTCAAAAGGATAGAGTCGGTGGGTACACAGGTGACTTCTGAGTCGACTCAAAAGGATAGAGTCGGTGGGTACACAGGTGACTTTTGAGTCGACTCAAAAGGATAGACTCGGTGGGTACACATGTGACTTTTGAGTCGACTCAAAAGGATAGAGTCGGTGGGTACACAGGTGACTTTTCAGTCGACTCAAAAGGATAGAGTCGGTGGGTACACAGGTGACTTTTGAGTCGACTCAAAAGGATAGAGTCGGTGGGTACACAGGTGACTTCTGAGTCGACTCAAAAGGATAGAGTCGGTGGGTACACAGGTGACTTTTGAGTCGACTCAAAAGGATAGAGTCGGTGGGTACACAGGTGACTTTTGAGTCGACTCAAAAGGATAGAGTCGGTGGGTACACAGGTGACTTTTGAGTCGACTCAAAAGGATAGAGTCGGTGGGTACACAGGTGACTTTTGAGTCGACTCAAAAGGATAGAGTCGGTGGGTACACAGGTGACTTTTGAGTCGACTCAAAAGGATAGAGTCGGTGGGTACACAGGTGACTTTTGAGTCGACTCAAAAGGATAGAGTCGGTGGGTACACATGGCGCAACGCTGTGAGGAGCATTTTGCCGTGCCGAGCAGACCTTCTCAAAAACCAGACCTTCCCTCGTTTCGCCCTCCCCCAACCTTTTCAGACTCCAAAGACCGAGTGGGTGGGTACACATGGCGCGACACTGTGAAGGATGTTGTTGCTCTGCACAAGCCGAGCTGGCCGGCTTGCCAAGACGGTGAGACGCGTGTATAGCAATTACATGGTTACCACATGGCGCAACGCTGCGAAGAGCATTGTTGCTCTGCACAAGCCGAGCTGGCCGGTTTGCCAAGACGGTGAGATGCGAAAGGGGGAGAAGGGCCGAGAAGGGGAGAGAAGGGGAGAGAAGGTGGGGAGAAAGAGAAGTGGGAGGGGGGAAGGAGTCGGAGACTAGCATTGTTGCTCTGCACAAGCCGAGCTGGCCGGCTTTCCAAGATGGTGAGATGGGATGCATTGCTTTAAGACATGCATGGATAACGGTTACATTGTTCATACGCTGTGAAGTGTGCACTGCGGCTTGGCACAAGCCCAGCTGGCCTGCCTGCCAAGATAGTGAGATGCGTGTATAGTGGTTGCATGGTTACCACATGGTGCAACGCTGTGAAGTGCACTGCGGCTTTGCACAAGCCCAACTGGCATGCTTATATGAGAATGGGGGAGAAGGGGAGGGGGAAGGGAGGAAGGGGGGAGAGGGTGAAGGAGGCAAAGGGGTTAAAGAACTGACAAGCTTTCTTTGCCCTATGGCTTACTGTGTTCGACACAGGTTGCGGCCTGCCCAGGCCCCTAGATTTCAGCCTTTTTCAGCCTACCCGAAAACCAATCTAGGGGCCTGCCTGCCTCTAAGGGGTGTCAATGCCGGCACAGCAAGTGCCCGTGCAGCGCAACGAGGTGACTTTTGAGTCGACTCAAAAGTGCCCATGCGGTGCAACGCTGTGAACGGCATTAAGGCTTTGCAATCAACCTCTCCCTCTTTTGGGTTTCTAACTGGAGAAGTTTCAAAAGCCAACCACCCCGTTCTCTCCGTCACACCGTTTCGCTGGAAACCTGCTGTCCCTCGTTCTCCCACGCCTCTTTATGCAACACGCAATCCTCTCCTCCTCCCTCTCTTCCCAACCCTTACTCCTTTCTCCCCCCCAGCTCTACCAGAGGCCGACCAATGGAAGTGCTTCTTCCCACAGTACACTCTACAAGATGTTACAACCCCCATATTTATTTTCCACACGTTTTTCGACATTCTAGCCTCCCAGATCGGCGGGCTGCTACCGTGGAACAATACGTATGCATGGGCGTGCTCAGGTGAAGTTATGCGGATAAAGGATGTAACAGGGATTATACAGAGAAAGGAGTGGAGCAAGATACAGTGGAAGACGAACTACTGTACAGCCGGGGAGCGAGATGCGTTGTTTGTTGCTGCGTCTGTTCTTAATGACGAGTTGGAGAGCTTTATAGAAAGCGGGGATACTGTAGTTGCGTTTGTGCCAGCTGGAGTTGGACATTCAGTATTATATTCTAACACTTGGATGAATCCTTGGATTCGGGGAATGTCTGTAGGGTCCCAAATAGTAAAGTGGTTGGCTGGTAGAACAACTGATAGATTTGTCCATATGTAGCCAACTAATGGATATCATAGCTGTAATGTAATGTTATACGGCAGAGCATGCCTGCATGTTGCAAGCGGTTGGGGCAGCAGGGGCGTTACCATCCCACGGGGGACTTACTCAAAATCTTGCTCAGGGTTGATCGCAGGGTGATGCACAGCGGAAATGATTTGTGTAACAAAAAATCATTTTCCTTACGTCGCGCCCCATGCTTACCGCCGCGTACACGACAGTTCCCGCCAACTGCACCCTACAGTAAAATGTTACCACTCTTGACACTCGCCTCGACCACTATTCCCGCCGCTGTTCACATCGCGACCCAACCACACGGTTCGGTTGGCAACCCGCGCTCCGGTCCTCCGCTTCGACAATTCCCAACCTCGGCGCCAGGCCCGTCGCGCACCCCACGGGCCAGGCCATCGTAAGAGCGAGTGCCCAGAGGAGCTAAGGCGTCGCGAAGCAGAGCACGGAAGGGAGTTAGGAAAGCAGGGAAACGCCAGCAGTTAGAAGAGTACGTGCCAGACCTTCAGAAGTCAGGAATTTTACCTGGATTTTAGGTTTGAACGCTGAATTTCAGGGTGTTTGTATGACCCGAGGCTGATCAACAAGTGTAAATTTTTATCCTTCCTTTGATGTTTCAGCTTGTGTTTGCGTACTTAACCTTTACCTAAGGGCCCTGATCCAAATCCAACTGTAGCGAGTCCATCCTTGTTGGCGAAAATGCCTAGATTCATGGAATCTGGCACGCCAAAAACTTTCCGCCGTCACCGTCAATCACGGGACCCTGCATCTTTACGGTACCTGGTGTCGCACCTGACTTGATGTGTTGTCGCCATCAACATTCAAGCTACCAAGGGATTGGACAGTTTCGGGTAAACACACGCCGTACCCAATCACGTGCCCAGGACTGGCATGGCAAGATTCCACCGCATCACGGTCGTAAACCATGTCGCAGTGGAAACGTGCCAGAAACATGGGCACATCCGTTTTGGTGGATGGCCCATCGAGGACCATCCCTCCCTTGCCTGCATGGCGATGTGGGGTGGGGTGTGTCCCTCCCTTCCTTTCCCATCTCCTTCTCCCCTTTCTTGCAATGCGGGAGCTTCAATTTTCTTTCCATTTTCTCAGCTGACTCTCCCATCAGTCTCCTCTCGACCTTTCTGCCGCCATGGCTGCACCCGTTGATGGAGATGCTGCCGATGATAAGCTTTACGACATCGAGCTCGAGATAGCACACACGGGTCTAGACCTGTTGCTGTGTTCGCTGTCGAAAACAAACACTACAGCGCGTAGCAAGAATCAAGCCTTTATATCAGCAACAGCTATTCCTACCGTAACTTCCGCCCCGCCATTGGCGACCCAGTCAGAGATAGACTGACGCCACCCACTACTGAATCTGTACCGATGACAGTACAGATTTCTCCGTCAACACTAGCAGAGCAGTCCCCGGCTTCACGCCTCGTTCCTCCGCCATCTCAACCACCAGCTCCTGCGGAGGCGTCTCCGGCATCTCACCCCGTTCCACTGGCGTCTCAATCGGCATCTCCTGACGTGGCGTCGCCGGCTTCACGCATCGTTCCAACGACGTCTCAACCACCAGCAGCTGCCTTGGCGCCCCTAGCTTCTCGCCTAGTACAGTTAAGGCTCAACAGAATCCGCCCCCAATCAACGCCTCCAACAATACCCACCGGCGTCCCGCTTCCACCTGTACCTGAAGCTGCTGCCTCGAACTAGCAGTCTGCATCGAATGAGAAGCTATACACCCTTGCTCTTGAAAGATTCAAAACCCGGTGGCAAGGTCATTTTGCATGGTTACAACTTGTAAGAGCAAAAGTGGTCTCCCTGCTTTCATGTGCTCAGTGTGCCTAGAACATATAGGACTGGCGGGCAAGACCGGGAGGGGCAGCCAAGGAGCAGTCGACGTTTAGAAGCAGGCCTTCACGCGACACGCGGGCACGAACAAGCACAAGCTGGCGATCCAACAGCGGGATGTGCTCGTTGGAGCGACGAGGCAGCCGCAGATTGACGAGCATATGCTCTCGCAAGACGGCGAGAAGGCCCGGGTCATCGCGCCGTTGGACGCTCTTCTGTTCGTCAGCAAAGAAGACGCACCCATGGAGCTTTAGGTGGGATTGGTTTGGTACATTTCCGAGAAAGGAGTTGTCGGCTTACTGAAGAAATGATACAGGACCTATTATACCACATAAAATACCTGCTAAATTTATTTTGTCAGTCCTATTTCATTTTGTCTAGTATTGAAACATCTGCTAATTTCTACTTCACTGCTTGTATGTCAGGTACGGATTTGGCGAGCCGACTCAAGCTACAGCAACGTGGCTACAGACAACCCAACTCTAGAAGATTCTCGTCAGTCCCTACATCGGAATATGGTGTGATGAGAGCACCGACCGCTGCAGAGGCAAGCACCTGACTGTCGACAAGGCGGATGCAGCGCCATTGCAGTTGCTGCTGTCCCACTTGCAGGCGTGTGGCGTGGATCTGCGGCACATCGTGGGCATCAGCACAGATGGTGTGTCTGTGATGATGGGCCCGGAGGCGGGCTTGGTGGCACGGCTGCGTCTTCGCATACCTCACCTGGTCTCCATTAAAGCTTTCGTATACATTTGACAGAAGGGGTTAAAAAACTTTTGAAATTTGAAAGTTTGCCTGTGAGACCGTGAGGTGACTTCTTAAACCCAAAACCTGGATGACAAATGTATACTTCAGCTTTAACTGGAATGCCCACCGGTAAGTGGAAATCGCTATTCGGCAAAGTGATTTTGGTATTTTTAATTTTATTACTAACATACTGTATCATTGTGTGTGTGTTTTGCAGGGAGGCCCTTGCTGCAAAGGATGCATCAGAGAGCTTGTCCGTCTTCGACATGATTGATAGCACCATCCGTGCTATTGCAGAGCACATGGGCCATTCTGGTCCATGATATCAGTGTTTCATGGACCTCAAGGAGGTTTTCACTTAAACCTTCACAACAGTTATCATGGAAGGAACGACTGCTAGACTTCACCCCTATGCACCTCTACGCGACCTTGCATGTGGATGAGGCAGTCTACGACTTCTTGATTCGTACATACGCAAGATACTTTGAATGCAGGGGTATATATGGGCTAAACCACCGAGTTCGCATTGATATTGTGCTAACACGCTTTGGTGGTGGTTTAACCTACCGCCAACTCGAGATGATGTTTGGCTTGTCCCACACCCATGTCCGTCGTATTGTTCGTGATTACATTCGTTTCAGCAAGGAAGTTTTCACGCCGAAGAAGGTTACTTGGCCAGACGAGGAAGAGCTTGTCATGTTTGAATATGATTTTCTTTTGACAAGCGGGACTCCGGGGATCGTGGGAGCTTTGGACGGCACGTACATTCCCACTCGCGGGTGGGGTGTTTATAAGGAAGACTGAAAAAACAGAAAAGGTCCATTCTGTTATCCTACAGCTGATAATCGACAGCACCGGAATCATATGGGATTTCAACGTGGGATGGCCCGGTTAGGTAAACGATGCACGCGTTTTGCAAACTCTAAGGCAAGTGCACACATTGCAAACGTGGGGATCGGCGATTACTGCCTAGTTAGTGATGCTGCCTACGGCCTAGAAAAAACACGTACGTCCCGTTCCGCGCGTGCCCGGGTCTCCTCGTGCCTGATGCCTAGGCCGTCTGGAACAAGCAGCTATCACGCGCTCGTATGATTGTCAAGCAAGTGAATGGACGCTTGAAGACGAAGTGCCTTGATACGCGCATGGAGTGCCACAAGCGCAACGTCCATGACACTATGGCGGCGGTTTTCACACTACACAACACCGAAATGCTAATCGAAAGACACCCTTTCATTGAGCCTCCCCGTCCTCGCAACCGTTGGTGGCTCGACGGGCCAGCCGCCATGCTCACGCACACGGGCGAGGAGATCGAGTACTTCACTTCGGCTTGTCGCCAGAGTCGTCTGACTGCTTTCCTATACGCTTTGTGGCGTCTGGGTCATGCGTATCAGGCGCGTCCGCTGCTCGGGTACGTTCAAAGAATTCGCGGATGCCCGTCTGAATCACTTGGGTTAGATTGTCACACATGTGATCACATACTGCAAAGAGAAGAGACCTGCGTGAACCACCGGTACTATCCTCATTGTCGTTCTCCCCCCTCCCCAACTCTCGCCCAGACGCGGATCTCGCCCAGCCAGGAATGGGGATGGGGCACAGTGAAACACCTGAATGTGTACGGAGTGATTGCGGCGTCAGAGTGGCGAGCCCGCAAAGACTGGTTTTCGCACGAGTCGAAGTAGGGCTCTGGGGACCTGAAGAACAACGTGGCGGTGTGCCCTCCAGTTGCACACGATTGCCGAAACTTGCCTCACGATTACGCATCGTTCGGGGAAGTGGTGTGCTCGGTGCACTGCCGCCCATTATAGTGTCGCACTTGCTTCCTGCAATGTGCAACACAGCTTGTTATTGGCCGCATTGTGTATTCCAATTTGTTTGATGTAGGATAAAAATAAGTAACGGTTGGACCATGAGCTCATTCTTGTTTGAGGGTTGTGCCTGGCGCGCTCTCAGCCGTTGTCTCCGGCTGCGTCGGTTCGCTTGTCTGGAAAGCTCATGGAACATATCATACCAGGTCGGGACACCTCTAATGCGCTCCCGCCCATACCTGTTTATCTGCCGCTACCACTTATAGGAGGCTTGCATGCGACGGAGCTTTGCGCGGATGGCTTGATGCTTGTGGCGCGGCTCGAGATAGCGGGATACGAGCTTCTTCTAGAGGGCCGCGTCTTGACTCTGGCCCTGGCAGCCACGCATGTTCTTCATCAGTTTCTTGAGGTCATACCTCACCTTTGCGAGCTGAAAGTCTTCAGTTTAGGTCCATCGTGGCTTCACGCTCCTCTTCCCACCGCCAAAGGTCTTCCTAGTATCACGGGTGACGGTGTTTGAAGTCTCGACTTCTATATCGTCCGTGGAGTCATTGTCATCGTCGTTAGCATTCCACTCATTTGGCGCCTCCGCGCCGACGCCGTAATCGTCGATTGCATTATGCGACACACTGGGATCAGAAAACTGAGATGCAAACCACTTTCGTGGACGAAGGTGGGGGGCCGTATGACTTCCAGCTCCGGTACCACGACTGCTAGGAGCGACACCAGTTGAACCGCGGCATCTCACTGGCGTGCGGGGCAAGGGGCCAGATGGGTGAGAAGGATCACCTAGAGTACTGGTCGACGGGGGCTGATCGCCCGTCTGCGACACTTTGGTGCCTTGCGTCCGAATGTCCTGGTTGTCCGAAGCAGAAACATCGTCGTTGTGTTGGTCACCGTTGGAACCATCAGCTATAGCTTTCCCTTTGTCGGAAGAGGAAGTCATGCTTGTAGTACTACATATTCTGCATGCGTGGTATGCATGAGTTTATACGAATGCATTGGGAGTAGTCCATGTTGGTAGTAGTCAAGGAATTTGATGTTCGAGTCGCAGACACAATTGCGAACTCATTGGTGGTGTCACTAGGTGTGGTCTGGTCTATGGCTTGCATCGTACATGTTGCAAAAACTGATCGCGGTCAATACGCGACCAGAGGAGCACGGCAGAGATGTTTTCGTGACTGAGCGTGGTCGCACGTACGATCACTTGGTTTGGGCGTTTGACGGCTTGGTCGTTATCGTATTCATTTGGCGAGAAAATCTCGCATCCGTCGTCATCGTGTTACACCAGGCCCTCAGATTGGTTTCAGGGTATGCTGATGGATCAGCGTGCCCTGCCCAACGTCGTGACCAAGTCAGCGTTGGGGGTTTAGTTAATGCTGATTTTGTCAGGGTAAAATTTCATGGTTAACTGAATTATCAGTGTAAACATTGTACTCGAATTTTATGACCAGTACTACTGGCGTAGCTGTCTAAGGTTTCGCCCTGTTATCTGAAAGGTCTTGGATTCAATTCCCGTGTGTGAGTTGTTGTGAAGTGTATGGCGGGGATTCAGGTCCTGAAACCTCATGCATGCGCACCCTCCCGCAGGACATTTTGGTAAGTCCGAATCAGTGTGACTCGGTACACTATACTGATGCGTCAGTGTAACTGGTCCACCTGTACACTAATTCGTCAGGGTAGTCCTATACGTTAAACTGAAAAAACAGTGCAAACATAAAGGATATACTGAAATTTCAGGGAAAACGAAAATCACAGCTACAAAATCAGCCTAATCAGCGTGTTTTACGCTGATATCTGAGGGCCTGTGTTACACCCTTCGCATTCGCATGCCCCAACCAAATGTTTGAATTTTTGGTTTGGTCGCAGCAGTGTTACACGCCCTCACTTTCAGTTTTCCCCATTGCAACGCATGTACTTGAAACACGAAAGAAACTCATTTTCCTTACTTCACACCATCATCATCCAGATGAATAGATTTAGTTTGCTGATTATAAGGAAGCACTGTATATTCCCGTGTCTGTACTGAATCGCGTACAGCTCGAACCCTTGGTTCGGCACAGCCAGATTTCCACGAATTCGAGGTCCCCGGCCTCGCATTCTGACTTCGGGCAACCGAACCTCTTTTCACCTCAAGCTAGTTTGTAACCCGGTGTTGGAAGCGAATAGACACGAAAACCAAATGGTGCAGGAGAGCTTGGGTGGGTGTGTCAATTTTTTCCAAAACCCACGGAGGAACTTCGGGAGAGTGTCGGTGGAGTCCACCGAACCTCCGAAGGTGCGTTGGTTCGGAACCTAAGGCTTCTGAGGGCGCATTCGGGTCTCCGGTCCGGACCTCAGTCAAGCGCTCTAACGGTCCTCGCTCCGAGGGTCTTCCGGCGTTCCAGATATCCCCACCCCCAAGTGCCTGACGGGTTTGTGTCCTTCCAGTCTCCAGTTAGGTAGTTCCCTGGATCACCGAGTGCGCTCTATCCAGACCAGAAACCAGCGCGACCCGCCGAAACATCACGTTCGATAAGAAACTATCAGAAGACGGCTCACGTCGCCTGCACTAGTCTTGTACCGTACCTGCTGCGACAATGCTTCTGGAAGCTACGTAGTAAGGAAAGTAAGCTTTCTTCGTGGTAGCGACGTAGACTCGAAACTCCTACTAATGATTCGCAGCGGTATCTGCTTAGCGTCGCGCCTACAGCGATCATAGGCAGCACGCGCGTTGCTGGCCAGAGATAATGAATACGATTAACAAGTTGCGAGCACGCACTACAACGAATAACGGTACTGCTTTTAAAAGATATGATTTCACCGGGAACAGCAGTAGATTTGACATGCTCCACCATATGTCGGCATCTAAACCATCCAACAGAACGACAAGCACTTTTCGAAATAAAGCCGCCTGGAAAATCGATTTCAGCGGCGTCGCGGTGTTCATGCAGTATTTGCTGTCTCTACTCGCGGGAAACCCGCCTCCGCCGCCGCCGGCGCCGCCGGGCACGCCGCGGCTCGTTCTGCTGGCGAATAACTCGTTCGACGCGAAATGCCTCGACGGGAGGTAAGGTGGGGGATAAGAAGGAAAAGGAGGGAGATGGGGGGGGGAGGGAGGGAGGGAGATGGGGGGGGAAGGGAGGGAGGGAGAGAGGGGAGGAGGGGGGGGGGGGGGGGGGGGGGGGGAGGGGGCGCAAGAAGGGTGATGTGGGGCGACGGGGTTGAGGGGGGATGGGGGGAACTTCCCCCCATCCCCTTTGAAAGGGGGCGAAAAATATTAAGTCAGTTTAGTATGCTGGACGCGAAGTGCCTCGACGGGAAGTAAGGCGGGGGAAATGAATCGGAGGGAGAGCGGCGGGGAGGGGAGAACGGGGAGGGGGGAGTGGGAAGGCGGGAGGGGGGAGGGGGACGGGGAAAGGGGCTGAAAAAGCGAATCGATGAGAGAATGCCTGGGCGGGAGGAAGGGCGTCTATGCTATTCCCCGTGAGGTTGACGGGGGGACGACATCTGGGCTGCGGAGGCCTTACTTCCCACGTGCGGAGGCCAACTCAGTAGGCACGTGCCAAGTCAGTAGGCACGTGCCAACTCAGTAGGCACGTGCCAACTCAGTAGGCACGTGCCAACTCAGTAGGCACGTGCCAACTCAGTAGGCACGTGTGTGTAAACGCAGCGAGACTAACCCCTCTGTTGGGGTGAGTGGAAGGGACTTGGTTAGTTGAAAGAGTTAAAGCGTTTCACGTCTCAAACACTTGAGAGAGAAGCGTTCTTTCAAACTCACGCATTTCACGTGGCGATTCTTCTGAGCATACAAATAAATAAAGTCCTCGGGAGATAATGGCACCAAGGTAATGCTCGTCTTATATCCCCCACCCCTCCCCTCCCCCGGTCCCCGTCCCCCCACCCCTGGCCCCCTCCCCACTGCCTTCTCCCCCTTTCCACTGCCCTTTCAACTGCCCTTTCCACTGCCCTCTCCGCCCTCCCCGCCCTCCCCACTGCCCTCTCCCCCCTCCCCACTGCCCTCTACCCCCTCCCCATTGCCCTCTGCCCTCTCCCCCCTCCCCTCTTCCCCCCCCCTCCTCCTCCCGTTCCCTGCTTCCCAGCCCCCCAGGGTACTATTTCCGGGCGGGCACGGGGGGCGGCAAGAACATGTGGCACATCTACCTGCCGGGCGGCGCGTGGTGTGGCACTGCCGCCCAGTGCGTGGCGAGGAGCAAGACGCTTTACGGGACCAGCACGCTCTATCCCACCGACCCTGAACCTAATGCGGTATGCCTTTGTCTCCTTAAAGCCCTTAAAGCCCTTAAAGCCCCTCTCCCAAGGCGCCACTTGGAACCAGCACGCTCTATCCCACCGACCCTGAACCCAATGCGGTATGCCTTTGTCTCCTTAAAGACCCTCTCCCAAGACCCTCTTCGGGACCAGCACGCTGTATCCTGCCGACCCTGCACCCAACGCTGTATGCTTTTGTCTCCTCAAGCCCTTAAAGCCCCTCTCCCAATGCGCCACTTGGAACCAACCAGCAACGTTGTATCCCACCTATCCTGAACCCAGCGCGGTATGCTGCACCCCTCCCCTCCTTCAACTCCCCTTCTCCCTCCCCCACCCTCCCCCACCCTCCCCCCTTCCCTTCCCCCCCCTCCCCTCCGTCTTTTCCTCCCCCATTCCCCCTCCCCCATCCCCCGTTCAGGACATCCGTCCCCCTTTCTAGGGCATTCTCAGCAGCAACAGCAGCATCAACCCGCCTTTCTACAACTGGAACCTCGTCCGTCTCCTCTACTGTGATGGTGGCGGCTACGCGGGAACAGCAGGGAGGCTGGATGTTGGTAACGGCACGTCGATCTACCTGGATGGGTGGAACATCACTCAAGCGGTGATAGAGGGTGAGTTGGTGGGGAAAGAACCTCTTTTGCCTCACTGGTGACTTTAAATGGAGGTGGTAACAGCGACGGTGGCGGCTACTCGGGAACAGCGGGAAGGGTGGATGTTGGTAACGGCACGTCGATCTACCTGGATGGGTGGAATATCACTCAAGCGGTGATAGAGGGTGAGTGGTTATGAGGTGCGAGAGTTACAGGAGTGTGTGGGCCAAGATGAGAGTGAGAAAAGGAAATACTATTTTTCCTCACTTTGCGTCCTCCTTCCTCCTCCCTCCCCGTATCCCCCTTTTTGTCTCTCTCCTTGTTTCTGCTGTTTCCACTTTTGCCCTTTTACCCCCCGTCCAAAACGTAATCAGATCTGAAATCCAAGAGGGGAATAAAATCTGCAGCGCAGATCCTCCTGTCGGGCAGCTCAGCGGGCGGCCAAGCAGTCGTGGCTCTCTGCGATCGCATCGCTGCCGCCTTCCCCTGGGCGGCAACTAAATGCATCGCCGACTCAGGCTTCTTTATTGGTGAGTCTCCATCTGTGAGGGCATTAAGTCTGTGTGATCAGATTCAGGCTCAGCATTCCCCTGGGCGGCAACTAAATGCATCGCCGCCTCGGGCTTTTTCATTGGTGATCGTGCTGCTTTCACTGCCAGTTTTTTTTTTTTTTTTTTTGCCCTCTTTCTTTCTTATTTAACGCTGTGAAGCGCATTGCTGCTCTGCACAAGCCAAGAAGACCTTTCCTCCTTTCCGCATCGCCCCCCTGACTCCTCCTTCCCGCCTCCCGCTCTTCCTCCCCTTGTCTGTCCACCTGTTCACCTTGTCAGACTCCAAGGATCGAGTGGGCGGGTACACGTGGCGCAACGGAGTGAAGAGCATTGCTGCTCTGCTCAGGCTGAGAAGACCCTTCGTCCTTTTCCTGCCCCACCCCTAACTCCTCCCTCTCCCCCTTTCCCCCCCTCCCCCCATTGTCTGTTCTTTCCCCCCCCCCCCCCCCCCCCTCCCCCGCACTTCCCTTTCAGACTCTAAGGACCGAGTGGGCGGGTACACATGGCGCAACGGTGTGAAGAATATTGCTGCTCTGCACAAGCCGAGCTGGCCTGCTTGCCAAGATGGTGAGAATACCAACAGTTTGATGATAATGGAAACATGTTGTAACCTATAATTTCCTGCTAAACATGCATGCTCACTACCACTTAGAAACGCATCCCATGGGTTGCCAATATGACTCCAAGGCATCCCTCAGTTACCTTCCCCTCCCTTCCACCCATCCCCTTCCCTTGTTTCTTTCTAAATTGCTGCTGTCCCCACATTATTCCCAGGCCACCCTATGCATTTTCCTTATTCCCTCCTCGTGCTCTCCTCAACCCTTACCCCTTCTTCACTCCCCCCAGGCTTGCCAGAGACTGACCAATGGAAGTGCTTCTTTCCACAGTACAGTCTACAAGACGTTACAACCCCCATATTTATGTTCCACACGTTTTTCGACATTATAGGCTCCCAAATTGGCGGGCTGCTACCGTGGAACAGAACCTATGCATTGGCTTGCTTAGGTGAAGTTACGAAGATAAAGGATGTAACAGGGATTATACAGAGAAAGGAGTGGAGCAAGATCCAGTGGAAGACAAACTACTGTACAGCCGGGGAGCGAGACGCATTGTTTCTTGCGGCGTCTGTTAATGATGAGTTGGAAAACGTTATACTAGGAGGAGGGGATACTGTAGTTGCGTTTGTGCCAGCTGGATTGGCACATACTGTATTATTTTCAAACACTTGGATGAATCCGTGGATTCGGGGCATGTCAGTAGGGTCCCAAATAGAAGAGTGGTTGGCAGGTAGAACATCAGATAGATTCGTTCATATGTAGCCAAGTAATGGATTGTTATATTTTGTTGGGCATTTCTGTAAGTGACATGTGGTTGGGCATACTAGAGGAACCAACCAAATGGGGCATCAGTCTTGCATGAGACCTGCAGGAGCACCCATCATGTTGATGCATTGATGCATTCAGCAAGTCAATCAAGGTCAATCTATATAAATTTCTTGAATAGAGGGCAGGTTAATTAGTTAATTTTGTACACAACATCCAGTAGACCATAAACAATGGACTGCCTTAATCCTCATGTGGTCTTATAATCGAAGGCTAAACCATGTGAAGACGTCTGTGTCAGGTCCATCGGAGGGGCCTGACGTGACTTTCGATAAAGTAATCTCAAGCTTATCTTTGTGCACATTGTGACAGCACAGGTTCGGCTGAATCTCCCCATAAAGACTGCAGGCCAAGCCAATGGGATGCAGGAAACACAATCACAAACAAACAAAGTCATACTCAGAACATTTACCGTATACACAAAATTAGCCAACTACAAAACTCCTGGGGACCTCATGAAAAGTAAGCACAAAGCGTTGGAACAGTTAGACAAGCAGTAAGTCAAAATTACCTGTCTAGAGCAAGTCGGTAGCATACACCATCGCGAAGGCCCCTTATCAACAAGCAGAAGGAGCTCTTGGTGAAAGAAGACGTTATGTACGGAGGGGGTAAGGCATCGATTCCTGGAAAAGGAATGTATACTCTGCAAGGGGGTACAGAGCGGGTGGGTCACCAACGAGCATGGCAGGGATAATCAAAAGAAATGAAAAGGATCGAGATAGATGAGTGAAGATCAATCGCGAAACCTAGAAGAGATTGTTAAGGAACGCAGGTGTGTTTGTGCAACAGCTACCCTTCGCATAAAAGACCACAAACGACTTACCTAACACAGTAATCCTCGTTAACCCAACAAAAGTCCTCAATGTCGACCATCGGTAGATGTGCACTGCCGAGCAGAACAGCCTCATGCGACCCCTGTAGAGGCGGAAGCGGATTCTCGGACGGACCCCCTGAACACTCAAAAGAATCGTACCCAGCAATTCCATGTTCGATCGGGGAATCCAGCTGGGCCGAGGTTAACTCAAATCTGCCAGACGATTCAAGCCTGTCAGAAGGATCGTAGCCTACGGAGGTGGAGAATCGTCCAGAGGAGTCGAACCTGCCTGAGGAATTCAATCCGGAAGGTTCTAAGCCAGGCATTATCTGCCGAGACTGGGCCAAGGGGAACGTGGATAATTCGGATGATGCTGGAAGCATGTGAGAATCTTTTAAACCAGCCTCCTCGAAAAGGGAATGCGAGGAAAAACTGTCGTCGGTTGCATGATGCGGATGACACGAAGGTAAGACGTGTTGCTGTTGATATTGGTGCTGTTGTTGCTGCTGGTGCTGCAGCAGCTGCTGCTGCAGCTGAAGCTGCTGCAGCTGAGCCAATGGCTGATACGGCTGGTTCGTAGAGTGCATTAATTCCAACGCCTGCTGCAGTGACTGCTGTTGCGGCTCCTGCTTCAGCTGCTGCTGTTGCTGAAAATGCCTTAATGTTGTACCCTCGAAGACAGACCTCTCGTACAAGGAACTACAACCGTCGCTGAAGAAGCGTGATGCTGGCCAGACTTCGTCCATTACAAGCACCACCCGAAACAATCAAAGCTGACAATAAGCAGGTAGAAGGCCAATACCGTGATCCTGCACGACGCGTTAAAAAATACAAAAATGAAACAGGCTGAACAAATAACGACCAAAGTTCACGAAAGGAATGAGAAAACAAACCACGACACTAGAGAAAACTATTGAAACTCGACGGGCTTCGGATTAAAGAGAAACAGCGGCTTGGAAAGGATTGTTAAACGCTAAGGTAAAAACACGGCATACCTCAAGGTCTATGAGGGATCTTGCTCCTTCCTAACTAAACAACGCTCCGATCAAAGTGCTACTGCGTCAAGGCCGCCTTTCTGAAATCTGCAACGTTGAAACCTAGCTCCAACACTAAGAACTATAGTAGTACCATATCACGTTGATATCATAACCCTCGCACGGAACTGTGTCCTGAATCGTAAGTCGCGCAGTACTAAGCAGTAATGTTGGTAAGGTCAATCAAGGAGAAGCAAGCAAGGCGATCCCGAGAAGCTGGGATTTGAAGCGAAGTTCATGAGAACCTCTGTAGGTCTGCAGCAATCAGAATGAAAACCATGTGGAGCGTTCCCTAAGGCGGAAATGTAAACCAATGTTGTGACTGCAGCAATCCTGTTGTCGTTCCACCAACCCGTTCAAGTGCTCTGCAGCATGTCATCAGCGTTTGTTCTAGGTCGGAACCCTACCTAAACGACCTGAAGGGAATATCACCGTACCGACACGCCGTAAATCGAACCACACCATATTAAAGTGAATGAGTGACACCTTCTAGGGGTTTCGCTTGTGTTGAACGAGGGTGGGAGGGAGGGAACCTGCCAAAACTACCCCACCACCTCGGGGTTTGTCGAAGGTACAGCTGGGCGGCAGGAGTAACAGCTGGGGCAACATGGCTGCCTGATGCTAGATTTGAGTTTGAAACCCTAGGCTTGAAATTCTGATGTCAAGTAAAGAGTGTTTGCCCACGTGGCAGGACAAATCGTCAAAATATTATTTTCCTATTGGTTGATATTATCATGACGGCTGTGCTTTTTCGCTCGTGGTTGGCCTTCGTTACGATCAATCAAGCCTCATTGTCGGTCGTTATGAAAGGACAAACGGTGTTCGGCTCAGGTAAATGGTAACAGACCAGGCTTGGCGATGGCGACTTTCGCTAAGGACGAGAAACCGAAAGTCTTTCTCCTTATTCCACAGTAAAGGGATGCTGCTATGAGAAGATGTAGTATGTTCTCTAGTGTTAGTTGTTGTAATCATTTGCTTTAAAAATTTGTATTAGCGAAATGTTTCCTTTACTTGATTTACGATACGAACACAACGCATGTCCTACGTGTTGCACCCTGGTTGAGGGGAGACTTGCTGCCTAAGAGTCAATTCCAGTCCCCTATATGCTATGTACTGCAGTAATAGCAAGATTGAATCAGCTCTTGGTGAATAGAGATTCTGAAATCCGAGCATCACGGAGGCAACGCGAGGCACACATAAACTCAGGAAAGCATCGATCTTCGCCACGAATAATTTGGCCGTTGCCACTGTCTGGCCGTCGATCTTTTGTCAATTGATCGACACCGTCAGTTCATTGTAGACCGTCCTGCCAATCGCCAGAAATCCGTGCTTCGCTGATTACTACCTTCGTACAGTTCTCATGTCGGCCAATCCAGAGGAGACGTTCGAGGGCGACTCGCCCTCATGCCGTTCCTCTTCCTCGGAGGAGGAGGGGATTATTGGAGGAGGCGGCGTGTGGGGGGTAGATCTGGGTGTCGACGTGGAGGAGGCGCATCGCGCGGCGTGCGCGGCGGGAGATTCGACCTACATCGACCCTGAAACGGGTGAGCACTGTTTCGTTTCGACGATCGGATCGCGTGTGCGACGTGGGTCCGGGGATCGACATGGATCCAGAGGTCGACGCGGAGGAAGCTCAACGCGAGGGACCCGTGTCCATCCCCCGAGGCATGTTCTGTGGGACCCTGAAGCAGGTGTAGCAGCCTCATCTGGTGATGAGATCTGTCGCAGTTTATCGATTGACTCAACACCGTCGCTCTTCATGACCCGTGCCCCGTCTCCCCTGGCAGGCTATTCAGTCTTCACGGCGCCGGCTCTGCTCAAGCCCGGTCGTTGCTGCGGCAATAAATGCAGGTGCGCTTGGATCTGATTTTGTCTGATTTTCTGTTTCAGCAAGTGCAGGTTCGGTTGGATTTGATTCTGTGCAGTTCTGTGTGATCCTGTGCTGCAGCGAGTGCATTCCCTTCATCGTTTGACACCCCCCCCTCCCTCCCCCCCCTCTTTTCCTCCTTCCTCTTTGCCGCCCATCCGTCCGTCCCTCCCCCTCCTCTCCCCTTGACACCAGGCACTGTCCGTTTGGTCACTATGCTGTGCGCACCAATGCCTTCGTCACCCACTTCCCCCGTTCTCCCCCCATTTTCCCGCCCCCCATCCGCCCCTCCTCTCCCCTTGCCACCAGGCACTGTCCGTTTGGTCACTATGCTGTGCGCACCAACGCATTCATGTCACGAACCAGCTCGCTCACGGTGAGTCAACTGATACGGTGGTTACCTGGTAATATCAATTCGCTCGCTACGCTATGCACACCACTGCCTTATGTCATGAACCAACTCGCTCACTGTGAGTCATTTGCTTTGCTCACGTAACCTGCCATTCACTTTCTGTTGGAACCTTCTGTCACCCTCTCTCATCCTCTCTCACCCTCTCTCATCCTCTCTCATGCTGCTCGCTCCCACCAAAGGCCCTGCTCCCTCCTCGCCTGCACTCGCTCAAGCAACCTACCGCTCTCCACCCCTCACAACCCCTCCTCGCACAGGAGCCCATGCTTCTGTCTCCCTCCAAGGGCCCCGCTCCCTCCTCGCCTGCACTCGCCCTGCTGTGGGACGGCAGTCTGCCCGCCCTGCTCGCCCTGCAGGTAATGATAGCAAGCTGAGCTAAGTTTTTAACTCGCGCTCAGTTACTAGCAAGCAAGCTTGTTTAGTACACCTAGTCCCACGTTTTTTTTTTTTTTTGTGCTTCCTGGCAGGCTCTCACCGACCAATCAAAATCTGCCACGTCAGCCGGATCGTCAACACAGAATGTCGTGCTGACGACTCTCTTTGACCCGCACTCCGGGCAAGTCCTGTCCCCCACCAGCGTTCCTGACGTAGCCGCTACAACTGGTGTAGCCGCTACAACTGACGTAGCCGGTAAAGCCGATGTACTGCCAGCAACCGCTTCTCGGGCAGCTGGAAATCTTTGCTGCCTGCCCGTCTCGATCCGGGCAGTGATGGACCAATCGCTGGCGCTGAAACGACCACTGCTCGCAGTCCCTGTAGAGGGATGTGAGGCTCTCTGTAGCGGGGATAGGAATGAGGTGGGGGGAGGCGAGGGGCAGGAGAAGGGGCAGGAGAAAAGTCAGGAGAAAGCGCAGAAGTCGGGATGTGGGTGTCAGTCAGGAGCAGAGGCAGATGTGGGAGCAGGAAGAGGAGCAGGAGGAGCAGCAGAAGCACGACAAGGTTGTGGGGAGATGAGTGCAGGAGCGATCAGTGTGGGTGGGTTCACGCCTAGCTGGGCGTCTGTGCTTCAGTCTGCTCTTGACTCCTCGCTCAAGTCTCCAGTAAGTTTTGGGCCTCCCCTTAGGATGTAAGGCGATGAGCACAGGAGCGATCAGTGTGGATGGGTTCACACCCAGCTGGGCGTCTGTGCTTCAGTGCGCTCTTGACTCCTCGCTCAAGTCTCAGGTGAGGTCTGAGTGCGTCCTTGATTCATCGCTCACATCTCAGGTGATTTCAGTCATGGCTTCGTACACGGATGAGTGCAGGAGCGATCAGTGTGGGTTGGTTCACACCCAGCTGCTTTTGAGATTTCTCAAAAGCGACTCAGTGTGGTGGATGGGTTCAGCTGAGCGTTTCTGGGCGGTTCACACCTAGCTGGGCGTTTCTGGTTCAGTCCACCCTTGACTCTTCTCTCAAATCTCAGGTAGTGGTTTGTCATCAGGCCTCCTCAGGCCCACGTCCCTTATCCCGTTGCCCCTCTCCTCCTCCTCACCCTTGCTCCCTGTGCAGGTGCATGCGGTCGTATCTCCCCTCCCCCTCCCCCTCTCAACCCCTGCTTCAGCCACTGCTTCAGCAACTGCTGCTGCTGCCGCTGCTGCTACTCCTGCCACTCCTGCTGCTGCCACTCCCGCTGCTGTCATACCTCCTCCTGCTGCCGACACTGGGTCAGCTAGTGCAGCAGCAGCAGCAGCAGCAGCGTTCCCAGTGAAGCCAGTGTTTGATCACCAGTCACTCATCAGAACAGCACCGATCGCACGAGGCTCGACTCTTTTGCAACCATCCCAGGTACTCTTTCCTAGACACTGCCTCTCCTTACGACATCCCCTGATCTGGCAGCCCTTGCTTCTTCCCAGCCACATTTTCTCTCAGCCCATTTCCTCTCACTCGCACTCTCCTTCTCTCCTCCTCTCTCCCCCACCCAGTTCCGAGTGCTCGTGCATGAGGCAGGCACGTGGCAGTCACCTGATCCCTCCCTCCCGCTCTCCTCCTCCCTTCCCCTACCCAGTTCCGAGTCCTCATGCATGAAGCAGGCACGTGGCAGCATGTTACCACAGAGGAGGCAATTTCCCGGCTTGCTTCCTCTCCCTCACCGTCGTCTCGCCCATCATTGGCTGGAACTGCTCCTGCTGCTCGTCTGCCATTCGTTCCCACTTTCGTGGAGATCCAAGCGCCTGCGCCTGCCAGCCGGTTCAGCAGGTGGATTGCAGCGATTCGATATGTGATGCATGCGGTGTATGTTACTGCATTGTCGTTACCCCGTGCTGTTATTTTTTCCACTTTTGATATTGCATTCCTGTGCGAATGGATGTCCAGTTCTGCTTTTCATGATGCCCCCTCTCCTTCCCCCCCCGCCATGTGTGTCTGGTGGTGTTCAGGTTGAGATGATGCGCAATGTGGGTGACCAATAAGTAGATGAAGAATCTGAAGTCAGGGCGTTTCTACGTATAGGGTGTTGGATATTTATCAAGCTTCCTTATGTTGCAAGATTCAAGGATTGACATATTAATGCAACCAGTTCAGTGCTTCTCACAGCTGTAACGCAGTGTATTGCGGTAGTGTAGTCCAAATATTGTGCTACTTATCAGAGGCTCACCTGGTTGCTGTTGAGTGCGATAGGCAATCGCTGAACGGTATGCGGACTTCTCAAGGTGCGCGGACCAACTGCGCGATCCCGAATCTGCGGCACGGCGGACCCGCAAAGTAGAAAGCCAAGGGGTGGAACAACACCGCGGACAAGCACCTTGGCGGAGCAGCTGCGCGGAAGTGCGGAATGAATGAATGAATGTATTCAAAATGGGGCATCATGGTGTTGAGGAAGGTATAGCACCGACGCGTATATGCGCAAATCGTTCTGAACGCTAACGCAACCGTAACTTACCGCTTGGTGTCACCTGCAATTCTTACTGTGTGACATACTTTTGCAGGCCGGAGTGACTGACTGACAAGCTACAACCACCTGTGATCCGCCTAATCCCGTTTCTCCTGATTTCACTACTATTTCTGACTTGCCTATTTTGTGATTTTGTGAAATGAAGACTCCTTAATTTGAGCAGGAGTTTCTCGTCTTAGGCACCCAGGGCTTTCCGTAGTAGTAGGCAGTCGGAATTCTCCTGGTGCTGCGAGGCTATTTTTGGATTTACCCTTCTATTTCTATTTCTAGGACGTCCATCGGGAAGAGCTTTGTTACTCGGAAGCTTCGCAATGGCGAGCAAGAAGCGGTCGTACGAGAAGCTTCCGTTCGGCGCTCCGCCGAGGCAGGCGGACGAGCCGTTTAATCCGTTCGTCAACCACAGCGCGCCGATCGATACGCCCTACGAGATCGTTAAGCTGACGCTGATGTTCCCCGTGTTCCTCGTGCGTGCGGTGCTCATGTTCGTCTGCTTTATTTTCGGATACTTCTTCGCGAGCATCGCGCTGATTGGCGCGAAGCACATCCACACCAAGTAACTAACCTTACTCCTCGTCGCATTTTGCTAATTTGACGAAAGTTTGCTGACTGCTTATCTCTTTTGAAGTTGCTTTTGAGAATTCTCAGAAGAAACTCCAACTCTTTGCGCATTGCTTACCCTTAGCTAGTAAATTATCCCTTCGCAGTATCGCTTATCTTTGCTTATCAAGATCGTTCCCGCAAAGACAGCTGCCGGTGTCCCGTTTGTCGTCTGTGGGGACTGGGTGGAGCGATGGAGTAAAATTCTGAGGCGCTTTTCCAGTTAGTAATTTATCACTTGGAACAGGCGATTACCCCTTTACGCCGACAATGAATTTTGAGTCTACAAAAAAATCCAGTACAATTCTGGCGGTTGGAACAGTCGATTACCCCTTGACGCCGATAATTCATGGCTCTTGCTTCCGCTTCGAGCGGTGTCTTTTTTTCTGGGCGCGATTGGGGAGTGGAATGCAGAGGACAATGTGTGGTGCCCCATTCCTCCGTTACCCAGCGGCGGAGGAATATTCCGACCCTTCCGAATCCCATGGGGGGGAGGATGAGGGGGTGAGGTGCTACATTCCTCCATTACCAAGTGGTACTCAACGGCTGAGTGGGATGATGAGGAATATCCTGATTCTGCTCAAGTTGCGGATGAAGATTCTTGTTCTTCCATCCCTATTCCTAGATCCATCCCAAGGAACATTCCACTTAACAACAGCATTCCTCCCCACTTCCCTGTCGCCACTGCAGGCCCTTTCCCAAGTGGAGGAGGAATGTCCTAGTCTTTCCTCTTTCGCTCCATGTCCTCTGGCTCTGAAACACCAATGGCCCTCCTCCCCCCTTTCCCTGTCGCCTCTGCAGGCCCTTCCCCAAGTGGAGGAGGAACATCCTGTGGCCCGCTAAGCTCCTGACACGTGGCGTTCTCTTCGCCTGCGGATACAACTGGATTGAGGTGAGTGAGGAGGGTTGGATCCCGTTTACCTTTTTTGAGAATTCTCAAAAAACATTCATGGCTCATAGTTTACCTGCCATACTCGCCACTGTCTCACCCCCACCCCCACCCCCACCCCTACCCCCCCACCCACCTCCAATCCGACCCTTCTATGCAGGGGAAAGGCAAGCCTGCTTCCAGGGCAGAGGCGCCCATTCTCGTGTGCAACCACGTCACCTTTGTGGACCCCGTGTTTCTCTTCATGCCTCACAAACAATGCACCTGCCATACCCTCCCATGTCTCTCCCCCACCCCGCCCCATCCCCATCCCAACCCCCACCCACCTCCAACCCCACGCTTCCATCCAGGTGAAAGGCAAGCCTGCTTCCAGAGCAGAGGCGCCCATTCTCGTGTGCAACCACGTGACCTTTGTGGACCCCGTGTTCCTGTTTATGGCTCACCTGCCCATGATCATCACGGCTAAAGAGAACATGAATATCTTTATAGCGGGGACAATCATGAAGGCCCTTCAGGTGGGTGTGTGGGAGTGGGTGGGAGGGTAATTTTTTACTTGACTTGAGAAATTGGTATGCCTGCGTAGTTTATGGCTCACCTGCTGATGGTTAATCACTGCTAATGTAAATATGAACATCTTTATCGGGGGGACAATCATGAAAGTTCCTGGGTGACTTTTGAATCGACTGAAAAAACCCCTCCCCTCCCACCCCCCTCCTCTTCCCATCCGCCTCCCCTCTCCATCACCCCTCTCCTCCCCTCCATCCACCAGGCCATAGCAGTCGACCGCGCATCCCCCACCTCTCGCAAGGACGCATCATACGAGATCAAATAGCGCGCCATGTGCAACGACTGGGCGCGCGTGCTGCTCTTCCCCGAAGCCACCACCACCAACGCCCACTCCCTCGTCTCTTCTCTAATTTTGAGCCGACACAAACGAATCCTCCCCTCTCCCTTCCCCCTCTCTCCCCACTCTCCTCCGCTCTCCCCCTCCCCCCTCCCCTCCTCTCTCTCTCTCCTCTCCCTCGCAGGCCATAGCAGTCGATCGTGCGTCCCCCACCTCACGAAAGGACACATCGTACGAGATAAAGAAGCGCGCCATGTGCAACAACTGGGCGCGCGTGCTGCTCTTCCCCGAAGCCACGACTACCAACGGCCGCTCGCTCGTCTCCTTCAAAACGGGCGCCTTTGCTCCGGGCCTGCCGGTGCAGCCGGTGGTGGTGACGTACCCCTACACGTCGTTTGACCCCTCCTGGGTGGCCGAAGGGCTCCCCGATATGACCCTGCTGTGGCGCATCATGTCCCAACCGCACAACCGCATGCGTGTGAGTGGATGAGGGGGAGTGCAGTGCGCGAGGGGGGGTTGATTGGGTGCGAGGGTATGCAGAGAAGGGCTCCCCAATATGACCCTGCTGTGGCGCATCATGTCCCAGCCGCACAACCGCATGCGCGTGAGTGGGGCGAGGGGGGGAGTGAGGGGGGAAGGAATGCATGAGGCAGAGAGTGAGGGAGTGAGGGAGTGAGGGAGTGGGTGAGGGAGTGGCATCGGAGCGAGGGAGTGAATGAGGGGGAGGGTGAGTGTGTGAGTGAGGGAGCGAGCGAGTGAGGGGGTGAGCGAGTGAGTGAGGGAGTGAGCGAGTGAGGAAGTGAGAGAGTAAGTATGCATAGACTGTCCGTCTGGCAATGGCTCAAAGCCTCAAACACGCTCCCGCACCCCACCTTTCCCGATATCCCATGTGCGCACAGGTGAAGTATCTGCCAAGGGTTGTTTGTTCCCACCGAAGAGGAAACGATTTTTGAGTCGACTCAAAACACGCCCCCCCATCCCACCTCTCCCGACATCCCATGTGCGCACAGGTGGAGTATGCACGAAAGGGAACGATTTTTCCGCCTGTCATCGTTCCCACGGAAGAGGAGAAGCGAGACGCACGCAAGGCTGCCGAGAGGGTCCGTCTGGCCATGGCTCGCCGGCTCAACCTGGCCCTCACAGACCACTCATTTGGCAACGTGCTGCTGGCGCGCGAGGCAAAGAAGCTGAAGCTGCCTCCGTTTCACCCTAGGCCCCGTGTTTCCCTCCCACTCTCTCCCTCGCTTCCCCCCACCTCCCACACCCCTCCCAGGTGGAGTATCTGCCGGTGATCATCCCCACAGAAGAGGAGAAGAGGGATGCACGCAAGTTCGCTGAGAGGGTGCGTCTGGCCATGGCGCGGCGTCTCAACCTGGCCCTCACAGACCACTCGTTTGGCAACGTGCTGCTGGCGCTCGAGGCAAAGAAGCTCAGGCTGCCCGTGGGGACGGCGAACGTGGAGTTTGGGCGGCTGGAGCAGCTGTTCCGGGTGGACGTGAGGGAGGCGAAGCAGTACTTGAGACGATTTCATGCAATGGACGTGGGGCACTGGTGAGCGGTGCTTTCCTCTCTCACTTGCTCGCTCACTCACTCGCTCATGTACTTGATCTTTGAAAGGAGGGGGCAGAAAACCAGTGGAGTTTGGGCGGCTGGAGCAGCTGTTTCGGGTGGATGTGAGGGAGTCGAAGCAGTATTTGAGACGATTTCATGCAATGGACGTGGGGCACTGGTGAGCGGTGCTTTCCTCTCTCACTTGCTCGCTCACTCACTCGCTCATGTACTTGATCTTTGAAAGGAGGGGGCAGAAAACCAGTGGAGTTTGGGCGGCTGGAGCAGCTGTTCCGGGTGGATGTGAGGAAGGCGAAGCAGTACTTGCGACGATTCCATGCCATGGATGTGAGGGAGGCAAAGCAAATTGTGCGAAGATTCCCTGCATCCTTCACCACAACTCTCGCCCTCCACATATGTCTCCCGTTCCTCCCATTGCCCCCTTTCCCCCCCAGTGGCACCGTGAGATACCCCGGGTTCCTGTCAGCGCTGGGTCTGCATTCAATACTCCCTCCTCCCCACATCCTGCCCCTGCCCCACTTCTCCGTTCATCCTTCTCCCAACCCATTCAGTGGCACCGTGAGATACCCCGGGTTCCTGTCAGCGCTGGGTCTGCATTCAATACTCCCTCCTCCCCACATCCTGCCCCTGCCCCACTTCTCCGTTCTTCCTTCTCCCAACCCATTCAGTGGCACCGTGAGATACCCCGGGTTCCTCTCAGCGCTGGGTCTGCATTCAATACTCCCTCCTCCCCACATCCTGCCCCTGCCCCACTTCTCCGTTCTTCCTTCTCCCAACCCATTCAGTGGCACCGTGAGATACCCCGGGTTCCTGTCAGCGCTGGGTCTGCATTCAATACTCCCTCCTCCCCACATCCTGCCCCTGCCCCACTTCTCCGTTCTTCCTTCTCCCAACCCATTCAGTGGCACCGTGAGATACCCCGGGTTCCTGTCAGCGCTGGGTCTGCATTCAATACTCCCTCCTCCCCACATCCTGCCCCTGCCCCACTTCTCCGTTCTTCCTTCTCCCAACCCATTCAGTGGCACCGTGAGATACCCCGGGTTCCTCTCAGCGCTGGGTCTGCATTCAATACTCCCTCCTCCCCACATCCTGCCCCTGCCCCACTTCTCCGTTCTTCCTTCTCCCAACCCATTCAGTGGCACCGTGAGATACCCCGGGTTCCTGTCAGCGCTGGGTCTGCATTCAATACTCCCTCCTCCCCACATCCTGCCCCTGCCCCACTTCTCCGTTCTTCCTTCTCCCAACCCATTCAGTGGCACCGTGAGATACCCCGGGTTCCTGTCAGCGCTGGGTCTGCATTCAATACTCCCTCCTCCCCACATCCTGCCCCTGCCCCACTTCTCCGTTCTTCCTTCTCCCAACCCATTCAGTGGCACCGTGAGATACCCCGGGTTCCTCTCAGCGCTGGGTCTGCATTCAATACTCCCTCCTCCCCACATCCTGCCCCTGCCCCACTTCTCCGTTCTTCCTTCTCCCAACCCATTCAGTGGCACCGTGAGATACCCCGGGTTCCTGTCAGCGCTGGGTCTGCATTCAATACTCCCTCCTCCCCACATCCTGCCCCTGCCCCACTTCTCCGTTCTTCCTTCTCCCAACCCATTCAGTGGCACCGTGAGATACCCCGGGTTCCTGTCAGCGCTGGGTCTGCATTCAATACTCCCTCCTCCCCACATCCTGCCCCTGCCCCACTTCTCCGTTCTTCCTTCTCCCAACCCATTCAGTGGCACCGTGAGATACCCCGGGTTCCTCTCAGCGCTGGGTCTGCATTCAATACTCCCTCCTCCCCACATCCTGCCCCTGCCCCACTTCTCCGTTCTTCCTTCTCCCAACCCATTCAGTGGCACCGTGAGATACCCCGGGTTCCTCTCAGCGCTGGGTCTGCATTCAATACTCCCTCCTCCCCACATCCTGCCCCTGCCCCACTTCTCCGTTCTTCCTTCTCCCAACCCATTCAGTGGCACCGTGAGATACCCCGGGTTCCTCTCAGCGCTGGGTCTGCATTCAATACTCCCTCCTCCCCACATCCTGCCCCTGCCCCACTTCTCCGTTCTTCCTTCTCCCAACCCATTCAGTGGCACCGTGAGATACCCCGGGTTCCTGTCAGCGCTGGGTCTGCATTCAATACTCCCTCCTCCCCACATCCTGCCCCTGCCCCACTTCTCCGTTCTTCCTTCTCCCAACCCATTCAGTGGCACCGTGAGATACCCCGGGTTCCTGTCAGCGCTGGGTCTGCATTCAATACTCCCTCCTCCCCACATCCTGCCCCTGCCCCACTTCTCCGTTCTTCCTTCTCCCAACCCATTCAGTGGCACCGTGAGATACCCCGGGTTCCTGTCAGCGCTGGGTCTGCATTCAATACTCCCTCCTCCCCACATCCTGCCCCTGCCCCACTTCTCCGTTCTTCCTTCTCCCAACCCATTCAGTGGCACCGTGAGATACCCCGGGTTCCTGTCAGCGCTGGGTCTGCATTCAATACTCCCTCCTCCCCACATCCTGCCCCTGCCCCACTTCTCCGTTCTTCCTTCTCCCAACCCATTCAGTGGCACCGTGAGATACCCCGGGTTCCTGTCAGCGCTGGGTCTGCATTCAATACTTTCTCCTCCCCACATCCTGCCCCTGCCCCACTTCTCCGTTCTTCCTTCTCCCAACCCATTCAGTGGCACCGTGAGATACCCTGGGTTCCTGTCAGCGCTGGGTCTGCATTCAATACTCCCTCCTCCCCACATCCTGCCCCTGCCCCACTTCTCCGTTCTTCCTTCTCCCAACCCATTCAGTGGCACCGTGAGATACCCCGGGTTCCTGTCAGCGCTGGGTCTGCATTCAATACTCCCTCCTCCCCACATCCTGCCCCTGCCCCACTTCTCCGTTCTTCCTTCTCCCAACCCATTCAGTGGCACCGTGAGATACCCCGGGTTCCTGTCAGCGCTGGGTCTGCATTCAATACTCCCTCCTCCCCACATCCTGCCCCTGCCCCACTTCTCCGTTCTTCCTTCTCCCAACCCATTCAGTGGCACCGTGAGATACCCCGGGTTCCTGTCAGCGCTGGGTCTGCATTCAATACTCCCTCCTCCCCACATCCTGCCCCTGCTCCACTTCTCCGTTCTTCCTTCTCCCAACCCATTCAGTGGCACCGTGAGATACCCCGGGTTCCTGTCAGCGCTGGGTCTGCATTCAATACTCCCTCCTCCCCACATCCTGCCCCTGCCCCACTTCTCCGTTCTTCCTTCTCCCAACCCATTCAGTGGCACCGTGAGATACCCCGGGTTCCTGTCAGCGCTGGGTCTGCATTCAATACTCCCTCCTCCCCACATCCTGCCCCTGCCCCACTTCTCCGTTCTTCCTTCTCCCAACCCATTCAGTGGCACCGTGAGATACCCCGGGTTCCTGTCAGCGCTGGGTCTGCATTCAATACTCCCTCCTCCCCACATCCTGCCCCTGCCCCACTTCTCCGTTCTTCCTTCTCCCAACCCATTCAGTGGCACCGTGAGATACCCCGGGTTCCTGTCAGCGCTGGGTCTGCATTCAATACTCCCTCCTCCCCACATCCTGCCCCTGCCCCACTTCTCCGTTCTTCCTTCTCCCAACCCATTCAGTGGCACCGTGAGATACCCCGGGTTCCTGTCAGCGCTGGGTCTGCATTCAATACTCCCTCCTCCCCACATCCTGCCCCTGCCCCACTTCTCCGTTCTTCCTTCTCCCAACCCATTCAGTGGCACCGTGAGATACCCCGGGTTCCTGTCAGCGCTGGGTCTGCATTCAATACTCCCTCCTCCCCACATCCTGCCCCTGCCCCACTTCTCCGTTCTTCCTTCTCCCAACCCATTCAGTGGCACCGTGAGATACCCCGGGTTCCTGTCAGCGCTGGGTCTGCATTCAATACTCCCTCCTCCCCACATCCTGCCCCTGCCCCACTTCTCCGTTCTTCCTTCTCCCAACCCATTCAGTGGCACCGTGAGATACCCCGGGTTCCTGTCAGCGCTGGGTCTGCATTCAATACTCCCTCCTCCCCACATCCTGCCCCTGCCCCACTTCTCCGTTCTTCCTTCTCCCAACCCATTCAGTGGCACCGTGAGATACCCCGGGTTCCTGTCAGCGCTGGGTCTGCATTCAATACTCCCTCCTCCCCACATCCTGCCCCTGCCCCACTTCTCCGTTCTTCCTTCTCCCAACCCATTCAGTGGCACCGTGAGATACCCCGGGTTCCTGTCAGCGCTGGGTCTGCATTCAATACTCCCTCCTCCCCACATCCTGCCCCTGCCCCACTTCTCCGTTCTTCCTTCTCCCAACCCATTCAGTGGCACCGTGAGATACCCCGGGTTCCTGTCAGCGCTGGGTCTGCATTCAATACTCCCTCCTCCCCACATCCTGCCCCTGCCCCACTTCTCCGTTCTTCCTTCTCCCAACCCATTCAGTGGCACCGTGAGATACCCCGGGTTCCTGTCAGCGCTGGGTCTGCATTCAATACTCCCTCCTCCCCACATCCTGCCCCTGCCCCACTTCTCCGTTCTTCCTTCTCCCAACCCATTCAGTGGCACCATGAGATACCCCGGGTTCCTGTCAGCGCTGGGTCTGCATTCAATACTCCCTCCTCCCCACATCCTGCCCCTGCCCCACTTCTCCGTTCTTCCTTCTCCCAACCCATTCAGTGGCACCGTGAGATACCCTGGGTTCCTGTCAGCGCTGGGTCTGCATTCAATACTCCCTCCTCCCCACATCCTGCCCCTGCCCCACTTCTCCGTTCTTCCTTCTCCCAACCCATTCAGTGGCACCGTGAGATACCCCGGGTTCCTGTCAGCGCTGGGTCTGCATTCAATACTCCCTCCTCCCCACATCCTGCCCCTGCCCCACTTCTCCGTTCTTCCTTCTCCCAACCCATTCAGTGGCACCGTGAGATACCCCGGGTTCCTGTCAGCGCTGGGTCTGCATTCAATACTCCCTCCTCCCCACATCCTGCCCCTGCCCCACTTCTCCGTTCTTCCTTCTCCCAACCCATTCAGTGGCACCGTGAGATACCCCGGGTTCCTGTCAGCTTTGGGCCTGCCCGACTCAGAGGCCTCTCAGATGCTCTTTGACTTTCTCACAATCCTTCTCACCCTCTCCCCCCCATCCCTCCTCTTCCCCCGGCCCCACCAGTGGCACTGTGAGCTATCCCGGGTTCCTGGCAGCGCTGGGCCTGCCGGACTCGGAGGCCTCTCAAATGCTCTTTGACTTTCTCGATACCAATGAGCGCGGCACTATCAACTTCAGAGAGGTGGGTGCAGTGCGGTGCAGTGAGGTTCAGTGCGGTGCAGCAAGGTGTTGTGTGGTGCAGTGCAGTAGCATAGCAGTGTACTACAGAGGTTCCTGGCAGCGCTGGGCCTGCCGGACTCGGAGGCCTCTCAAATGCTCTTTGACTTTCTCGATACCAATGAGCGCGGCACTATCAACTTCAGAGAGGTGGGTGCAGTGCGGTGCAGTGAGGTTCAGTGCGGTGCAGCAAGGTGTTGTGTGGTGCAGTGCAGTAGCATAGCAGTGTACTACAGAGGTTCCTGGCAGCGCTGGGCCTGCCGGACTCGGAGGCCTCTCAAATGCTCTTTGACTTTCTCGATACCAATGAGCGCGGCACTATCAACTTCAGAGAGGTGGGTGCAGTGCGGTGCAGTGAGGTTCAGTGCGGTGCAGCAAGGTGTTGTGTGGTGCAGTGCAGTAGCATAGCAGTGTACTACAGAGGTTCCTGGCAGCGCTGGGCCTGCTCGACTCAGAGGCCTCTCAGATGCTCTTTGACTTTCTGGATACCAACGAGCGCGGCACCGTCAACTTCAGAGAGGTGGGTGCAGTACGGTGCAGTGCGGTGCAGCACGATACAGTGAGTTGCAGTGCAGTAGCATGGTGGTGTACAGAGGTTCCTGTCACTCTTGGCCTACCCGACTCAGAGGCCTCTTAATTGCTCTTTGACTTACTGGATACCAACGAGCGTGGCACCGTCAACTTCAGAGAGGTGGGTGCAGTGCGGTGCAGTGCAGTCAGGTGTAGTGCGGTGCAGCAAGGCGCAGTGCTGTGCAGTAGCGTGTTGTGAGGTGCAGCGAGGTGCAGTGCAGTTCGTTGCGGTGCACTGGAAGGGCTCGTGGTTGTGCTCCACCATCCTCAATCCACCACTTTCTGTTCTGTCACCACCTCCCCTGCTGCCTTTCCCCCATTCAGTTCCTCGCAGGGCTGGTGTTTGTGTCCCGCGGCCCACCACCCCCAATTTCACGACTCATTGGAACATGATGAATGCGTGGGGCCAACTCAATACCCCTTTCCTCTCTTTACACTGCCGGTGTTTCCTCCTATTCCATGCAGTTCCTGGCAGGGCTGGTCTTTGTGTCGCGCCATCCTCAATTCCATGACTCGGTGGAGAAGGCGTTCAAGCGGCTGGATCTGGACAGGTGATGCGGTGCAATGCGGTGGTGTGAGATGCACTGCTCTTCCCTTCCCCTCCTCCCTCCCCTCCCCTCTGCAGTTCCTGGCAGGGCTGGTCTTTGTGTCGCGCCATCCTCAATTCCATGATTCGGTGGAGAAGGCGTTCAAGCGGTTGGATCTGGACGGAGATGGACGGCTGACAGCGCACGAGGCGAAGGAGGGCATGCGGGAGCTCTTCCCTGCGATCACAGACGAACAGGTGTGTTGGACTGGTGCAATGCGGTGAGGTGCGGTTATGGGCAGTGCAAGGGTGGTGTGTGGTGCGCGGTAGTGTGGTCTGATTCAGATGGGTGACCGCGCACGTGGCAAAGGAGGGCATGAGGGAGCTGTTCCCTGCAATCACAGACGACCAGGTGTGTTGGTCGTGTGCGATGTGGTGAAGTGCGGTTCTGGCCGGTGCAGTGCAGTGTTGTGCGGTGCTGTGCTGTGTGTCGGATGGACGGCTGCTTGTTGTGTGGTGTGTCCTGGGATTCTGTCCACCCCCCTCCACCTCACCCTCGCTTTCCATAAATTCCACTTTCTCTCCTGCCTTGCCTGGAGCTGGCTAAGCTGTGCAAGATGCTGGGGCTCAACAGCAAGACGTCTCTCTCCTGGGATGAACTCGCAGCTCTCACATCCTCCCCCCAATTCCCTCCAATTCGCTATTTCTTCCCGTTCCTGGCTGCCACTTCTACCTCTTGTGTGCCTGCAGCTGGCCAAGCTGTGCGAGCTGCTGGGGCTCAGCAGCAAGACGTCTCTCTCCTGGGATGAACTCTGAACTCTCTCTCTCTCCCCCGCCGTCATCCCCCCTCATTTCTCTACTGTTTCTCGTTCACTTGTCGCTCTGCAGCTGGCCAAGCTGTGTGAGCTGCTGGGGCTCAACAGCAAGACGTCTCTCTCCTGGGATGAGTTTGAGCATTTCCTCAAGACCAACCCCGAGTATCTGGTGGCGATTCTCGCCGCCGATTTGGCTGATGCAAAGGTGGAGGAAGAGAGCAGCGAAGTTACGTCAGATTAGGCTGAGATTATGCATGTGTGTGTGCTGTGCAGCCTTTTTCTGTGTATGATTTGCATGTGCAATTGTGGAAACAACCTTGTGTGAAAATGTGATTGAGTACCCTTGCAAAGCATGACTGGTCTGCTGACCAGTGATGCATATATAGTTTTATTGATAGTGTATGTACGTATAGATATTTGACAAGCACATTGTAGGCAGCATAGGAGCCAGGTTCCAACATTTTTCCTGCCGGAGTCAACTCCTGAGAACGCCTTGAGTCACACAATTCGTTTTTTTTTTTTCTGACGCGTGCCCACCCAATTCACCTCACCTGACCTGACTCAAGCGCAGAAACAGAGAGTTTCAGGTGCCGTTCATCAGTTTCGTTGACCGTCTATGCTGGCGCGACAACCAATCACAGCGCCCGACACATCTGCGGTTCCCACACAGCATCATCCCCCACTCACCCACCCCCACCTAACTCGATGACACGCATCACACGCGGTTTCGGATCTTGTACCGTTCGATGGAACACGTAGGCAGCTTACACCGTTGGATCGACGCCACCCGGAATTTGATCTTCCCGTAGTTTCCGAGCCAGTTTGACAGATTTCTCTGAAGGCTCGTTGAGTAGCTACCTACCTGACTGAACTTCTCGCTGAGGAGATCAGCGGGTGAGTGAAATCAGGCACATTTCAGGATTACATATATCGCATTTCTGGATTTCCAGTCTTCAGTTTCAGCAATTAGTAGTCGCAATTGCAGGTGCAATTGCTCTTCCAGTTACAAGGCTTTCTCTCTCTGCTCCAGTACACCTGTTTCGTCTTCGACTTACTCGTCCTCTCATCACCCATTACTATCGTGCAAAGGTAGCTATTATTTCCCTCCCATTGTCAACAAGAGTACATCTTGAGCCTTTCTTGAGATTAGGACCCTACATTAAAACGTTCAAGGTCAGTGTCCTGTTGGCTAACGTTTATTTGTGACTGTAACTTCTGTACTCGTTATCATCAGGTCAAGATGGTGATGGATAAGGACGCCAAGATCTACGTGGCTGGCCACACCGGTCTGGTGGGATCAGCCATCTGCAGGAAGCTCAAGAAGGAGGGATATAACAATGTCGTCGGAAAATCCATTGAGGAGCTTGATCTGACACGGCAAGCGCTCGTCGAGGAGTACATGAAAACGGAGAAGCCTGATTATGTCATCGTCGCTGCCGCGAAAGTCGGCGGAATTCACGCTAACAGCGTCTATCCCGCCGATTTCATTGGGATCAATCTTCAAATCCAGACCAATCTCATCGATGCCGCTTACAGGGCCGGGGTGAAGAAGCTTGTCTTCCTCGGATCGTCTTGCATCTATCCGAAGCTTGCTCCCCAGCCTATCACTGAGGATGCTCTGCTTACCGGACCCCTGGAGCCCACGAATGAGTGGTACGCCGTCGCCAAGATCGCCGGTATCAAGATGTGCCAAGCCTACAGAATCCAGGTATGTCTGGGAAATTTGACAAGCTGGGAAATTGACTTATTTGATAATTTTCCATACCTTATGTGACGATTCAGGATTCATGCCGGCTTGTCTTGTGATAGGCTCCAATCGTCCGTGTTTTTTTCCTTGTTTTGCTTCTCAACACCATTTTTGTTCGTTTCTTCCTCCATTGTTACTCGTGCCTTGCAGTACAACTTCGATGCCATCTCAGCGATGCCGACCAACATGTACGGCCCGTACGACAACTTCCACCCGACCAACTCCCACGTGCTGCCTGCTCTGATCCGACGGTTCCACGAGGCCAAGAAGACCGGAGCCAAGGAGGTCGTCTGCTGGGGTACCGGCACTGCTCTGCGTGAATTCATGCACACCGATGATCTTGCAGGTATGAGATAAATCTCACGCTGGTTTGCAGTATGTACACTGTGTAAGTGTTTCTTTTTACGCATGAACTGGTCCTTAGCATGTGCTATTTACGGAATACCCACGCGAATAGGAAGATTTTAGGCTATCTACGTTTCTTGTCGAGTCTCGCATGCATTACTTCCGATTCCCATTCGGTCGCAATAACCACACGAAAAAAGTTCCAACCCATTCCCAGTTTAAAACCACTGACAATCGTTAGACCCTACTGCGCAATTCACGTTCTTGTCTGCACAGCTGTCGTCAACTGTCCTGCAAACGCTAGACAAGCTCGTGTACAGCCTTAGTGAATCTGTAAGCTGTCATCAATTGTCCTCCGTGATCCAACCCTTTTTCTGGATTACCCTCCCTCCAGATGCGCTCCTCTTCCTGCTGAACAACTACAGCGACATCCCCCACCTGAACGTGGGAACCGGCATCGAGCTCACGATCAAGCAGCTCGCGGAAACAGTCAAGGAGGTGGTGGGGTACGAGGGCGAGATCACGTGGGACACGACCAAGCCTGACGGCACGCCCAGGAAGCTCATGGACAGCTCGAACCTGCACAAGCTCGGGTGGAAGCCCAAGGTGGGGCTCAAGGAGGGCCTCACGGAGGTGTACAAGTGGTACCAGGAGAACTACAACGTCTGAGCCATGTCTTAGGCTTGTCTGTGCAGTGCCATGGGACCTTGTAATTTTGGGGGTACACAATTATTAGTATTGCGGGTTTGTTCACATTTCTTTGTTACTGGTATTGTTCTGGCCTGCTGGACTTGCTAGAGGCGTTGTCCAAGCAGGCTGACCAACAGGCGCATTTCTTTAGCTAAAATACCCCTACCTCAACTAGGTAGCGCACAATATCCACCCAGTACACAAACGAGCAGAGACAATGTCACACATTTCATAAGGGGCACCTTATCCATGCAAGAGGGTCAATTCGTGCTAGTTTAACCCTTTGTCTCTACACCCCGTCCTCTGTGCTTCAACAGGCTTTGCCATGAGCTGTGTGTTCATCTGTCCCAGCACTGGTAGCATCAGCTTATCCATCAAATCGGACGGGGTACAAACAATGCAGGTATGCTACACATAAGAAGCACAATGCACAATGCAGAATCCAATCATTTCACAAACGCCTCGCACATATTCCCTTGCCTCACCGCGCAATCATATTAGGGTGGAATCTTTTCTCTCTGCCACTAATTTCTCTCGCCGCCATCCTCAAAACCCTCCTCAACACACCTACTGCCACCAGTATCCCACTCCAAGACCTACTATTACCGGTTCTGCCATCTGCATCCCTGGGGGTAGGACTGCCACTGTCGCCACCACCTGTCTCACTTGCTCCTGGCGGCATGACTGCGAAATCACCTCTCTCACACTCCAATTCTTTCCCCTCCATCCCAAAACTCCCATCAACTGATGCTCCAGCTGCATCATAGAAAACATTCGCCCAACCAGCAGCCGAACCAACGGCCGGATGAGCAGCCGAACCAACGGCCGGACGAGCAGCCGAACCGGCACGACCAGCAGCCGAACCAACGGCCGGACGAGCAGCCGAACCGGCACGACCAGCAGCCGAACCGGAGGACCAGCAGCCGAATCAGCCTGCAGACCAGCAGCCGAACCGGCAGGACCAGCAGCCGAACCAGCTGCCACCTAATTCGCGGAAAGCAGGATTTTAGTAAGAAGACTAATGGGTACCACTTGTGGGAGATGGCTGGAAGCATGCTGCACCTGAAAGGACTTTGCTGCTCCTGCTGCTGCTGCTGATGTTGCTGCTTCTTTTGCTGCTGCTAATTCTGCTGCTGCTGCACCTCGTGTTGCTCTGCCTGCTGCTCCTGCTGCTTCTGCCACCGTTGGCGTTGCTGCTGCTGCTGCTGCTGCTGGTGCGCCTGCTGCTGTCACTGCTGGTGCCACCTCTGCTGCTGCCGCTGCTGCTTCTCCAGCAGCAGAATGGGGTATCACAGCAGGAGCAGCAGCAGCAGGGGGTGGTCCTGAGGGCGCCTCGAGGTGGTCAAAGAAGGAGAGCCACCCCGGAGATCCCGAGGTGCCGCGACCCTTCCTGTCACCCACTGCTCTCGTCATGCACGCGTGCTGGTCTGCAGAGGGGGGAGGAGAGAACACAGTTACACAGCCATGGAGCGAAGACACGGTCGTGCAAGTCACCTTGGGAGTCCATCCATTCCTTAGTCTGCCTGCCCTTACTGCCCTTGTCATGCGTGCATGCTGGTGTGCACTTTTGAGTCGACTCAAAAGGTGCGGTCGTGCAAGTCACCTTGGAGTGGGTTGCATCCATTCCTTAGTCTGCCTGCCCTTACTGCCCTTGTCATGCGTGCATGTTGGTGAGCGGAAGAGGGTGGGGGGAGGAGAAAAACATTCACACAGCCATGCGGAGAAGACAGACACTGACATACGAACCACCGTCGAGTCTTGAGGTGCCTCGGAAATCGAACCACCGTCCAGTCCATTCCATATTGCTCCCCTACCCATGAGCTCTCCACGCTCCTTCATTCACCCCCTCACGCCTGGGTTCAGCAGCCCCTCAAAGGAGGCGGGAAAGGAAGGAGGAGCAATCTGGCTCACCTGCGATCATATCCGGTGTGAGACCCCACGAGAGCAGCTCTTGTTCCGAGTGGTTGACAGCTAAGCTGTACTCCCCCCCGTCGCCCATCTCCATCACCCGTATGTCGCAGTTGCCCGGGCTGAACAGCCCCTCGAACTGCTCCACGGTCCAGCAGAACCAGGGCATGAGAAAGACCCGCATGGTCAGCCCGTGCGTCACCATCACTATGTTGAGCGCCTTTCGCCGCGGGGCAGGGGGAGAAGGAGCATGTGTGTCTGCACGGGATGCATTTGCAGTTGCATGTGTGTCTGCATGCTCATGTGCCGAATCTACCCGCTCATCTCCGCTCCTTTCCGCTCGCTCCTGCTCTCCTCCTCTCGCCCCGTCTCGCCTCCTTTCGACTGGCTGCCCTCGACCACCTCCCAACACACGAGAACCAGCAACACCAGCAGCACCAGCAGCACCAGCAGCACCAGCAGCACCAGCAGCACCTCTCCTTTCCTCTGGCTGCCCTCGACCACCTCCCAACACACGAGAACCAGCAACACCAGCAGCACCGAAATTACCCGCAGCACCAGCAGCAGATTTATCAGCAGCAGCACTACAAGCAGCGGCACTATCAGCAGCAACAGTGGCGGCAGCAGCAGGCGGAGGGTGGGCGGACACTGGGGGAGGAGCAGGCGGAGCGTGGGCGGACACTGGGGGAGGAGCAGGCGGAGCGTGGGCGGACACTGGGGGAGGAGCAGGCGGAGGAGGGCAAGGGTGCAATCGGCACCAGTCTATGTCCCGCCACAAGCTGTCAAGGAAACCTGGGAGAACGGGGGGGGGGGGGGGGGAGGGGGGGTTGGGGGGGAGGAGGAGGGAGGAGGAGACGGGAAGGGGAAGGAGTGGATTCCATAAGAAGAAGAAAAAAAAAAACCTACTAGACATTTGATTGTACAGGTCAGCTGAAGAAAATATTCCGAATGGAAAAAATAATAATTATTAAAAAATCTAATGTGCCTCGACTAAGAATTAAGTGACGCTGCAGTGTAGTGTGGTGCGGTGCGGTGCAGTGCGGTGCAACCCACCAGTCACGCGGTCGTACACGTCAGCAGACGACTCCCCCTCTGGTAATCGGTAGAAGAACCGTCCAAACCGCTGCCTCATGTCCTTGCTCTGCCACATGCGCTCCTGGACCTGGTGGGTGCGGTGCGGTGGGGCAGGGTGGGGTTTGGTGCGATGGGATGGGGTGTGGTGTGGTGATGAGCACGAGGGGCACTGATGTGCCTCCATCCCCTCATGTTCTTACTCTGCCACATGCGCTCCTGCATCTAATGTGTTCCTGTACAGAAAGGTGGGGTGGGGAGTGGTGGGGCGTGTTCGTGAGCGGTGTGGTGGGGTGTGGTGCGGTGCCGTGGTGATCATGAGGCACACTTGATTATCCGTGTGCGTGTGTGATTGCATGCCTCGCGTCCTCGATCTGCCCCATACGTTCCTCAGCTTGGTGTGGTGGTGTGCGGTGGAGTGCGTTGGGAAGAGATTAAGAGTGATGCAATGGGGCATAAAAGCCTGCATCCATAAATAAATAGCACTCCTCTGTTCTACGGAGCATGAGAGCTCTCGAAATTCCTCTCTCTTACCTGAACTTTTCAAAGCGCAACCGCTCTTACCTGGAAGTTTCCAAAGTCCTGCTCCCTCAGCCGAGGCTCCTCCCTCACCCCCAGAATGTGCCGCCTCTCAAACGCACGCCCTATGCCGCGCAGGGTCTGCAGTGGATAGAGGGGTTTCGGGTGTTTTAGGTTCCGGGTTCAATATCAGAATTTATGATGGAGGAGAGGAGAAAAAGACAAATGACTTTATGATGGAGGAGAGGAGAAAAAAGACAAATGACTTTATGATGGAGGAGAGGAGAAAAAAGACAAATGACTTTATGATGGAGGAGAGGAGAGAAAAGACAAATGACTTTATGATGGAGGAGAGGATAAAAAAGACAAATGACTTTATGATGGAGGAGAGGAGAAAAAAGACAAATGACTTTATGATGGAGGAGAGGAGAAAAAAGACAAATGACTTTATGATGGAGGAGAGGAGAAAAAAGACGAGTGAATTTTGAGTCGACCCAAGAGTCACCCTGAATTTATGATGGAGGAGAAAACTTTTCTCGGAGAAAAAAGAATAAATAATTTCTAGATGATTGCAGGGACTGGGCTATCCCATCCCCGTTACTAACTCCAAAATGTAATTACCCTTTCCACGGCTAATCACCTGAAGAGTTCGCAGGTAGGGCGATACGTAGAAATACACCCCCCAGTCATCCTCCTCCTCGTCTCCGTTATAATCACCCTCGCTAGAGTCACCCCCTCCCGCGTTCCACCTCCTTTCCTTGTCCTCCTCCCCACCTCTTTCCTGATTCCCCCCTTTCCGCCGGTCGAATTCGATTAATTTCCTAATCTTCTTGCCGCATTCCACGGCCTGCTCGAACCCAAACGGCGTTAACGGAACGCGCGACGCCGGGATTTGGGTGTAGATCCCCTCGTCCAGGTTCCCCTCGCTCTGCCCGTGTCGCACTAATATAATCCGCGTCGGCCGTCGCAGCAGCGACTCGCGGGAAAGCGGGTACGACGGGTGAGTGGACGAGGGGGAGTAGCGGCGAGAGGAGAGGGGATGGGAGGAGGAGTTTATAGACGCTTCTGAACCGGAGTCGGGGGAAAGCGGGTGCGACGAGCGGGTGGAGGGCGAGAAGGAAGGGGGGAGCGGAACGGCGGGGGTAGGGGCGGGGGAAGGCGGGAAGGGGGAGCGCGGGAGGGAAATTTGATTTGCCGCAAAGGCCGTAGACGAGCTCTTGGCGGCGGCGCCAGTGGCGGCGGTAAGTGCGGCGCTGAATGCGGAGACCTGCGCGCCGGGCGCGCTTTCTGGAGCCGCGCGCTCTGGGCGGAGCGGCGGGGAAACGGCGAGAGGAGCGGGAACGGCGGGTGGGGGGGAAATTGCGCGGCTTTGTGGCGCATATCGGAACAGGCAGTTGGAATTATCCTCTAGCCCCAATCCTAAGCAGGAGAAATCGTCAAAGATTTCATTTTGCGCGGCTCGGTTCCGAGGCGCCTCGAGCGCGGAGTTTCGGGAGCCAATCATATGCAGGCAGCAAAGGTCGTCGAGCGACTGAGACATGGTGCAATCTGCAGCGACGTCGTCACGCGATTTCGTCCGCGTGAATCGCGGCGCGAGGCACGCGGGGAGAGGAGAATCGCTCTGGCCGTAGGATAGGCTTGATCCAACCGGGAAAGCGGGTAGATCATCGGATGACGAAGCGGGGAAACCTGGCGCCGAACGTGGGTGAGGAGGATGGGTGAGCGGAGTTTCGTCCTCGGCCGCCGCGTAAAAAAAACACTGTTTAAATGGCGGCAAGTCGATACTATCGAAAGGCGTCCCGGGCGGGCCGCGCGGAAAGTCCCGCTCCGCCATTGCGGAGGTTGCGCCACCGTGCGCAAGGTGATCAGCGTAAGAGGAATTCAGGCCATTGCTGGTGGGATTGCTGTCGTTCCCTGATCCTGTGGGAGCGCTGTTTTTGTCTATCGGTTCGGCCGCCATGGCGAGAGGATTGGTGTTTCGAATGCTGTGTGTGTTGCTGTGTATTGTTAGATTGAGATTGGTGTACTGCACTGTACTCACTCATGCCACTGTGGTGTGGCTCTATTGTTTCCGAAGCGTCAGCAGTGAAATGTTCTGTCGAGCCGCCTCTTTTCTTGACCGGCTGACACATTCATCTTGACAGCTGGCCTCCACTCGATGCACCTTGTCGCGCAATTCGCACGATGGGAGGAGCTTTGACCGTACACTCCACCCAGGGGCCAAAGGACCGCCACTCTTGTCTTGACATGTTTGTATGGGAACGTTTACTGTATCGATCCTTATAAGAAACCTTCATTTCTAACTGAAGACTGTTTCCACGAATTTATTGGTGGCCATGGAAGTTCCTTCAACGATGAATCGCTGTAGTACCCTAGAACTTCCCTAAACTGAAAACCCTGCACGTTTGGTCAATTGCGTTGGGCGTTTCCCCACTTGACTAGGGTCGAATCTGATGATGTAAGTGCAAGCTGTCATTACTTACATGTTAGGCTATAGTGAGTAGCACTGTACTTACACAAACAGTTGCACATATTCTCTCCTCGGCCAATCATATCGGGGTGGTATCGTTGCTCTCTGCCACAGACTTCTGACGCCGCCACCCCAAAATCCTCCCTGCACTATCCTCCACTTCACACCTGCTGCCATCTGTATCCCCCTCCACAGACCTACTAACACCACCATCAGTATCCCCTGCAGTAGGGCTGAAACTGTCATCACCACCACCCACCTCAAGGCAAAAGGCAAAACCACCTCCCTCACTCTCCAATTCTTGTTCCTCCTCCTCCTCCTCCTCCTCGTGCAATTCTCCAGTCCCGAACACAGATGCTTGCTTCTCTATCCCTCCATTCATATCAACAGATACAGCAGCACCAGCAGCAGCAACAAAACCAACTGCCGAACCAGCAGCCGAGCCAGCAGCCGGACGGGCAGCCGAGCCAGCAGCAGCCGCCGAGCCAGCAGCAGGCACCAAATTCACAGAAAGTGAGATTTGAGTGGGAAGACTAACGGGTACCAGGTGTGGGATATGGCTAGAAGCATGTGGCTGAGAGGACTTTGCTGCTCCTGCTGCTCCAGCTTCTGCTGCTTCTCCTGCTGCTGCTGCACCTGCTGCTGCTCCGCCTGCTGCTACTGCTGTTTCTGCCACTTCTGCTGCTGCTCTGCCTGCTGCTGCGCCCACTGGCGATGCTGCTGCTGCTGCTACTGCTTCCGCTGGTGTTGCTGCTGCCGCAACTGCTGCTGCGCCGGCTGCTGTCGCTGCTGGTGCCGCCTCCGATACTGCCGCTCCTGTCGCTGCTGCTGCTGCTTCTCCTGCAGCAGCATGAGGGGTCGCTACTGCAGGCACTGCAGTGGGTGGGGTCTCCAGGTGGTCGAAGAAAGAGAGCCACCCCGGAGATCCCGAGGTGCCACGGCCCTTCCTGTCGCCCACTGCCCTCGTCATGCGCGCGTGCTGGTCTGCAAAGGGGGGGCGGGGGGAAGACAGTCACAGGGAGCGCTGTGAGTCGGCTCCAAGAGTTGCTCTGCTTTCTGCTGCACTCGCTGCTGCTGCCGCCACCCCTGCTGCCACTGCTTCCCCCGCAGCAGCAGCAGCAGGGGGTGGGGCTTCCAGGTGGTCAAAGAAGGAGAGCCAGCCCGGAGATCCCGAGGTGCCACGGCCCTTCCTGTCGCCCACTGCCTGCCCTCGTCATGCGCGCGTGCTGGTCTGCAGAAGGGAGGGGGGGAGGCGGCGGGAGGAGAAAAAACAGTTACAAAACTCAAATCTGAGTCCATTCAATAGTCGTCATTTCCTGCCTGTGCTCACCGCCCGCGTCAGTCATGCACGCTGGTTTGCAGGGGGGGAAGAGATTTCAAATTCTGTGGGGCTTGTGGTGCACTAGAGAGGATTCCGGGTCACCTGCGATCATATCCGGAGTCAGCCCCCAGGAGAAGAGCTTGTATTCGGAGTGGCGCACAGCCAGGCTGTATTTCCTCCCCTCCCCCATCGCCATGCTCACCTGCGATCATGTCCGGTGTGAGTCCCCATGAGAAGAGCTCGTACTCCGAATGCCGCACAGCCACGCTGTACTTCCCCCCTTCGCCCATCTCCATCTCCGGATTCAACAGCCCCTCAAACTGCCTGACGGTCCAGCGGAACCAGCGCATGGGGAGGGAACCAGCGCATGGGGAGGGAACCAGCGCATGGGGAGGGAACCAGCGCATGGGGAGGGAACCAGCGCATGGGGAGGGAACCAGCGCATGGGGAGGGAACCAGCGCATGGGGAGGGAACCAGCGCATGGGGAGGGAACCAGCGCATGGGGAGGGAACCAGCGCATGGGGAGGGAACCAGCGCATGGGGAGGGAACCAGCGCATGGGGAGGGAACCAGCGCATGGGGAGGGAACCAGCGCATGGGGAGGGAACCAGCGCATGGGGAGGGAACCAGCGCATGGGGAGGGAACCAGCGCATGGGGAGGGAACCAGCGCATGGGGAGGGAACCAGCGCATGGGGAGGGAACCAGCGCATGGGGAGGGAACCAGCGCATGGGGAGGGAACCAGCGCATGGGGAGGGAACCAGCGCATGGGGAGGGAACCAGCGCATGGGGAGGGAACCAGCGCATGGGGAGGGAACCAGCGCATGGGGAGGGAACCAGCGCATGGGGAGGGAACCAGCGCATGGGGAGGGAACCAGCGCATGGGGAGGGAACCAGCGCATGGGGAGGGAACCAGCGCATGGGGAGGGAACCAGCGCATGGGGAGGGAACCAGCGCATGGGGAGGGAACCAGCGCATGGGGAGGGAACCAGCGCATGGGGAGGGAACCAGCGCATGGGGAGGGAACCAGCGCATGGGGAGGGAACCAGCGCATGGGGAGGGAACCAGCGCATGGGGAGGGAACCAGCGCATGGGGAGGGAACCAGCGCATGGGGAGGGAACCAGCGCATGGGGAGGGAACCAGCGCATGGGGAGGGAACCAGCGCATGGGGAGGGAACCAGCGCATGGGGAGGGAACCAGCGCATGGGGAGGGAACCAGCGCATGGGGAGGGAACCAGCGCATGGGGAGGGAACCAGCGCATGGGGAGGGAACCAGCGCATGGGGAGGGAACCAGCGCATGGGGAGGGAACCAGCGCATGGGGAGGGAACCAGCGCATGGGGAGGGAACCAGCGCATGGGGTGGGAACCAGCGCATGGGGAGGGAACCATCACTATGATGAGGAGGGAGGGGAGAAAGCCCTACACCCGGCTCACCTGCAATCATATCAGGCGTGAGTCCCCACGAGATGAGATCGTACTCTGAATGCCGCACTGCCAGGCTGTATTTCCCCCTCTGCCCCATCGCCGTGCTCACCTGCAATCATGTCCGGTGTGAGTCCCCACGAGAAGAGCTCATACTCCGAATGCCGCAAAGCCAGGCTGTATTTCCCGCCTTCCCCCATCTCCATCACCCGTATCTCGCAGTTGCCCGGATTCAAAAGCCCTTCGAACTGCCTGACGGTCCATCTGAACCAGCGCATGAGGAACACACGCGTGGTCAGCCCGTGCGTCACCATCACTATGTTGAGCGCTTTTCGCCGCGGGGGAGGGGGAGAAGCAGGAGAGGGAGGGGGAGCAGGGGGAGGAGAGGGAGCAGGAGGAGGAGGAGGAGGGGCGTGTGTGTCGGCATGTGTCTGTGCGTCGGCATTTGAATGTGCCGAATCTATCCGCCCATCTCCCATCCTTTCCTCTCGTTCCTCCTCTCCTCTAGCCCCATCTCTCCCCCTTTCATCTTGCTCCTCTCGGCCACCTCCAAACACAGGAGAACCAGCAGCACCAGCGGCGCCTGCACTACCAGCAGCACCAGCGGCAAAACCATCAGAAGAACCACCAGTAGCAACAGCATCAGCAGCACAACTAGCAGCAGCAATAGTGGCGGCAACAGCAGCAGTGGTGGCCGCAGCAGGAGGGTGGGCTGAGGGAGGAGGAGGAGAAGCAGGAGGAGGGGGGTGCAATCGGCACCAGTCAATGTCCCGCCACAAACTGTCAAGGAAACCTGTGGAGGGGGAGAGTGGGGTGGGGTGTGGTGGGGTGAGGTGTGGTGGGGTGAGGTGTGGTGGGGTGAGGTGTGGTGGGGTGAGGTGGACAAGAACCAAGATGTGACTTGAGCTGCCTGCCCCACACCTCCATGTGTGTGAATTCAAGCATTTGGCACAAGGAGGAGGAGGAGGAGGAGGAGGAGGAGGGGGGTGCAATCGGCACCGGTCTATGTCCCGCCACAAGCTGTCAAGGAACCTCGTGGGGGAGGGGAAGGAGGAGTGGGTGGGGTGTGAACTAGAAACATGCCGATGAAGGCCCACAAAGCCGAAACGCGCGTACGTTTTCTGAACCACTTGTAATCTGCCTTTTAATACTACTACGCTTACCTACACGTGTTCTCGCCTAGTACTCAGTGAATTTTTCTACTCAGATTAGTTAGGTCGGTCGAACCGAGCTTGCAGCTTTCTATCCGTTTCCTTCGTTTGAGAGCATCGTTTGGGAACCTCGTGGGGGAGGGGAAGGAGGAGTGGGTGGGGTGTGAACTAGAAACATGCCGATGTGACCCGCCCGCATAACTGCAGTTTCGAGTCGACTCGAAAGATGCCAGTCCAGGTCTCGATCACTGTGTATGTCTTTTGAGATGTGAGGTCTGCTGTTAAGCGAGGTGATGCTGTGGTGTGGAGTGGTGTGGTGTGGTGCGGGTGGGGTGGGCTGCGGTGCAAACCACTAGTCACGCAGTCGTACACGTCAGCAGACAACTCACCCTCAGGGAATTGTGTTTGGGAGGTGTATTGCGGTGTGATGTGGTGTGAAGTGGTGTGAAGTGAGTTGAAGGCAGACAAAGTTGATGCTGTGGTGGGGTGTGGTGTGATGCGGTGGGGTGGGGTGGAGAGCAACCCACCAGTCACACGATCATATACATCAGCAGACGACTCCCCCTCAGGGAATCGGTAGAAGAACCGTCCAAACCGCTGCCTCATGTCCTTGATCTGCCTCATGCGCTCCTGCACCTGGTGTGATGGGGTGGAGAGTGGTGAAGAGTGGTGGAGAGTGGTGGAGAGCGGTGGAGAGCGGTTTGTTGCAGTGGGGTTAGGTGTGGTAGTGACTCCCCCTCAGGGAATCGGTAGAAGAACCGCCCAAATCGCTGCCTCATGTCCTTGATCTGCCACATGCGCTCCTGGACCTGGTGCAGTGCGGTGAAGTGTGGTGGGGAGTGGTTTCTTGAGGTGGGGTTAGGTGTGGTGGTGTGTGCAAGAGATGCCCCTGGCATGCTCAAGCTGCCACATGTACTTGATCTGCCTCATGCGCTCCTGCACCTGGGGTGGTGCAGTGCGGTGGGGAGTGGAGGTATGTGGTGCAATGGTGTGCCGTGGAGTGCACAAATCCGTGCAATGGCGCATGAAACCTTCCCAAAGCCCTCCCTTGCATGGAAGCTTCCCAAAGCAAACCCTCTATTACCTGGAAGTTTCCCAAAACAAGCCCACTCCTACCTTGAAGCTTCTCAAATCCGCCTGAAAATCTCCCAAAACGTGGCCTCTCTTACCTGGAAGTTTCCAAAGTCCTGCTCCCTCAGCCTGGGCTCCTCCCTCACCCCCAGAATGTGCCGCCTCTCAAACGCACGCCCTATGCCGCGCAGGGTCTGCAGAAGGGAGGAGAGAGGATCAAAGGTTCAGGGTTTATGGATGAGAGGGGGACCTGAGAGGCAATGGCAGACTCGGCTCCTCCCTCACCCCCAGAATGTGCCGCCTCTCAAACGCACGCCCTATCCCCCGCAGGGTCTGCAGCCAGGGAGGAGAGGTGGGGGGGGAGGGGTGGGGGGAAATGAGGACGAGGGTCAGGGTTTAGAAAAACGGAGGGTTCAGGGCTTAAGAGGTTTATGCTTTCGATGGGGAGTAGAGTGGCAATAGCAGTCCGGACCCTTCTCCCACATCTAAGATGTGCCGCCTTTAAAACAAACGTTCTATGCCCCGAGGGTTCTGTTGAGAAGATGCTGTTTCAAGCGTTCAAGGTTTGAGGTTTTGGGGTTGAAGGTTTCACATTTAGGGATGAGAGGGGGGATTGGAGAGGCAATTGCGGCCTTGGCTCTATTGTTCTCCTCACCCTTCAGAAAGCGCCCTACTAGTTCCCCATTCCTCGCCACCTACTAATCACCTGAAGAGTTCGTAGGTAGGGTGATACGTAGAAATACACTCCCCAATCATCCTCCTCCTCCTCTCCGCTATAATCACCCTCGCCAGAGTCAACCCCTCCTGCGTTCCGCCTCCCCTCCTTCCCCCCTTCCCCGCCTCTCCCCTGCTTTCCCCCTTTCCGCCGGTCGAACTCGATTAATTTCCTAATCTGTTTGCCGCATTCCACGGCCTGCTCGAACCCTAGCGGCGTTAAAGACACGCGCGAGTCCGCGATTCGGGTGTAAATCCCCTCGTCTAAGTTCCCCTCGCTCTGCCCGTGTCGCACTAGTATAATCCGCGTCGGCCGTCGCAGCAGCGACTCTCGGGAAAGCGGATAAGACGGGTGAGAGGACGAGGAGGAGGAGGGGCGGGAAGGGGGGAGCGGAACAGCGGGGGCATTAGCGGGGGAAGGCGGGAAGGCGGGGCGCGGGAGTTGGGGAAATTGATCTGCCGCGAAGGCCGTAGACGAGCTTTTGGCGGCGCCGCCAGTGGCGGCGGCAAGCACGGTCCTGAATGCGGAGACCTGCGCACCGGGCGCGCTGCCTGGAGCCGCGCGCGCTGGGTTCAGCGGCGGGGAAACGGCGAGCGGAGGGGGAAAGGCGGGCGGGGGAGAAACGGAGCGGCTTTGCGGCGCAGATCGAAACAGGCCGTCGGATTCGTCCTCGAGCCCTAACCCTAAGCAGGAGAAGTCGTCAAAGATTTTATTTTGCGCGGCTCGGTTGGTGCTCCGAGGCGCCTCGAGCGTGGCGTTTCGGGAGCCAATCAAATTCAGGCAGCAGAGGTCGTCGAGCGATTGCTTGAACGAGTGAGGCATGGTGCAATCGGCGGCAACATCGTCGCGCGATTTGGTCTGCGTGAATCGCGGCGCGAGGCACGCAGGGAGAGGAGAGTCGCTGCGACGGTAAGATAGGCTGGATCCATCGGGAAACGCGGGCAGATCGGATGGCGCGGGAAATGCGGCGGGTAGGTTGGGCGAAGCGGGGAAACCTGGCGCCGAAAGTGGGTGAGGAGGATGGTTGAGCGGAGATTTTTCCTCTGCCATCGCGTCGAAAAAGGGCTGTTTAAATGGCGGCACGTCGTTAGAATGCGCCCTGGGCGGGCCGCGCGGAAAGTCCCGCTCCGCCATTCCAGAGCGTCACCTCCGTGCGCAAGGCGATTAGCATAAGAGAATTTAGGGATTTCTGGAACCAGCACTGAGACCGTGGCGTATAAGTATTGGGAATTTGGGTAATACGCCAGTACAGCTTCCGTGTATTTTGGATATTCTACCACACAAACTAAACCAATGCGGGTGCCTTCATAGCGAGTATTCAGATTCGAGCTTCATGAGGTTCGTTAACCATTGCGCACCGCATTGGAACGTTCTACATGCAGCTAATACCGATCAGATTGGGGAGCTCCGCGTGCTCCTCCTGACCTCCACACACTTTCGTCGCGAGGTACAGTGTGGCGCGTGACGTCCACTTGGGTTCGGTTCGGGGGCACACTGTTGCCCACAACAGTTCTGTAGCTCGCGAAGCATGAACCTACGTGGCGTTTAGGGTGGACCCATCATCATCATCATCTCTTCACGTTCAAGCCGTTTGTCGTTTTATCGACCAGTGCTGCTTATCACGTGCCTCTTATCCCTGTCTACAGTATTTCAGTTTGCACTAGAGGATTTTGTGCGTCTTGTGATGATCACTAAATAGGCTCGGAAATACTAGATTTGCGTCGAGCAGGTGACCTACGCTTGTCGTGACCAGACAGTTAGGCTCGGCAGGATATCTCGAAGATTCCACGTCAGCCCACGCGGTTCTTCCGCAAAATCCTCTGATTCTTTTCGAGGGGGCTCCCCCATTCACACAAATCCAGTCTGGGTCCATCGCCTCGAGGACCAGGCAACGACACCGACAGACGCGACATCAACACCCCAACTAGGAAGAAAGTGGTTTCAAAGCTCATCGCTGTTGAAATGGGCTCAAAGAGACAAACGGGCTAAGAAATTTAATCCTTTTTACCGATATCTTTACATGCGTTAGGATTCAGCTCAGAAAACTTGAGCTCATAATGGAATTTTGAACGCGCCTAAAGTTCGATGGAATTTTGAACACCGCAACTCCTTCCTCTACTTGCTTCCATTTCATTCCTCTCATCATCCATCCCACCCACGACGTGCGACGCGTGCTCCTTTCAGTCTGCTCGTCGAATGGCGCCTGTCGCTTGCCCTTCCCATCGCTTCTCCCTTTTCACTCGTCCATGGAACTGCAACTCAATCGCCTGTGCGGCTGCTAGAAGACTTCGGAGAGCGTACTGCGCACGCAGCACATGCTGGAAGCGCTTTGTGCGTTGGCTGTAGGATTGTCTCGTCTCGTCGCTTCCATTTCCATACTGCGCGATGGTGGCGAATCAGCCGTGGGGGGTAAGTCAAGTGTCGCTTGTGTGGGGTTGGTGTTTGAAGCAGCCATAGCGCGGTAGAGCCTCTACTGAGTAGAACGCAAAAGACCAGAGCAGAACACGCAAACCTACACACACTGTGGCAGCAATAACAAACCACAAGCACCGGTCCTTATTTGGACCACGCGCTTACCTCGTTCAATCCGACGCTTGCCGTGCACCAATCCACCATCTACATCGCAATCCGATCAATTCGATATCTCTCCTGTTATCCCAGATCCCCAGTCAAGCTGTAACCCCTCTCGTTCCCCACGTGATAGTCCTGCTCTTTCGCGCGTCCCGCGCTTCGTGTTTATCTGACGGCCTTGCCTTGTGGATAGGAGCGGTTGTATTGCGACGTAGCTTCTTTCTCACTCTCAGCCGTACGGAAAGTTTCTTTGTCTTCCTCGAAAACGATTTATGGTAATTAATCTCTCAGGTCATCCTAACAGATTCGACCAAACTGGAAACGGGACGTAACGTAGCACTAAACGCCAACCGTTATTCCGGGTCTGAGCTCCTTACGACCTCTTCCGCTTCTCGATTCGAAAGCCGCAATTCCAGACCCGCACCGGCCTCATTTCCCGCGCTAGCAGTGCCCTTGAAAGACGCTCAATTTCCGAGCTTGCACATTAAACTGTTGGCTTGGTAGCACTACACCACGCCTGACAGACTCGGGGCACGAGCTACTAGCTGCGATTCGCGCTGTCACTGGCTCAGCGGAGCGCCACGGTAGTAATAGTACGAGATCTGTTAATAGCAAGTCCAGTCCTGTGCCTGCAACGACAGTGGCGGCTACGAGTGAGCTACCATGGCTCCACAAGCCGCGTTGTCGTTCCAACAGCAGCAGCAGCAGCAGCAGCGCGTTCACCCGGGCCGGGTCGCACCTTCCGTGACTCCCGCACAGCGCGTTGCGACGGCGCCGGCAGCACCTGTGCCGTCGAAATCGCCGCGGCTCGAGGAGATGGCGGAGGCTTGGGGTCGCGATCTGGATTGGAAGGTCGCCCCGCTCGTCCGGCGAGGAAAATCGAGCGACGAATTGCCAGCAATGCTGGCAACGACGGCAATTCTTTCCCAAAAATCGCACGCAGGAATTTCGCAGCTCTCCTACTCTGAAAACTTGGCGTCGCGCCGCCAGTGGTCCGCGGCAGCAGCGCTTGCGCCAGTGGCGGGAAACGCGGCCGCGCAGATCGCGGCGTGTCCAGCGCTTCTTGCGCAGCCTCGGCGAGATTGCGGATCATCTCCGTCGTCAGAGCGCGGCGCCGCGGTTTCGTCGTTGCGCACCACGTCAAGGGTTTTTTTCGCAACTCCCCCGGCGGCGGCGGCGGCGGCGGCGGCTGCTGCGGCTGTTGCGACTCCTGCTGGCGCGGCTGCTTCGTCGCAGCCAATTTTTAGGGTTCCCGAGCTGACTGCTGCGAGTGGGCCTGTCGCAACGAGTCGCAGTTGCGGTCGCATGCCGCTGCTTCAGTCGCATCCAGCGTCTTCGCTCGATGGCTTCGCTAAACTTCGCAACGCCTATGGGAGCGTGGTGGTGCCGCGCGAGAGCTGCGGTGTTGTGGCGACGGCGCAGCAGCAGTTTTCGCACGTGATTGGTCAGCAGCAGTTTTCGCAAGAATTCCCACGTGTTCGCGTCCGAGACGCCGCACCTCGAAAGAGAACGTTCACGCGTTCAATAACTACAGGTACAGTAAACGCAAGTTCTACTGTTATCCCCGAATTGGAAGACTATGGGTTCGAATACGAGTGCCCTCCAAAAAGGGCAAGGTCTACACCCACTGCACGTCGGGCTGCAGCTATGAACTTTCCGGCTCCATTTCCTGATGCTGACGTGGCAGAGGTGGCTCCCGAAGATGAGGTGTCGCTACAAATGCAGCTGTATCTGCTGAGGCGGCGGCAGCGGCAGCAGCTGCGGCTGCTGATGGAGGCGCGTCAGGCGGAGCAGCAGCAAGTTCAGTTTTCTGCTGAGCTGGCAATGATGGAGAATGAGATGATGCTGACTCAGCAGACTCAGCTACAGCAGAAGTTTCTAGAGCAGCAACAGCAGGCTTTTCAGCTCGGTCAGCAGCAGCCGTTGGGATGTGAGCAACAGCTGGCATGTCAGGAGCAGGTTCAGCAACATTTGATGTTGGAGGAAATGCAGCAACAGCTGCTGAAGCAGCAACTACAGGAGAAGCAGCAACTGCGGAGGCGGCAGCAGCTGCAGGAGCAGCAGCAGCAGCGACAACAGACACTAGAAGACGAGATCACAAAAGTGTTCCTGCAACGGCAGCAACTGGCATACACCCAGCAGCTTGATTGCCAGGCAGCACAGCAACAGCAGCAGCACGGCCACCAAGCAATGACCAGCACAATCCCTGCACGCCCAATCAGCAACGCCCAAGCTGCACTTGAAGCCGCGATCCTCCCCGTCTCAGCTTTGGGAGCCGGACCTGTCCCTCTGGCTTGGCCCGAACCAGCACGTCAAGCCGCCGCTGCACGATTCGTTCAAGCCCAGAAGCAGCGGACTGTCCTAGGTTCGGCCGCTGCAGGGGAGGCTGGAAAGAAGAGGATCGGAAAGCCCTCCAGAGGGTTGGAAAAGGGTTGCAGCTCGAAGAAACCTTCCGACAATAATCCAGCTGCGATGCTTGAGGCTCTCTTTGAAAAATCGTTCAAGGAGAGAAGTGCGAGCAACATGACAGGTCAGGGCATGGCGAGCGGCGGGAGCTTCGAGAGTGATGCGCGCATGAATGCTGCCGCTCTGCCTGCCGACATGCTGGTTGCTGGGCAGAGGGCCGATCAGGCATGCAGATTCAAGCTGGAGAATGAAGCTTGCAGTTTCAGTGAGCCATCTTTGCTGCAAGTGAAGCAGGAACTTGCGCAGAAATCCGACCTGCCATACGGACAACTCACGCCGGCCGAAATCATTAACGGCGCACCTTTCTCCGGAGTTCCCAAGGGCATATCTTGTGCATCCGCTCAGCTGGAGACTTTCAGGTACCTGAGTGCGGCTCTCGTCGCGTGTGAGCCGTTGGATCCTGCTCTGTACACGTGTCAGAATCTGGATGATCCGAACCTGGACGTGCCGCTGCAGGAGCTAGAGGCAGTTGAGAGCTTGCTGGGGGTGACTCCATACACTGCTGGTCAACCCGGTCAACTTGGTCAACCCGGTCAACCTGGTCAATCTTCTCAGATCTTCTCTCCGATTGTCTCCGCCTTGGATTCTGCTGGCCAGTCTGCAGCTGCCAGTGCTTTCCCGGGGGCAGCAGGTGCTGCTGCTGCAGTTTCAGCTGCTACCTCTGCTGCTTCTGGTGCCTCCATGCCAGCTGCATCTACACCTTCTACCGTGATGCCTGAGCTACAGCGACGTCATGATTTGTACGCTATCCCGCAATCATGCTTTGCTGGCGATGGCAGTGGCGTATCTGCCTTGCTCACCCACCCTGCTTCGGTGTTCCCAAGCCCCGTCATTCCAATTTAGAAAGTTGTCCGAAATAAAACCGAACCTCAAGCGGTCCTAATGGCAATAATGCCTGATAAATGATGTTTTTTGGGGTTGTACTCCATGTGTATATTTACAGAATGGTATATCCCCTTTAGTATAATCCTGAATTCATGTGTACAACGAATTACATTCGGTTTTCTCATTGCCCTTGCCCAGCCTGCACCCATTTTTCATTTCCCGCCTAGATAGGGTAGTTGCTATGTGTATATTATCTCGCGTCCTTGTATCTTCAGTCCATAGTGTAACAGCTTCGTTATTAGTTTCCACTCAACTCTGTTTTGCAACTCATAACAAGCACAGTGCTTTGTCCGCTTTTGTGGCTGGACCCCAAGACAAAGGGAGCAGCACAGTAAACAATTTCGTTAATGGAACAAGATCAGCAGTATTGGGGAAGGCTCTGTGGGCGCATGCACGAACTGGCGAACACCAGGACTCGCGATGAGAACGCAATCACTTGCCCCACGTAACGCACCGCACTCATCCAGCTCCCTTCTCGTAGGTCGTGTTCGATGTGAAAATCAGGATCCCTGCCGAGGCCAGTTGCAGTTCGAACAAAAGTCTTTCTTTGTTCCACTGCAAAACATTACGCTGAAGTACGTCCCGTGCCTCTGTTCATCAATTCAGAATGGGGTCTCATGTGAGCGGCTCGTCAATCCCACCACCTTCGAATGTACAGCTGCCATCGGAGCAAATCTCAATTCTTCACGAGGCGCGTTCTGCAATGGCTGATGAAGGGGAGCCGTGATAAGAACAAGGGCCGATTACTTGGCTAGTTACCTGCGGCCTGGCAATTAGGGGGCGATGGACCGACGGTCGTTCGCTTGAATTCTCTACAACCACAGTTGGGTTCTCTTGAGCATTGCGAGTCGCCTCATCCTAATTGCCGAAAAAGGGATTGTATGTCCTGTCGCTGGCTTGACCCGCTGAAACGAGATATAACGACCAGGTTATTATATTTACATCCAATAGCACTCGTATGCGAGTCACTCTCGACCTTAGCATGCGTGATTCAGGAAAGAGTCGATTTTTGACGCGTCTCAAGATTCGAGCTTCTAGAACACGTTATTCGGGAATGGCTTCTAGAGAATTGCAGAAAATGACACCTCGCTCGCGAACATGCTCGGACGACAACGTCGCAGCACAACGTCGCACGCTCGTCGCATGCCGACGCCGGACTCCCGCAAAAAACAAGGCTGCTGCTGCGACCCGCCCAACTCAGTGCTCCGTTTCTAGAAAACGGCATATTATCTCACCTTGTAGACGGCACCTACGCCACGACCTACATAATGCGACTTCGTTTCCTACTCGATCTAGAATCCCCCGCGCCGCGCGAACACCGCTCAAACGCATAATGCGGCGTTTATGCTCCTCACGGAGAGGACCTCTTGCGAGGCATCGTCGACGACTTGAGAATAAGCATTTGACTACGAGACGCGAACTAGTCATAGATGCGCCTAGAAGAAAACGAGCTGTTGCCTCCCGCGCTCTCCCGCAATTTCATCCTGATATAACTCCTCATTCGCCCACGACACGTGCTTCGGTGTCGGAGGCGCCTCAGAAACGGACACCCCGCGCCGCTCACTGTCGAGTCCGGCTTCCCGCGACTACTTGTAGGAGCCGGTACTCCGGAGGACTGGCAGCACTGATTACGGTAGCCTGCGTGCTGACGTGGACCTCGTTATTGTCACTCTCGGCGGCTGCAGAAGCGCCGGCTTTCGACGCGACTCGGAACTCAGCTGCAGGGTCGTCGGTTCGGAAAGTGGTCGGGAATTGGACGGCTCGAGTCGCGCCAATCCTCGTTAGTAGTAAAAGCGCTTTTCGCAAACAGTACATTGTGACTCTAGCGTCCGTGCCGCCCGTACTGTCGTACCACGGTGGGCTGCCCGGATTGTCTGCTACCGCGTTGCCTGATAACGAGGATGAGGAAGTGGAGGGGGAAGGGGAAGGGGAAGGGGAAGGGGAAGGGGAGGGCGAAGGAGAGTGGGAAGGAGAGGTGGGAGTGGGAGGTTCGGGGAACAACACTGATTCCAGCTCTTCTGTCGTTAATGGATCTGGTTATAACGAAGCGGCAACTTCTCCGGCTGTTCAAGGGGAAAGTAACAATCAGGAATGGCTGGAGGGGAGTGCGAGTGCGCAGGCTACAGGCGGGGTAAAGGGGAATAGTAAGCTGCCAATAAGAGGAGGGAAATCGCGAATTCCTCGATTGACGCGCCCTGATGTCCGCATGCCGCACGTGCGATCGTTCGTGCGATTCCTGAAGCAGTCGCACAGGCAGCTGCTGGCGACACTCGACATCCCGAGCCGCGCGATTTACCAGAGGTGTGTGGCTGGTAGTGAATTTGCTCGTAAAGGAGCGAATCCCAAGGTGAGCGAAGGAGGGGGGTGGGAATGGGGGAAAAGGGGGGAGTTTGGTGAAGGCAGTGGGGAATAAAAGTTCCGCGCATCTCTCTCAGCCCTCTTCTCCCTTCCCCGTGCAGCTTCACTTGCGAATCTTCCGTTCCGCGTGCTCCCCCTCCCCCTCGCCTTTACTATTTACCGATTCCTCCATTTCCCCTCGTCTGCATCTTCCGCATTCCCTTTTGCCCCCCTTCCCCAATTTTGCCCCTCTGCATTCCCCGTTTGCCTCCTTTTCCCCGCCCCCTCCCCCACAACCCTCTCCCCTCCCTTACCTCTTCCGCTTTCCCCGTTTGCCTCCTCTCCCCGCGCCTCTTGCGCCGTTCCGCCGCTCGCTCGGCCCGCGCAGTTACACCTACACTTCCAACGGCTTTGCCGCCTCGCTGACGTCAGCGGAGGCGAGGAGATTAAAGCTTCACCCGGCTGTAGCGGCGGTGGAGGAAGACGAATATCTACCCGCGCTAACTAGTAGCACCCATCTCCGCGACCCGGATACTTTTCCCCGGCTGCCCGAGGCCGAGAAGGGCGGGCAGGTGGGCGGGCAGGCGGGCAGCGTGAGGAGGAGAAAGCTGATGACTGATTCGCCAGGGTTTCTTCGGCTGCCCGGGTCCCTGTGGGCGGCGAACGGCGGGCAGGATAATGCGGGGGAGGGGGTGATTGTGGGAGTGATTGACACCGGCGTGTGGCCGGAACACCCATCATTCGCTAATACAGTAAGTGTGGAAAACAGAATAGCACAATATGTTAGCGAGTAGCGAGTCAGCAGTATCGAAGTGGAAAGGGAGTGATAGACACTGGCGTGTGGCCGGAACACCCGTCATAAGCTAACACAGTAAGTGTCTGAAAACAAGAAAAGTCTCATTTCAACCATCACTCGCCTAACACAGTTATATGCCCCCGCCGCCGCTACCCGTCTGTCCCCTGCTTCCTTCCCCTCCCCTCCCATAACTCCCCCTCCTTCCCCCGCCCCATTCCCTCTCCACCCCACAACCACCCCCCCACCTTCCTCTTCCTTCCCTAGCCATCCAACCCCTACGGCCTTATCCCCCGCCGGTGGTGCGGAAAAAGCCAGGCGACTCGGGACTTCCCCGGGTCGCTGTGCCCATCGGCGCGCAGTACTCAAGTCGCCCGACTTTTCCGTCTTCCCCTTCCTTTCTGCCTCTCTCCTTCCTCCAGCCATCCAACCCGTACGGCCCTGTCCAACGCAGGTGGCGGGGGAAATGCCAGGCGAATCGGGACTTCCCCCAGTCGCTCTGCTCGCGCAAGCTCATCGGCGCGCGGTTCTTCGCGGCGGGCGTGCGCAAGTCGTCGGCGGGAGTAAACAAGGAGAAGGACTTTCTGTCGCCGCGCGACGGGGATGGCCACGGCACGTGGTGTGCCAGGTGCGTGGGTGGGTGGGTGGGGTGCGGGTTAGCCGGGTCACCGATGGCCCAACTAGCCCATTTTCTACTCCCTCCCTCTCCCACATCCTCCACCCACAGCGCAGCAGCAGGCAACGTCCCTCTCACCCTCCACATCCCGAGCCCGCTAATCATGGTTTCTCACTCTCCCCCTCCTGCTCTCCCTCTCCCTCTCTCGTCCCCCCTTTAACTCACAGCCCAGCAGCAGGCAACGCCAACGTGCCTCTCACCCTCTCCCCGACACGCACCCTAGGCACCATCTCGGGAGTGGCTCCCCGCGCTCGCCTCGCCACCTACAAAGCGCTCTGGGTCACCCCGGGCGGGGAGGCGGGCTGTGGGGGAGCAGGACAGGGGGGAATTTCAACCCGACTCTTCCTAATTCTTCTCCCTCTGCTTCTACTCCCTCCCTGTCACGCCCTGAACCCACAGCGCAGCAGCAGGCAACGCCAACGTGCCTCTCACTCTCTCGCCCACCAGAACCCTCGGCACCATCTCAGGAGTGGCGCCCCGAGCGCGCCTCGCCACCTACAAGGCGCTCTGGGTCACGCCCGGGGGGGAGGCGGGCGCGTTCCAGTCAGGCATCCGCGCAGCCGTTGATGCGGCCGTTCTCTCAACACTAAATAGTTTCTCCCACTCTCCTTCCCTCTCCCTCTCCCCCTCCTGCTCCCTCTCCCTCTCCTCTCGCCCCGTTCGACCAACAGCGCAGCAGTAGGCAACGCCAACGTCCCTCTCATCCTCCCTGCATCCAGAACGCTAGGCACCATCTCAGGAGTGGCGCCCCGTGCGCGCCTAACCACCTACAAGGCGCTCTGGGTCACCCCTCCTACCTCCCTGCTCTCTGCTCATGGCTTCTCCCACTCTCCCTCCCTCTTTCTCTCTCTTCCCCCATTCAACCCACAGCGCAGCAGCAGGCAACGCCAACGTGCCTCTCACTCCCTCGCCCACCAGAACCCTCGGCACCATCTCAGGAGTGGCGCCCCGAGCGCGCCTCGCCACCTACAAGGCGCTCTGGGTCACCCCCGGGGGGGAGGCGGGCGCGTTTCAGTCAGACATCCGCGCAGCCGTTGATGCGGCCGTATCCGACGGTGTGGATGTGCTCTCGTGCTCGTTTGGCGGCGCCATTTCGCGGTATTTCAACGACCTGCCGTACCTGCAAGCGCTCAAGGTGTGTGGGAGGGTGGGTGGGAGGATAGGCGGGTGGGAGTGGGTGGGAGTAGGTGGGAGTGGGTGGGGGACCTGCTGTCTCTCGCGGTATTTCAACGACCTGCCGTACCTGCAAGCGCTCAAGGTGCGTATGGGTGGGGCTGGGTGGGAGTGGGTGGCAATGGGTTGGAGCCCCGGCTCTCGCGCTACGTCTGCCATACCTGCAACCGTTCAAGGCGCGTGTGGGAGGGGCTGGGTGGGACCGGGTGGGTGGGAGGATGCGTGGCACCTGCTGGTGGTTACCGCATTTGCTCTGCTGCTGCTGCTGCTGCTGCTGCTGCTGCTGCTGCTGCTGCTGCTGCACTGCTTACACCCTCTCTCTCCCCCCACCACCCTCCATGCCCCTCGCCCCTCTCTCCAGGCGGGGGTGTTGATAGCCTTTGCAGCGGGCAACAGCGGTGCCTCTCACACCACGCCCTCTCACAGACAGATACTTCTGGGCTTGCTGCTGCTTGCCAAGGTAACACCATCTCACACCTCTCTCTCCTCTCCTCACCCCTCTTTGTCCCGGTCCCTCCATTCCCTGGCCCCTCTCCAGGCGGGCGTGTTCATCGCCTTTGCAGCGGGCAACAGCGGCGCCCCCTCTAAGGGGCAAATGCTCGGCACTCTCAGCAACACGGCGTCGTTCTACCTCACTGTGGGGGCCAGGTAAGACCTGGGTTGACTGGGGTTGACTAGACTTGGGTTGACTTGGGTTGACTTGGGTTGACTTGGGTTGACTTGGGCTTGGCGGGGCCGTCTCGCGGTATTTCAATGGAGCACCGTCCAAGGGGCGGATGCTGATACTCACCCTGGGCAACGGAGTGCAGCTCACGGGGCTCATATCCTTTCTTCCTTTGATTACCTCACTCATTCCCCTCCCCTTCTCCCCTGTCCTTCCCCCCACCAGCACCATCGGTCGTGAGTATCAGGCCAACCTCACCCTGGGCAACGGAGTGCACCTCACAGGGCTGGCCGCTGGGCTTTCACCAATTTACCCCTCCCCCACGCTCCCCCCTGCTCCCCCACCTTTTACCCCCCACCAGCACCAATCGCACTCTGGGCAACGGAGTGCAGCAGCTCGCGGGGCTGGGCTTTCACCAATCGCCCACTCAATCTTTCCCATCTCCCCCACCCTATCCCCTGCTCTCCACACTATCCCTACCCCCACCAGCACCATCGGCCGTGAGTATCAAGCCAACCTCACTCTGGGCAACGGGGTGCAGCTCACGGGTCTGGGCTTGCATCAATTCCCCTCTTGCTTTCTTTACACCCCTTCCCCCACACGCCCCCCCACCAGCACCATCGGGCGTGAGTATCAGGCGAATCTCACCCTGGGCAACGGGGTGCAGCTCGCAGGGCTGGGGTTTCATCAATCCCCCTCCTGCTTTCTTTCCCCCCTCCCGCACGTCCCCCCTCTCCCATGTCACCAGCACCATCGGTCGTGAGCACCAGGCCAACCTCACCCTGGGTAACGGAGTGCAGCTGACTGGGCTGGGCTTTGGCAGCAGACTCACGCCCTTTCCTCTGATCACCTCTCCTTCACGTCCCCCTCTCCCCTATCCTTCTCCCCACCAGCACCATCGGTCGTGAGTATCAGACCAACCTAACCCTGGGGAACGGAGTGCAGCTCACGGGGCTGGGGTTTGGCAGCGCAGGCAACGCACAGGACCTGCCTCTCCTGCTCTCCTCCGCTGCCGTTCACCCGCTGGGGACGCTAAGCCTGGTGCGTGGTGGGAGGGAGTAACGGGTTTGGTAGTGCATCTCACGGGACTCACGGGGCTGGGGTTTGGCAGCGCAGGCAACGCGCGGGACCTGCCTCTCCTGCTCTCCTCCGCTGCTGTGCACCCCCTGGGGACGCTGAGCCTGGTGGGTACTAGGTGTTTGGTTGAAAATAATGATGGTCAGGCTTTGGCAGCGCAGGCAACGCGCGGGACCTGCCTCTCCTGCTCTCCTCGGCTGCAGTGCACCCCCTGGGAACACTCAGCCTGGTGCGTGCTGGCATGCTTGGTACAGGTAGGCGGGCGGATGTTGGATTGACACTTGAAGGAGATGGGCAACGGCACAGGCAACGCGCGGGACCTGCCTCTCCTGCTCTCCTCGGCTGCAGTGCACCCCCTGGGGACTCTCAGCCTGGTGCGTGCTGGCATGCTTGGTACAGGTAGGCGGGCGGATGTTGGATTGACACTTGAAGGAGATGGGCAACGGCACAGGCAACGCGCGGGACCTGCCTCTCCTGCTCTCTGCTTTACAATCATTGGGGACTCTGCGCCTGGTGTGTGGTGGGAGGGAGAGGGGAATGTGTGTGGTGGGATGGCTGGTGGGTGCATAGCAGAAAGCTATGCTGGTAGGGCTGGTGGTGGGTGCTGGTAGTGCCGGTGGTGGGAGCTAAGTGGGAGAACAGAGTGCAGCTGACAGAAGTGGGAAAGGGCTGGGCTTAGGAAATGACAGACGCGTGAATGCGGACAAGCACTACCAGCATTCGTCAGGACAAGGCGAAGCTCTCCGAACGAATGCTGGTATGCACCCTGAGGAGGAGGGCCAGCAACCATATCCGACCCCTTTCCCACACTCACCCTCTGTTGCTCTCGACGCCGCTGCTGTGCTGCTGCTACTGTTCTAACCTCCCTTTCCCTCATTCCTCCTTCCCCCTCCCCCCCCACACCAGGCGCGAGAGTGTTTCGCCTCAAGCCTGGACAAGTCTAAGCTATCAGGCCGCATGCTAGTGTGCAACCTCAAGACAAGGGACGTCAGAGAGGCAATGACAGACACCGCCTCTGCTGCTCTCGGCGCTGCTGCTGTGCTGCTGCTCTCCGCCTTGCCTTCCTCCCCGGCGCCCTCCCGCGTACCCTATACAGACGTCCCCGCTATTCACTTGAACGCGGAGGATTCCGAGACTGTTCGGCAGTACCTCAGCAAGGCAACCAAGTGAGTCCGGCAGTGTTTGCGCCGCTTTCGAATATTTGGAACATGGAAGGTGGTTTTGGGTGACACGTTTGAGTTGACTTGAACGCCGCGGATTCCGAGACTGTTCGGCAGTACCTGAGCAAGGCAGCCAAGTGAGTGGTGGGCGCATTAGAGAAGAAGTGTCTTTTGAAGCGTCTGTACAGCAAGCACACTGCGTCTTGCTTGGCTGTTGCGTCAAAGGTGCCTCGAAGGTGGATGCAGAGCAGTCGGAGACTGTTCGGCAGTACCTCAGCAAGGCGGCCAAGTGAGTCCCCATGCCAAGTAGTGTGTGTGGTTGGGCCTTGCGCATCCCATTTTGACGAAAAAGAAAGAAGGGAGAAGAAGAAGAAAAAGGTAAGATACCTGTGTCCCCCCTTAAAATCGCCTGTGTCCCTCGGCGTCACATATTGAAGGTGAATGCAATGCACTTTGAAACGGTTCCACTTTGTATGTTGCATAAAATAGTGGATACTGCAAGTTTACCCGCCCCCATCACCCCCTACCTCCCCTCCTTCCCCCATCTCCCGCCTGCTTCCTTCCCCTTCCTTGCCCCTTTTTTCCTCCCTCTCTTGTTGCCCCTCTCAGCCCCACGGCCTCCCTCTCCCCGCCCTTCACCACGTTCTCAGATTCAGCCCCATCAGTGGCCTACTTCTCCTCCACCGGCCGGCCCCTCAACCCCGCCTTCCCCGTCACCCCGCGCCTCCTCCCCTCCAACGACATCTTAAAGCCCGACATCATCGGCCCAGGGTTCCAGCTCTGGACTGCCTCCAGAGGCCTCAAACCCTCGTTTTCAACTCAGTCCTCTGAGTCAACTCAGTCAACTCAGTCAACTCAGTCAATTCAGTCAACCCAGTCAACCCAGTCAACCCAGTCAACCCAGTCAACCCAGTCAACCCAGTCAACCCAGTCAACTCAGTCAACCCAGTCAACCCAGTCAACTCAGTCAACTCAGTCAACTCAGTCCTCTTCTTCTTCCACCACCACCCCCACCACGCCCTCCTCTTCCTCCGAGCCGCCCAAATTCGGCTATCTTTCCGGAACCTCTATGGCCACCCCACATCTGGCCGGCATTGCCGCCCTGATCATCCAGAAAAATCCAAAATGGTCGCCCGCCCAAATCGCATCGGCAATCATGACAACCGCCTACACCACCAACAGGCTCGGCAACCCCATCCGCCGAACCACCAGCTCCGGCAAGAAGAGCACCGGGAGAACGGTCGAGGCTACCCCGCGGGATATGGGGTCGGGTCATATAGACCCCACCAGGGTAATTAACCCTGGCCTTACATTCCACGTGGGTTACAAGGACTATGTAAATTTTCTCGCGGGGCGTAGCTATTTCTACACCATGATGAATTTTCCCGGGTGTTGGGGGAATCCGGCCGGTGAAAGCGTTCAATCTCAACCGTCCGTCGATCGCCATCTCGCGGCTCTCAAGACCCGTGGTGGTAAGGCGTGTGGTGAAGAATGTAGACGAAGTGCCAGAGACATATAGGGCGATAATAAGGGGGCCCAGTGGAGTAAAAATAGATGTCAACCCGATGAGCTTCACCATCAATTTCGGGCAGACGCAAAAGTTTTCGGTGCGGTTTCGGCCCAAAGGGAAGCCGAACAGGGTGTTTAAGTTTGGTAGCCTTGTGTGGCGGGGTAATCAGTCGCATATAGTGCGAATGGTTCTTGCCATCAGAACTGAACCAGTGACTCAGTTTCTTAGCTAGGTGTTGCCTTGTTTCTCAACGCCTTGTTGATTATATATCCTATTAAATGATCAGATTAGATTATGAATGAGCTGAGAAACTTAGGCTCTCCCCGACCTGGAAGGAATGACAGCAGATCCGGGTGAGTATGGTACCGGTAGTGTAATATTACACAATATTGGCCCTTTCTCCTCAATCAATGTTTCCCTGCTCGGTGCGCCCCTCTGCCACGTACAGTAAGCGGCATACCACATCTATTTAGTAAGAAAACCCTGTACAAAGAGGTTTCTTACCAATATTGCTCTTACACTAAGGTAAGCACAAGCATATGCACAATCCATGGCTAGTTCCTGTAGCCACATCTAAAACCACTCGCCTAGAAGCACCAGACACTAGTCCTGTTTCCAGTAACGGGAGGGACGGGAGCGAAACTTCAAATGGTACGTCGATAATTTTGGGCTGCCCGGCTCCCAGTCCAAGCTGCCCGTCCGCATTCTTTCCCCAAACATATAGTTGCCCTTCGTCTGGGTGATGGATGGGAGGGGTGGAGGGCAAGGGAGAAAGGGAAAGGGGAAAATAGTGTAGCTTCAAGCTTGCAAAATCAAAATGAGGTGGATAGGTTGGTGTGGGAGGGGGAAAGGATACACATTTACATCTGCTGGTAAAACAACTCAGCAAATGTGATGTATTGCTGTATTACGGTATTTGGATGTGGCTACAGCAATTGTGTCGTCTGGTGGCATCAGCCAACTTGACTATGCAGCAAAAGGAACCTGGCTCTGTTGCAAAAACACCTGGCTCTGTTGCAAAAACACCTGGCTGTGTTGCCCAACTCACCTGACACAGCAGCACTCCAAGCACTCCCTGCTGCCACCCTGGCGATCTTCACTCCAGCCAATCCCGGAACGACACGTGGCACAGGCTGAGTCAGCAGCGAGTGCTGCCCCAATTGGCCGCTGCCGCCCCTCCCCCACGACCACACGCGCCCCTCGTCTGGTTGTGGGGAAAGAAGGATACAGGGGAGGGGAAGGGAGAAGAGGAGACATCCGTGCAAGGTACACCCCCGCTGCCGGCCCTCCCCCACAACCACACGCGACCCTCGTCTTCTTGTGGGGAAAGAAGGATACAGGGGAGGGGAGGCGAGGAGGGAGGAGGGACGAGGCGATGAGATCAGATTTAATGATTACTGCAGCCTTAGTCAGCTTGTAGGACCAGGAGGTAAGGTACTTGACAATATCCGATTTACGTGCAACGGTAATTTTCCTGCCAAGTGGCCCTCGCCCTTCCTTCCTCGTATGCCCCAAGTGAGATGATGGACGGTACTTTGACAACCACTCGCCCATCATCTCGCTCACCGTCCACTGCCAGCGTGTAAAGAGGTTATTTTTTGAGACGTCTCAAAAATAACCCCAAGGGGCGAGGTACTTTGACAATCACTCGTCCATCATCTCACTCACCTTCCACTGCCTGCCAGCGTGAGGAAGCCCAGCAGCAGCCAGGCGTGTGATGATAGGACAGGTGATGGTGGTGATGCGAGCAGGGAGGAGGAGGGGAGTGCAAGGCACACTCATTGGATAGAGTGCAAGGCACACTCACTGGATACAATCACTGTCCAATGCATGCACCTCATAGAGTGCAAGGCACACTCAGTTGGTGCTACTCTCACCGTCTACTGCCAGCGAGTGGAAGCCACCCGCTGCTAGGTGTGTGATAGGAGTGGTGATGGTGGTGATGCGGGCAGGGAGAAGGCCAGAAGCTGTTCGTCCCAGTTCCCCATTGTGATTCCCTGTGGATGGGACACGGTGGGGCACGGTGGGGCACGGTGGGGCACGGTGGGGCAAGATGCTACACGCTATTGATTTCCTGTTGATGGGAAACCGTGGGGCCACTCCCCCTCTCCTCACCTCCCCATGTCCACACACTCCCATCACACCGAACCCTCTTCCCTCCCATCCCATTCCCCCTACCCCCCAGCACCACCTCACCTCCCCACGTCCACACGCCACCCTCGCAATCCACAAAAGCAGGAAAGAACCCCCCTCCCCTTTTCCCCCACCCCCACCCAAAACTGCCCCTACCGCCCCTCACCCCTCCTTACCACTCCTCACCTCACCACGTCCACACGCCACCCTCGCAGTACTGCACCCCCTACCACCTCCCCCTACCGCCCCTCACCTCTCCCAACACCTCCTCACCTCCCCACGTCCACACGCCACCCTCGCAATCCACAGCAGCAGAGAAGAACCCTCCGCACGCGACCAACGAGACTCCGCCACGTGGCAGGCCCTGGGACGCCGGAAACTCGACCGGGATTGGCCGAGGCACGCACCCTTCTTCTCCTATCGCGTCCACTATATGGGGGATACCCAACCGCCCCTCCCCCTCATCCCTCCCCCACGCATAAACCCTCCCAGCGGTACTTAAACCCAAGGTATGGCTCCCCCCCGCTGCTGCTGATTTAATCTCCACCCCCTCCTCCAGCCAATCAGAGGGCGCCACGTGGCAGGGAACGTCCCTCCTGGTAAACTCCCCATGCCCCAGCGCCCCGAACCCGCCATACCCCCACGTGTACAGTCCCCCTCGCTCGGAAACAGCCAAAGAATGCAACCCGCCAGCCGCTGCGCTGCGCACGGCCGTCCCCTGCGGAAAATTAGGGTTTAAGGTTGGGGAGAAGAGCGAAATCTCGTTCCCCAGACCTAGCCTTCCGCCGTCCCCTCTCCCCCAAACCCAGAGCCTCCCGCGCAGCCACAGGAGCGAGTGACTGATCCCGCAAGACACGCCCGCTTGTAACTCCTCCTTAAGCCTACTAAAGGACGCGCTTCGGCTCACGCCTGTGGCTGCTTTTCCGCCTCCTCCTGCTGTTAGTGTTGCTGTGTCTGTTGTTGCTGGAGCTGCTCCAGAAGCTGCCGGTGCTGCTGCTAGCGCTGCTCCGTGCGCGTCAGAAGCAGCGGCTAGCGCGGAGATCTCGAGGGAGAGAGATTCGATTCGCCGCGGGGTCCACTCCGGATTTTCTTCTCCATGCCCCAACTGCCCGGAGTCTCCGCGGCCCCAACTCCACACCTCCAACTGACACGTGGCATCTTTTAAGCTGCTACTGTTACTGGTGGTGGTGAAAGCGCGGGGAGCTCCGGTTTTGCCAGGGGCTGAGGTGCCGGAATCGGCGGCAGGTTTCGCGGCGTCAAGTGCGGGGAGAGACGACAGGCATCGGTGGTGCAGGACGGATGGTATCGGGGCTGCTGATATCGCGGACGATTGAAAGGTGCGAAGGAGTCCTGCGCGGCAAGTACGCAAGGCAGCGACTAGTAGCTTTGGGTTGCCGTTGGCCATGTCATACCATCGGATTTCAAGGAAGAACAAAACAAAACGAAGAAGCGAAATCAACGACGGGAGACTCTTGGAAAGATATGGAAAAAGGCGCGGATGCGGCGAGGGATGCGGCGCAGGATGCGGGCTGGACAAGTGAAAGCAGTAGGGGCAGCATATGGCCGGGCCCACATTTCAGTGATGCTCAGCGCAATCCTTTGTGAACGGTCTAGTACGGTTTCAAGCGATTGGATGAAGCAGTGGGGAGTATTTTTGGACTCCTGGGCTGTAATTTGTGGGCTGGAAGGGGCTGGGTGCGCCCGACGAATCTCGGTATGTAACCAGGGCGCTACTTCTTTCGCCGCCCATCAAACAAGCTCTCAGGTCCTCGTCAACTCGCAATTCGTGAAAGAAACAACCAGTTGGTTCACCTCCGCGCTGTCGTCGTGATTTTGGCTGTAACTGTCGCCATTTCGCAGTTCACGTTACTGTACTCAGAAACTTTCCAGTTGGCAACCATGCTTCAATTTCGACTGACACGTTTCCCAATCCATGCACTCCCCTCCCCACACAACGCAATGGCTGCTGCATGCCTTGCTTTCTGCTCGGCGCGTTCCTGGTCTTGGGATTCTACCCAGGCCCAAGATCCACCTTTCTTGCGTTCAAGCACAATGTTAGATCACATCGTCTTCGCGCGATGGCGAGGAGTTTCGTTCCAACACAAGGTCACATCCGATGTCCTCACGAGCAGACGAGGTTTTTGACTGAACACAACAGCTTCCGTCACGAACACCTCGTAGTCGTCAACTCACTAATTTCCCAGCCAGCTATTTTCCGCGATGTCGAAGCTCGCGAGCGCGAGTGCGCGAGTAAAGCAGGTCCTGACAGATCCCAAGGTGCAGGCGACGAAAGTCAAGGCGCACAAGGTGAATGTGAGCGTGCTTAGGGAGATCTTTATGGGCCTGTCGCTCGGCGTCGTCGGCGGTCTGGTGTGGAAGACGCACCACTGGAACCTGCGACGACAGACGGAAGAGCTTTACGCAGGTGAGTCTTGAAGAGTTAGAATTGCCTGTCAATCGAGAGGGGGTGTTTGATTTCTTGTCTTGTCGTAATATCTGGTGTCAAATCTCCGAGAACTCTTTGGAGTTTCCAATTCGAGAACTCTTTGGAGCTTTCGAAACAAACGGCTTACATTTAGTATGCAGATCCAAGTAGGAGATTCTGGTGGTGATTTCCAGACCGGCCATGGATCCCTGGAACGAGAGAAGGGGTTTGTTAGCATCTGTACTCACACTGGATCTTCACAGATCCAATGCTTTTTGTGGTTGGATACTAGTACTCTTCACAGGCCCAAATCCTTTGGATCACAACCAGCCTACACTATCAGTGTGGTTGAATGGATGCTTGTTCTAGCTCATTTAAAGAATCTTTCCTGCCTTATATTCTGTGCCCTTCCCTTCACAGGTCTTGAGACAGGGGAGTTGAAGGCTGTCTTTGAGAGTTGAAATGTAGTTTGGTTTAAAAGGGGGGTCATAAAGCTGGTGTATGTCTGTATATAATTGCTGTAGTATCAGTCTGAATTTCCCCGTTTGTGAAGATGCTGTACAGTACAGGACAATTTAACGAAGCCCCTTGAGTGTGTACGTGAGGGGATTTTTCCCGCCAAATTTTAGATCGATAGTGCGGGGAAATGCAATCATGTCATGTTATGACGTCAGCAGCACGCGTGAAATTGCAAGCAGGCAAATTTTTCACTTCACCACCACTTGTCGGATGGCTAGTTCGCTTATTTTCTTGAAGGGGAATTTCTACTGATGTACACTTTTTGAAAAGCAAGCCGCCGCGTCTTCCATTATTGCCCGCTGTGGAGGGGGCGTACAGTGACTAGTGTTTCCACTTTTATCACACCGTAATATGGAGTATTGTATTGGGCTGGCGCAGTCGAAAGTTAGTGCTGGAAGCTCTGGCTGGGGTAGCGGGCAGCAGCGCGGGGAACCTCGTTTCGTGTGATTGCCCCAGCTTCATTCTGCCTGTGGGCGGCGGAGCGATTTCACCAATGCTCTGACACCCCAGCTTTCCCCCACCCACTCACCCCTCTCCCCCTCTTCTGCGCACCAACCCCCATCGCCTCTGGGAGGAACTCTGTCCAATTGAGTCGAGCCGGGAACATTCCCCCCAACCCCCCCCCCCCCCCCCAAACACCCTGGCACGTGGCGAGGCTGCGCATGTACAGTTGTACTGTACACGAGGATGGTTTGCCGCCTGCCTGACCTTCGGGATTGCCGCCGCGGTTTGCTTCTGCCCCTTCAGGTGCGTGCGGCCCAAGATCCCGCGCAGAGCTGTGTCACCTGAGGATGGTGCAGAAGCAATCGCAGCCGCACATTCGAAACCTCGCTGCATCAGAAGAAACATCGCCTACAGCTACAGTAAAACAGCGCAACCACGAGGTCTGTACCCTCGAGTTTGCTGCAGGCGAAATGCCCCCCTCCGGGCAGCTCAAATCTCCGAACTGCGGCCCAGAAGTTCCACGCGCTCCCCCGTCGCCCTTCCCCGCGCATCCCTCTCCAGCCGAAATTGTCCGTTCGGCTTCCAATCTGCTCGAGCCAAGAACCCAAGGCCCCGTGCCCCTCGGTCTGACCGCGCCGTCGCCTCTCCCTAACCCTCTCCGCGTCGCGCCTCCCTGCAAAGATTGCGCTGCGCATCCTTCCGCACTTCTCCCCCCTCCTCCATCCAACTCCCCCCAAGAACTCTGCTGGCGCAGTCAGCCGAGCCAAGCCCAAGGCGGATTGCCTATGTCGGTTCTCATCTCACACACAACAACGCGTGGCTTGAATATTCACGAATCACAACCCGTTTTCTTCACAGGCTGCTGTTTTTGCTGCTTGTGTTGGGTTTGGAATTGTGTTCGGTTGAGAGGTTCTTGTTTTTAGAAAGGGGTAGGTTGCGCAGTACGGTAGGGTAGTGTCTGTTGGTTGGAGGGAGGGATTAGCGGAACGGCGAGGCAGCTTCTCATCGCCGTCGATTTTCCGGCACTTCGGTTCGTTAAATCGACGGCGCTAGTTTTTCCCCCGATTTCGGCTTCGCGTTACCAGCTGCGTCGAGCCAAAGGAGTCATGGCGACGGCCGTGCTCGACACCCCCGACGCAATTTCCTCCGCGCCGCCCGTCCAAGTGCAAGTGATCAGCCAATGGGAGACGGCGCTTCAGAGCATGGTGGAGGAGAAGGTCCGCTCGTGGTACAAGCTGGCCAATCAGGGCATTTTCACGCGCCGGCGCACAAAAGGCGGGAAAAAACATCACCACCACGACGCGCCGCCCCTGAAGCAGCAGCAGCGAGCGGGTCACCGCGATGCGGGGGAGCATCACTCCGTTAAGCACGGGGAGCATCAGCATCACTCGGTTAAGCACCACAAGAAGCACCATCGAGGAGCGGAAAACGCGGCGGCTCCGGCGCATGCGGTGGACGTGCGCGTGGAGTGCGAGGAGGGCGCTGCGGAAACCACGCCGCTGCTTGCGGCGGGCCGGACGCAGCAGCTGGAGCAGAAGCTCCTTAAGGGGGAGCGGGTCCGCGCTGTCTGGTATGTGTGTGCGCTCGGCGCAGTGCCTTTTGAGTCGGCACTATTTGCTTGGCATGCTTTGTTTGTGTCGGCGGCACAGTGTTCGCGCTATTTGCTGGGTGTTTGAGATATCCGAGAACACATGTTTTGAGTCGACTCAAAACACGGCCTGTTTTGTGTGTGTCACCGGCACAGTGTTCGCGCTTTATGCTTTGTGTTAGAGATATCCTAGAACACATGCATCTTTAATCTGAGGTGGCTGTCGCCTTGTTCTCGTCGCACCATTCTCATCATCGCACCATTCTCATCGTCGCACCATTCTCATCGTCGCACTGTTCTCATCGTCGCAGGGGCATCGTCACAGTGGGCATTCTCGTGGCACCGGCGTGCGCTTGCGCGCTCTTTGCGCTGCTCTTCCCCGCCCTGCTGCCGTCCTGCCTCGCCATATGGGCCATCGTCGAGGTACGCGCTGCTGCTTGCGCGCCGCTTGCGCGCAGAGGGGGCGCTGATTGCGCTGCTTTTCGGATCTTGCGCTCTCCGCGTTGCTCTTCCCCGCCGTCCTCCCCTCCTACCTCGCCCTCCGGGCTACCGCCGAGGTACGCGCGGACTTCGCGCTGGGTCGCGCTCTGCCATCCGATTCCTACGCCTTGTCACTCCACTCGCGTGGCTGTTTCCTGCCCCGTCGTTCACAGTTGATTTTCTTGAGCATCGCCCCACCGCGCTCTATCCTTAGCTGTCCTTCTCCACCGCTCTCTATCCCCTCGTTTACAGGTTATCTTCGTGGCGATTCGCTATCGGCAGTTGCGCCACGCCAGCGATCACCGCCCGGAGCTCACTCTATCCTTTTTATCCCATCTCCACCCTTGTTTCCTCACTCTCCTGCCCCCCCGTTCCCTCAGGTGATCTTCGTGGCGATTCGCTACCGACAGCTGCGCCACGCCAGCGATCACCGCCCGGAGCTCCCGCTACCCTCGCTAGGGAGCGTCTCGGACCTGCTCAGCCGCATTCTGAAACTCAAGTAAGCACGAGCTATTTTATTGAGTATATTTTATATGTATTTACTACATCGGACCTGCCTATTGCGAGGTCGATTTATCCGCACACTGCCCTCGCTCGAGAGCGTCTCGGAGCTGCTCAGCCGCATCCTGAAGCTTAAGTAAGCACGAGCTACACTTGCATCTTATAGAGTATATTATGTATATGTATTATGTATATGTAATATGTATACGTATTTATCCGCACACTGCCCTCTCTGCGCCTCACCCCTGTGGAGCGCCTCACCCCCGAGCACGTCTCGTTTGGGTTCCCAGCACGGAGCATCTTTCCCTTTATCCCTTTCCCATCCTCTAGGGTTCCTTGGAATTGTTGATGCGCGTTACTTCTTCGAAGACTGGTTCCACAGCACCCCTCTCGAGCGACTCTTCGAAGGCGTTGCTCTCTCCCATGCCCCAACTGCTCTCCCTCTCTCCCGTCCTTTCATCGCCCCAACCTCCTCCTGTGTTTTCTCCACGCAGGGGCATTGTCGATGCGCGCTATTTCTTCGAAGGCTGATTCCACAACACTCCTCTGGAGCGCCTCACCCGCGACCACATCAAGCATGCCGTCTCCTTTTCTCTCCCTCCCGTCTCGTTTCTCCATTCATCCTGTAGGGGCATTGTGGATGCGCGTTACTTCTTCGAGGGCTGGTTCCACAACACGCCACTGGAGCGACTCACCCGCGAGCACATCAAGCAGTTCATCTCGTTCGGGTTCTTCTATCGCTCGTTCGAACAGCTGTCTCCCGAATACCAGGAAGCAGTGGAAAGTAAGTGGGATGGATAGGGCATGGGAGGGGTGTGTCTGTGTGTGTATGAGTGAGTGTGGTTGGGGAGAGAAGGGAGGAGGGAGAGGGGGTCATCTCATTCGGCTTCTTCTATCGCTCGGTCGAACAGCTGTCTCCTGAATATCAGGAGGCCGTGGAGAGTAAGTGGGATGGGTTGGGCTAAGGGGCGAGGGGGGTGAGTGAGTGGGTCTCACCTGCCAGAACATCAAGCAGCAGTTCGTCTCGTTCAGCTTCTTCTTCTATCGCACAGGTCTGGGACCTGTGTGAGTAGGGAGAGGAGTGAGGAGGGGGGTGAGTGAGTGGGTCTCACCTGCCAGAACATCAAGCAGTTGGTCTCGTTCAGCTTCTTCTATCGCACAGGTCTGGTCTGGGAGTTGAATTTTGAGGCGCCTCAAAATTCAACTCATCAAGCAGTTCGTCTCGTTGGGCTTCTTCTATCGCGCAGGTGTGGGACCTCCCCGTCCTCTCCTCACTCCTCTTCCCCCCTCACTCCCCCCATGACCCCGCCTCCTCCGCGTCCGCATGCCCCCCACCCCCCATCCCCCCACTCTCAGCGCACATGCACTCCATCGCGCAGGTCTGGGACCTCCCCGTCCTCCGCCGCCCTTCCGCCTCCGCGAACCAGCAGCAGGCGGAGCCATCTGCGGAAGCAGCAGGCGCAGGCGCAGGCGCAGCAGCCGCAGAAGGAAGCGGAGTGGCTGAAACGGGAGGAGCAGAAAGCGGCGGGGTAGAGACTGGCGGAGCAGAAGCAGACCCGGAATCTGGAACAGTATCGTGGGCGGCGGCAGCAGCAGCGGGAGCGGCAGTCACAGCAGCGACAACAGTCGCAGCAGCGGCGGCAGCGGGGGAAACAGCCGCGGTCGAGGTGCTAGGGGAAATGGCGGAGGCTGTGGTGGGCGGGGAGGGGAAGGGCGGAGAGGGGGGAGAGGCTGAGAGTGGGGGGAAGTGGCGGAACGGCGAGGAGGGGATTGGGTTCATGGCTCACACACAGGAGCCGATCAGGGCGGTGGTGCATCCGCTGTTCGTGTACGCGTGGGGACACATGGTGGCTTGGTTGACTTGGCTCTGTCTTGCTCTGCTGGGATTCCGCAGGTGAGTGTTACTGGAGGGAACAGGGAACAGGGGAAGAGGCGTCTGGTAGGGGGGGCCAACACATGAGACATAGAGGGGACACACACAGGAGCCGATAAGGGCGGTGGTGCATCCGCTGTGTGTGTACGCGCGGGGACACATGGTGGCGTGGCTGACCTGGACTTGCCTCGCCTTCTTGGGGTTCCGCAGGTGAGTGAGTGTTGCTGGGGGGATCAAGGTGGGAAAGGTTGGGGCCACATGGTGGCTTGTCTGACTTGGCTCTGCTCTGCCTCGCTCTCCTGGGGTTCTGCAGGTTTTGAGACGTCTCAAAACCAATCTTCATACACGTGGCTTGTATGACTTGGCTCTGACGTGGCTTGTATGACTTGGCTCTGACGTGGCTTGTCTGACTTGGCTCTGACGTGACTTGTCTGACTTGGCTCTGACGTGGCTTGTCTGACTTGGCTCTGACGTGGCTTGTCTGACTTGGCTCTGCTCTGCCTCGCTCTCCTGGGGTTCCGCAGGCCGTAGAGGGTAAGAAACACTCAGCAGGTGGGTACTGCTGGTGGAATAGAAGCAACACATCAGGCCGTAGACGTCTCCCCATCCGGCCTGCACTACTTTCACCGGCCGGGGTGGAAGGAGCAGAAGGGGAATAAGGCAGAGTTCCTGACCTTGTGCATGTGTTTGGCCCCTCGACAGCACAGGTTCCTGACCTTGTGCGTGTGCTTGTGTGTTTTCTGTCTCTCTGCCCCCCCCCCCTGCAGGCACGTCTCCCCATCCGGCCTGCACTACTTTCACCGGCCGGGGTGGAAGGAGCAGAAGGGAAGCAAGGCGCACAAGGTAGAGGCGGAGGCGGAGAGCGGTGCAGAGGGGTACGACGCGGTGGTGTTCATCCACGGGCTGGGCATCGGCCTCACGCCCTACCTCGCCTTCATCCACATGCTGCTTGCTGCCTTTGGCTCCAAGGCGAGTGCTTACAGCGCGTCTGGTGCTTATAACGAGTATGAATCCTGTAGTAGGGTAGGGGCAGTGGCACAGGCACATCCACGGGCTGGGCATCGGCCTCACGTCCTACCTCGCCTTCATCCACATGCTGCTCGCTGCGTTTGGGAGCAAGGTGAGGGGGTCTGCGTGTGTGTATGGGCACAAGCACTGCCACAGGCACTGGCACGGGCTGGGCATCGGCCTCACGCCCTACCTGACCTTCATTCTGGTCTGCCTGCCTCATTTCTCCCTACCTCCTGTGCCCTCTCCTCTCCTCCTTCCCCTCGATCCCCAGCCCTTTATAGTGGTCGAGCTGCCCCACCTCGCCTGCCAACTCACCTCTGCAGCGCCCACGCTCTTCTCACCTCAAATCCTTATCGTTTCTTTCCCTTTCCACACCTCACTGTCCCCTCCCTCTCAGCCCTTCATTGTTGTCGAGCTACCCCACCTCGCCTGCCAACTCACCTCTGCTTCGCCCACGATCGAGGAAGTGGTGAGTGCTCTATCCTACTTCCTCATCCGCTTTCAGCCATGAAGCTGGGCGAGCTGCAGTTAGAAGTCACTTTTAGCTAAAGAAAAAGCAGTAGTACTCTCTGTACGTTGTACCCTGCTAAGTACGTTGTGCCTAGAATTTGAGAATACCGAACTTTCGAATCTACTATGTGAGGGAAGGAACGTGGAGCGTCTATACCCACCTGGGGTGACAGTCACCGATGGTCGAATTTACGTGAACGTGGAAATCTCAGAAGAGGTACATCGTGCCGGACGGCGTCCGACTGTTTTCGAGGCTGCGAACTGGTCTGCTGTTACTCGTGTTCTGAAAACTGAGGAGCCGAAGGGGACAGAGAGGATGATGTCTTGGACTCCTCGGTTTTCAGAACCCGAGTGACAGCAGACCAGTTCGCAGCCTCGAAAACAGTCGGTAGCCGTCCGGCACGGTGTACCCCTTCCGAGATTTCCACGTTCACGTAGATTCGATCATCAGTGACTTTCTCGAGGAAGTGGTGAGTGCTCTATCCTACTTCCTCATCCGTTTCAAGAAAGTGGTAGTGAGTGCCCTTGCTACCCTCCTTACCTCGCGTCTCCTAGCCCCCACCTTGCGTGTCAACCCGCCTCCCCATCCCCCACCATTGAGGAAGTGGTGAGTGCTGTGCCATGCTCTTCCCCCTACCCCTACCCTCGTTGCCTGTCCTCTCCCCACCTCGCCTGCCCACTCCTTCGTTGCCTCTCCTACAGCACGTTCATTGCTCTTCCTTTTGAGTCGACTCTTGAGTTGACTTTTGAGTCGACTCAAAAGTCAACTCCTTCGTTGCCTCTCCCACAGCACGTTCATTGCTCTTCCTCCTCCATTTAAGTCCCTTCCCCACTATCCCCTCGCCCCCTCTTCCCTCTCCATTCCAGTCGGCTGCTTTAGTGGAGACGCTGTGCAAGCACGGGTACAAGCGCGTGGCGTATGTCGGTCACTCCTACAGCACTTTCATTGCTGCCACTGTGAGTAAGGGTGATCGTAACGGGTTGTGCCTGTAATGAGTGTGAATCAAACGAGAAGGCTTTGTTCGGCTCATGCGGAAGGTGTGTACTGAGCAGTTGCTCCTACAGCACCTTCATTGCGGCCACTGTGAGTAACAGTGCTTGTAACGAGTTGTGCTTGTAGCGAGCTCGATTGAAACGAGAAGGCTGTATTCAGCTCATACTGTTTCGTGGAACCAATACTGTTTGCCTGATGGTCTGCTTTCCATCTCCCCAGTCGTTCGTTCCTGCTCTTTCTCCCTGCTCCTGTGAATCTCCTAACCGCGCAACAGCTCCTCCGGCTCCATAGGTAATGATAACTGCAGTCAGCATCATCGACCCCGTCTGCCTGCTGCTCTGTCCTTAGTGTTCCATGTCTTACATTCTTCTTTCTCCTTGCTCTCTACCTTCCCTCCCAACAGCTCCTGCGCCGTCATCGCTCCATGATAGCAGCAATGAGCATCATCGACCCAGTCTGCCTGCTGCTCTGCCTGCCCAAAGTGCTGCACACGTTTGTCTACAGGTGAGTCGCTCTATAGAGAGGACAAATAGTGCTGCTGCACTCGCATTTGTGTACAGGCGAGTCGCTCTGTAATGAATTCAAAGCGTGCTGCACTCGTGTTTGTCTCCGTGTGAGTGGCCCTGTAGCGAGGACAAAAATGTGCTGCTGCGCTACAGGGCCACTCACATGAATACACACGTTCGTGTGCATGTGAATTGCTCTAGAACTGTGGTGGTCTCTTGACTAGCGTCACCATTTTCTCTGTCTCCTCCCCCCCTCTCCCCACCCCTCCCCTCCCAGCCTCCCGGGCGGGGACCACCTGGCAGCGTGGATAGGCGAGGCGGTGCGTTGGGTGCTGTGCTCTCTTAACTCAGCTAGTCTCCTCTCCCTCCTTTCCCTCCCCTCCCCTCCCAGCCTCCCGGGCGGGGACCACCTGGCAGCGTGGATAGGCGAGGCGGTGCGTTGGGTGCTGTGCTCTCTTAACTCAGCTAGTCTCCTCTCCCTCCTTTCCCTCCCCTCCCCTCCCAGCCTCCCGGGCGGAGACCACCTGGCAGCGTGGATAGGCGAGGCGGTGCGCTGGGTGCTGTGATGTAGAAATATGCCACAAGGTAAAACCTATTCACTCAACCGGACTCACTCCCCTCTTCTCCCCATCCTCCCTCCCATTCTCCCTCTCTCCATCCCAGCCTCCCGGGCGGGGACCACCTGGCAGCGTGGATAGGCGAGGCGGTGCGCTGGGTGCTGTGCTCCCGGGAGCTACAGGTGGCTCGCAGCATCTGCCGCGGCTTCTCATGGTGAGTTGGGCTGCTGGAACAGTATTGCGGCTAGAAGCGCACGTAGGACTTGAGCTGGGGACTGGGCTGCTGATGGTAAAAGTGGTAGTCGTTGGGTGCTGTGCTCACGCGAGCTACAGGTGGCTCGCAGCATCTGCCGCGGCTTCTCCTGGTGAGTCGTTGCCTCCCTCTGCTCCATGCTGGGATGGGATGGAATGGGATGGGATGGCCGGTAGAAGCACACGTGGTGCGTTGGGTGCTGTGCTCACGCGAGCTACAGGTGGCTCGCAGCATCTGCCGCGGCTTCTCCTGGTGAGCTGAGAAGTAGATGTTGCCTTCTCACCTTCTTATGTAAATGGCTGATCATTTTTATTACTTTGAGCCGTCTCATAACATTTCTATTATCAGATGTAGACCCTGTTGCCTTCGCACCTTCTCATGTGGAGGGTGGACGGCCGGTGCATGCGTGTTAATCCGATGAATGTACTGATGAAGGTTCGCAAGAGTTGATGGACGTAAGACCTCCGCAGCCCACCTGTCTGCATTCGACAACTTCGCACCTTCTCATGTGGAGGGTGGACGGCCGGTGCATGCGTGTTAATCCACGCGATCTTCAGACATAATTCTCTGAGATCTCTTTGAACACTTAGTATTACACAGCGAGTACTATTCTAGCTGTTTGTTCTCATGTGGAGGGTGGACGGCCGGTGCATGCGTGTTAATCCGAATGTACGTCTCCTCAACTCTACCCCACTGCAGGCAGGAGTATCTGGTGTGGGGAGACGAGCTGCCGCCCGCCTCTCTGCTGATGCTGGCACGGGATGACCAGCTGGTGTGGTGTGCGTTCCTGCTTCTCCTCCTTCCTCTCATATCGTCCCTGGTGCCTCCCTGTCTCTCTCTACCCCATCTACCCCATCACAGGCAGGAGTATCTGGTGTGGGGAGACGAGCTGCCGCCAGCCTCTCTGGTGATGCTGGCAGGGGATGATCTGCTGGTGTGGTGTTTCCTCGCCTCCCTATCCGGTCGCCCATGTTGCCCCTCTCTCTTTACCCCGTTTACCCCACTGCAGGCAGGAGTATCTGGTGTGGGGAGACGAACTGCAAAGAGTAGCGATGGCAAGATGCAGCTCGCTCTCATATCGTTCCTTTTGCCTCCCTGTCTCTACCCCATTGCAGGCAGGAGTACCTGGTGTGGGGCGACGAGCTACCACCCGCCTCTCTGGTGATGCTGGCAGGGGATGACCAACTGGTGCCGTCGGCGCAGGTGCAGAGGTGAGTGAGCTGAGGAGGGTGGGCAGGGGCATATGATGCAGGAGGGGGTTGGGCGGGGAGAGTGATGGCAGAGCCGCGATACCCTTCTCTGGTGATGCTGGCAGGGGATGACCAACTGGTGCCGTCGCCGCAGGTGCAGAGGTGAGTGTCCGTAGGGCAGAGGAAGGGAAGCACTGTTGCCGGAGGAGGAGGGGCGAGTAAACACAGGGCTGTTATTACTCTCTGGTCCCATCGCCGCAGGTGCAGAGGTGTCTGGTTGTGTGATGGCTCTTGTGTGCCTTGGTTGGTATGAAGATGGGAGGACTTGCTATCACTCCCTGCATTTTTTTGTTATTGTGTCATGCGATTTTCCTAACTGCCTCCTGCTTTCCGTGCTCCCCACCTGTTCTGCTGCAGCCACCTGGCTCGCCATAATGTGAATGTGATTTACAACGACGGGTTCCAGTACTGATTCTCCGCGCTCTCACTCATTCCACCGTCCGCCTCCCTCCTTCCTTCTCTCTACTTCCTGCATTCCCTGCTCCCCGCTTTCCCTGCTTCCCGCTTGTTCTGCTGCAGCCATCTGGCTCGCCATAATGTGAATGTGATTTACAACGAGGGGTTCCAGCATGCAGAGTACCTGACGAGGCCCGATGTACAGCACAAATTCATTATGGCGTTTGCAGCTACATGCGCCAAGGTCAGCCACAAGCACGCGAATTAAATTCGTGGTCATTGTGCAATCTTGGTGTTCCAAGAGTCGAATACTCTGCTTTATTCCATGTTCATATGTGAGATTTATGATTTGCGGATTATGAGTTTGTCTAGCAAGCTTACGGAAAGTGGTGTGCAATAAGCATGATTTGTGGCTTGTGCTGTTTGTTTGCCTTGCTTTTATTTGCAGAAACTTACTTACTCTTGCGTATAAGTTTTGTTATGGCATCTATGGTGTAGTCCTGCAGTACCACATTATTCATGTACTTTGCTGGCCTTCATAGCACAGTAAGCCTGACAAGCATGGTGACGTGGCAAGCATTATGTGGCTGAAATGACGCTGAGCTGAACCCATGTGGTAGGGTAACGGCCTCCCATTGGTTAGGTTAGCTCAATGCTCAGATAAGAAAGCAAAAGCATTCGCGCCGCTCGAAACATCGAGGGCGACGGTCACCTCACAGAACCTCTGTGGGTGAAAGTCAGTCACCTTAAAGAAACTCTCTGAAACCTACAGTACCGTTCTATTTGTGCTGCATACCGCAGAGCACGGATGAATTCAGCTGCCTGTGGCTCTATGGTTGATGATCATCTCAGTTCGGGGCTGCTTGGTCATGGTTTCTGGCTGGTATAAGATTTAATCTCCAGCCGAGTAGTTTAGGACTAAGGCCCAGCATTAGGTCCGGCTGCCTAGAAGTTAAAGAGACGACACGAATTCGTTCGTTTGCGTCAGCCATTATAGTCTGGCTTGTTTTATTCAGGTGCCGACAAACATGGCGTCCTCACGGAGACTGAATTCTAAGATGCAATTGAAACCGTTGATCAATTCTGTGCTGAATCCGACATTCGCGTTCGGAATAATTGCATCATGGCTGATTGTGTCCACTCAAGCGGCTTCTCGTAACCCCTTCGTGACACTGTCGGCTGGATCCGACGCTGAATTCGGCAATCGATGGTCGGTAGACGCCAAGCCGCCAGCGGTGCACGATCAGCCGTTGATCGGCATCCTGTCGCAGCCGGGAGACGGCGACGGGGGACGAGCGCCGCGAGTTAACTCCAAGGAAGGTGCGAATGCGGGTCGGCGTGAAAACCTGGAGAGTCAGAATCCGTGAATTAGGAAAGAACAGCAGCTGAACCAGCGAGAGGACCTTGAGTAGGAGCACTTGTGTCGTACATCGAAATTTTCGTCCGTCGTTGCTTCGTGTCTGAAGTGGGTGAAGAGCTCCCACTCAATGCTGTTGCTTGTTGTCTGTCGCTTTCCTCCCTTTCCCTCCCTTCCTCCCATTCAGACCTCAACGTATCGTACATCGCTGCTTCGTACGTCAAATGGGTGGAGAGCGCGGGAGCGAGACCGGTGCCCATCCTCTATGACGACCCCGATTGGCTGATGGAGAAGGTGTGTGTGTGTGTGTGTGCTTGCTTGCTCTTAATCTAGTAGTTGGTGCCAATGCTCAATGCCCACCCTGACTCAAGTCAAGTGGGTGGAGAGCGCAGGAGCAAGGCCGGTGCCGATCCTCTATGACGACCCTGACTGGCTGCTGGAGAAGGTGTGCGTGTGCGTATTCTTGATAAGCAATCAGTTTCTGACCATTCTGAACAAATCACCGGTGCCGATCCTTTATGACGACCCCGATTGGCTGATGGAGAAGGTACGCGTGTGCGGGTTTGTGCGTATTCTTGATAAGCAATCAGTTTCTGACCATTCTGAACACATCACCGGTGCCGATCCTTTATGACGACCCCGATTGGATGATGGAGAAGGTGTGTGTGCTTGCTCTTCACAAGTAGCTGGCTTGGAAGATTTCTGAAATAGCTGGATTCTGAGAGCTCTCAAAAATCACCACCGGTGGTTGCTGATGGTGCTGGAAATGGTGTGCTTGCTCTTAAAAATCACTCTCAGAACCATCAACGAAAGGTCATTGCTATCTTTCAGAACCACATTCCTAGGGAAAAAGAAGAAGAAGAAGAAAATAAGAAAAAAAAAAATAGTGCTGATTTCGACGTTGCAGGTGTCTGTTCACCCAGTCCCTTCCTCCGTTAACCTTCCTCCAGTCCTTTCCCTTTCCCATCCTCACATCTCTCCCTCCAGAAATTCAGAGCCATTAACGGGCTGATACTCCCAGGTGGGGGCACGGACCTGCTTCCAGGACTATTCTTCTGCTCTTCCATTCTTCTCTTCTCTTCCCGTTTCCCTCGTCCCTCCTCCCAGAAATTCAGAGCCATCAACGGGCTGATACTTCCAGGGGGGGGCACGGATCTGGTTCCAGGGCCGTTCTTCTCTGCTGTAGAGAAACTGCTAAAGGTGAAGCATTCGTGCTCATGGGATTGCTCATAGGATTCTTGCTCATAGGTCCCTGGTCCCTCGTCCCTCGTCCCTCGTCCCTCGTCCCTCGTCCCTCGTCCCTCGTCCCTCGTCCCTCGTCCCTGCTCCCTCGTCCCTGGTCCCTGTTCCCTCTTCCTGCCCATGTCTCTCCCTGCTTTGCTCAGATGGCCCTGGCAGGCAACGATGCAGGGGACTACTTTCCCGTGCAGGGGATGCACGTGCATGGGCATGGAGGCAGAGGGGTATGGGGGTCAGTGTAAGACGACTTAAGACTCCTTTCCTCCCCTTTCCTTCCTGCCTGGTTGTGTCCCATCGCCCATGCTCAGATGGCCCTAGCAGCCAACGACGCAGGGGACTATTTTCCCGTGCAGGGCACGTGTATGGGCATGGGGACACGGAGGCAGAGAGTATCAGTGTGGGGTGACTCACGACCTCCTTTCCTCCTCTCGTCTGTGCCCCATCGCCCTTGCTCAGATGGCCCTGGCAGCCAACGATGCAGGGGACTACTTCCCCATGCAGGGCACGTGCATGGGCATGGAGTGTAGGGAGGGTACTGTGACCCTGAATCAATAGAGGACCATTCTATGACCCAAAATCTCCTTTCCTCCGCCCGCCGTTGTCTCATCCTCCCTGCTCCTCTCAGATGGCCCTGGCAGCCAACGATGCAGGGGACTATTTCCCTGTGCAGGGAACATGCATGGGCATGGAAACGCTCACAATATTCTTCAGCCAGGTGGGTGTTGGGAACCAGTCTGAAGGAGTAGCACGGGCACGGGCATGGGCATGGGCATGGGCATGGGCATGGGCATGGGCATGGGCACGGGCATGGGCATGGGCATGGGCACGGGCATGGGCATGGGCATGGGCATGGGCATGGGCACGGGCATGGGCATGGGCATGGGCATGGGCATGGGCACGACGGGCATGGGCATGGGCATGGGCATGGGCATGGGCATGGGCATGGGCATGGGCATGGGCATGGGCATGGGCATGGAAGCACTCTCAAAAAACTTTAGCGAGGTCAGTGCTGTGAATCGATATCTGAGTCAAATCAGAAATCGATGTCTCTTTCCTCACCTCTCATTCCCTTCACCACCACTTAACAGGCTTGAGGGCAAGCCTACACTCTCCTACACACGAAACCCTCCCACTCTCTCTTAATTCGCCCCTTCCCCCTCTCTCCCACTCCCGCCCCAATTCCAATCTCACGCACTCCCCACTCACCTATCCGCGCATCAGGATTTCGATATTCTCGAGACCAAGGCGTTCAATGCAGAGGACAGCCCTGAATCGCTCAGGTTCACCAGTGAAAAGTCTTCACTCACTCCTGTGCACCCGTCTCGCTCAGGATTTCGATATTCTCGAGACCAAGGCGTTCAATGCAGAGGACAGCCCTGAATCGCTCGCATTCGCCAGTGAAGAGACCAAGGGGCGAGCCACTTCCTTGCACTTTTCCATTCCCCCTCAACCCCCCTTCTCCCCGCACTCTCCCACTCTCCCTCGCTCTCCCACTCCTCCCTTAACCCCCCGCGCATCAGGATTTCGATATCCTGGAGACCAAGGCGTTTAATGCAGAGGACAGCCCTGAATCTCTTCGATTCACCAGTGAAGAGGCCAAGAAGCGGGCCTACTTCAGCTGGTGAGTTGGCTTTTTCAGCTAATGGGTTAGCTTTGTTTTCTGAGACAGCGGAGAGGCGATCAAATTCCCCACTTAAGAGGCCAAGGAGGCAAGTATGTTTTAGCTGGTGGGTTTATTTTTAAGAGAAACGGCCGCGCATTGCACGAGCGGATGCTGTTTCCAGTTTAGAGCTCTCATATTAGACTCCAGTGTATTCGAAGCTTAGATCTTTCTTAGATCTTTCCACGCTACAACACTACATCTGTTGTATCTCTCTTATTTGACAGGATAATTTTGGTGTGTTTGTCCGATTACAGGATGCAAGAGGCTTCATGTCTGTTGTATTTTTTTCTCGTGAACAGGATGACTCCGGAGCTGCTGGATCGGATTCAGACGGAGAAGATCACAATGGAGAATCATGAGGTGAGATTATATCGTGTACAACACTCACACACACAGCGGGTGGAAAATCTAGTACGCAATGTGTAGGGTACTGTAGATGGAAATTCCCTTGGCCCGAACCCCATCGTTTTCCTTGACCCGCCTCTTCCTCCCACCTCCCCCAATCTGACACTCCCATCCCGTCCATCCCCCTTCTGCTTCCTCCTTCCCACATCTCTCGTTCTTCAGTGCCTAGCCACTCCTTTCCCCTTTATACTCGCCCCTGTTCCGCTATATAACACACAGGATGGCACCACAGTGGGTCGATTCCTCTCCAGCAAGCGTCTGAGGGAGTTCTTTCGCATTCTCACCACCTCAGTAGACAGAAACGGCACTGTGAGTGCCTGCCACATCCACACCCACAATCCCTAGACTGAGATGTACCTTCCACCCGTACGTTGATTGAAACATGCGATTTCCAGAGTCCATCTTCTGCATCCTCTCACCACCTCGGTGGACAGAAACGGCTCTGTGAGTGCCCTGCCACTTCCACACCCACTCCCTCCTTTGTTTCATATGTAGCATCTACCTCTCTTCCGGTGTTCGAGACGTCTTCTTAGAATATTCGTGGTCTGTCTTGCGCATTCTCACCATCTCAATAGACAGAAACGGAATTGTGAGCCTTTTCCGTCCCTCCCCCTCTTCCCAAACCTCATCCTCCTCCTCCTACCCCTCTTTCTCCTCCTACCCCTCCTCCTCCTTCGCGTGTGTTTCAGGAATACGTGACAACCATAGAGGCGCGGAACTACCCTATTTATGGCACACAGTGGCATCCCGAGGTAAGGCAATGAACCTAGCAAAGAGGCCACTGCGTGCCAAGCCCCCACTCTCCTCCCCCTCCTATCTCCTCAAGCAAGGAGAGTGTTAGCGAAAGATAAAATTCTGTTGAGGTGCGGAACTACCCTGTATGTGGCATGCAGTGGCATCCAGAGGTAAGGCAACAATCGCTGCCCACAACGATCCCCTCCCCATCTTGCCTTCAGCAGAAGGCAGCATTTGAGTGGGGGTTGCCGCATATTCCCCACTCAGTTACTGTTCCCCCTCTCTGGCTCCTTCCCTCCTCCCCTTTCGTCCCCCCACTCCACCCCACCCACTCGCTCCCTCTGTTGCTGCCCTAAACAGGAAACGGCATTTGAGTGGGGCTTACCGCACATTCCCCACTCCGTTTCCCCTTTCCCGTATCCCTTTTCGCCTCTCCCTCTGTTGCTTTTCTAAACAGAAAACGGCATTTGAGTGGGGGCTACCGCACATTCCCCATTCGGCACACGCAGTGGCTGCCTGCCAAGCCACTGCTAACTTCTTTGTTAAGTAAGTCACTTAAATTAAGTCACCACCACTGCTGACTCCCACTACCGCTGAGTCACCACTCTGGTTTGGTATGATTTTTACTCCCAGTCGCGGGTGATATATATGTGATCACATGCAAGTGTGTTTCACCACGCGCCACATTGTCAGCATGACTTAAAGCAGACGTCAATGTCATGCGCATGTCTGTTAAATTCCAATTCCTGCCACGCCATGCCACGCCACACCATGCAACGCCATGCCATGCCACGCCACACCATCCAACGCCATGCCATGCCATGCCATGCCATGCCATGCCATGCCATGCATGTGCATGTGACTACAGTGAAGCCCGTCGCTCCACACATCGGCCCGACTCCGATGAGGAGATGGATGAGATGCTAATCTACAACTATGCTCCGATATTCTCCGGCAAGAATGGGTGAGCATGGGTGGAAGGCGGTTGAGAGGTGTTTGAGGGGCTGCTTAGTAGTGAGGCACCAAGGGAGATGAGGAGATGGATGAGATGCTAATCTACAACTATGCTCCGATATTCTCCGGCAAGAATGGGTGAGCATGGTTGGAAGGCGGTTGAGAGTTGGCGGGCACTTGGGTGCTAACTGGGGGGAATGTGGGGGGCGCTTGGTGTAGAGGCAAAGAGGTGGCAAGCGATTTGAGGGGATGGATGAGATGCTTCTTTCCAACCATGCTCCGGATTTCTCTGGCAAGAATGGGTGAGCATGGGTGCGAATGGGTGGCACCTGGTAAGCATGGTTAAGCAGCTTTGATACAAACAAATTCCAACAATGTCTATTTGAATTTCATTGTTTGGTCTTTCGTGTATACTGTATTGTTAAATGTACATGAGGGCACATATAATCGTCAAATGGATTCGTCCTTTCCCTCCCATTTGTACATACTGCTCCAATGACTCGCATGGTGTCTCTCTGCGGCTTGTTATCTTCTATGTTCTTGTCTGAACCTACGGTAATTCTGGCGTCTCTCGCATTGTTCCTTCTTGCCTCCCTCCCTTACTGAAAGACCAGCTTCAGCGAACTGGCCTTGCGAGTAAGAGTGCCCCAAATCCTATCCAGAGGCCTGCTCCCAACCCTCCTCGTCCCATTGTTTGTGTTTACAGAAGAGGATTTTTCGAGCAGTCGTACGTTTTCAGCAAGGTCCCTGAAGCTGGTGCCAACTAGATTTCTTTGAATTGTGAAGTACTAGAGCACATAGCTGCGGGTAAATGGTCATGTGGCAAGGAAGCCATTGTATAACGTGTATGGTAACGTGTACAAGTGCAGTGTGCTTCAAGGGTTTGGTGGTACGAGCTTGCAGCCTAGTAAAATTTTGAACAAACTGCAGTTTTATGTTCTCAATATACACTCATTTTGTTCTGTTCAAGATGACGGCAGATGTGGGGTCGTTTCCACTGTTGCGAAAGCCAGTTTGAACTGGTCGGTTGGTAGTTCCACCTCGTCGGTCGAGTCGCATACGAGCCATACGATGTATGCGACGGCGTATCGCTGGTTGGATCACGTAAGCTGTTTCGTGGGCCACAATGTCTGTCGCCAGCGGCATTCGTCGCAGGACGTGGGTTCCGTTTCGGCACCAGGCTTGGCGGCTCCAAAGCTGACCGCCAGAACGAACGTCTCGCCTTTGTGGGCTGCTTCCCCAGCCCTGCTGACGTGGTGGTACCATAGTGGCCCATAAGGTTTTGGGCTCGTGGTCGGCCACTTCAGCAAAGGGGTGCTGCGTTTCGTAGCGCGCTTCGCCTGTGTACACATACAAAACTCCAAGCACGATTTTGGACCCGCGTTGACTCTGGGAAATTCGACGTGCACACATTGCGCCTCGGGACGACGGGCCCCCTTCCCGCACACATTGCGCCTCGGGACAAGGGGCCCCTTTCTCGCACACATTGCGCCTCGAGGCAAGGGGCCTTTCTCTCGCTTGCTTGAACTGCTTGCCTTCCTTCCCTTCCCTTCCCTGCCCCCCACGTCGCTCTTCTCTCCTCGACCCCCACCGATCTTGGGAATGCTTTGCATGTCGCCACGAGCAGAATTCCCTGTTCCTCCCCCTCTCGCCTCGTGGTCCAGCTTGGTCGTTCGTGATTCTAATCGTCGTCACCTCAGGCCAGCACTCTCCTCTCTTTTCTCCTCTCGTTGCGTGACTGGGTGATGCACCGACAGGTCTAGTCTCTGACCTCTTTTTCGATAGAGTGGATTCCGTAGTTTTTTTCCTTCTTCATCGCGCGCTGCCTCGTGAAGCGCAGACTAGCCAACAACGCATACGTCCGACGGCTGACCTCACACCCACTGTCCACGGCACCTCTCTCCGCGAACCTAAGTAGAGTTAAAAAGGCCATAGTTACCATAGAACAAGAGTATAGCGGGCACAAAGTCTAGCATTCCTCGTATCCCAGGGAGAATTTACTGCATATCTTAGTTTCATCAAAACAGCAGGCTGTCTGTACTGTCCGCGCAAACTGAAGTCATACTCTTCTCAAACTTGTTGATCCCTGTCACCTGTTTTTGGCATCTCTCAATATCACCACCGTTAACAGAAACTCTAGCAATAAGGATCCTTTTGGGGCTCGATATCTCCACCGGCTTCTACTGATTCTCGATCCGTTTCCTCCGCTCCCTCGCAATGAGGCTGCAGCTCCAGCCCCTGCTGCTGCTGCTCCTCGCTCTCGCCCTCTCGCACCAGCTCTTACGCGCCGAATGCCATTCACCAACCGAACTACGTAAGCATCATGGAGCAGAGCAACAAGGGGAAGGTGCGAACGGGGGAGGCCTGCGCGGCCGCGTGCTGCTCGATGCGGAGATGCCGTCGCTTGCGGCGGCGGTAGCGGCGGCGGCGGAAGGGAAGAATTCTTCCGAGCTCGACCTGCTTTTGCGCCGACAGCTCAAGTGAGTATCCCCTGCGGTTAGCACTATCAAGTCAAGCCGCGTGTAGTCTGGTGACATACTCATCGTAACAAGAGCGATCCTTTTGCCTAAACAGTCTATACAAAACACGCCTCGGCATTGCAATGTTTCATCTCATCGTTTTCCCCCCACCCTCCCACCCCACTCCCCCCCTCTCCCCCCTTTTACCCCCCGTCCCCTTTGTCCGTTCCCATCTTTCCATCCGTTCCTATCCCTCGTCATCCCTTCTCCACCCATTCAGGGCTAAAAAGGAGGACCCCGTTTTAAGCATGCTCGCCGACGCGTGGCACAACATGCTGATCGCGCAGTACTGGGCGAAAAAAACGTCGTGCGGCTCGAAGCTGACCCTCGCGTGCAAGGCGCTTCAGAACGCAGAGTCGTACCTAAAGGCGGGGAAGAGCCCTCAAGCGACCGCGCAAATGAATAATGCAAAAGCCACGGCCAGTGTACGTGCAAATCTCCTCATCTCCTTTTCAGCAGCGTGGTTCTTTGGCTGGATTGCTGTCCTACAATGGGAGACTTTCACTATTTTTTTAATTCCAAACTACGCGAGGGTACAGTGACTGCGTGGCCACCCTTTTCCGTCACCTGCCTGTGTAGCATTTCCCTTTATCCTGCCACGACTGTCCTAATCCTGCCCGTGTGTCTCGTAGCGACTGCGGCCCGGATTCAGCCTCCCGCCTCCCTTCCCCCACTCTCCCCCCCGAGACTTTCTGTACGGCCATATCTAACGCCCGTTGTCGCCTTGCGTCTGTCTCCCTCCCGCCTTTCAGGGTTGCGCGAACAGCGTCCCCGCGCAGTCGGCCAAGTATATTCGCGTCGCGAAAGACCAGATCGGGCAGACCCAAATTCTCATGGCCAAGAAAAACCCTCAGATCAAGCGAGTGAAGAAGCGCAACCCGCAAGTCAAGCGTAACACCGGACCTGGTTGGCTCGGGCACAACGATCTGCCCGGCGGCATCATGCAGTGGTTACCATATGGTAACCCGATTGACGACTGCTGGATGGGTGGTAACTGGAACAGTAACATAAAGAAGCTCGCGGATTGCGTGGAGGGGTACGCGACGGGGACAACTGGCGGGAAGGCGGGGCAAATCTACCATGTGACTACAGCGGATGATAACCGCCTGAACCCTGCCCCTGGCACCCTTCGATATGGCATCACGAGGGTAAGAACGCATCAGCCCGAATGTTTACACCCAATGTTCTTTCTAATTTTCGTGTTTCCATTGTTTTCACTTACGGGACGGACAAGTCACGTCCCGTTTTTGGCGAGTTTTCTTTTTTTGCTGATTTCGGTTCCTCGGTTATTAACCCGAATTTCCGGTTCGTCTCACAGGCTGAGCCGCTGTGGATCGTTTTCGATGACGATTTCACGTTCACTGATCTGAGTGCGGAAATGATAATTTACAAGGATAAGACAATCGATGCACGTGGAAAGAAAATTGTGGTGGGCAGCGGTCCCTGCTTCGCGGTTGAAGAGGTTTCGAACGTGATTATTCACGGAGTTTCTTTCGTCAACTGCAGAAACAGGGTGTAAGTTACCCAGAAGAGTTTGTTTCGTCAAGTCAACGCACTTCCGAATCGCGGTCTCGAGTTCTCACGCATTCATAATATCTTACATAACATGAGCTTTTGGCTCACGTTTACTCTTTTATGGATGCGTTTTCAGGAGCAACCTCAAGATTATGACTGGACCCGGCAATACGTTGGATGGCCGCGACTACCTTAACGGATACGGGGTGTACATTTACAAGTCGCATCACGTGTGGATTGACCATTGCTCTTTCAATTACGCTGATGACACCCATATAGACATTATCGAGGGCAGCACCGCCGTTACAGTCTCAAATTCCTACTTTACCAACCAGGATAAGGTATGTGAATGATGAATGTGGTTCGACGCGAGTGGCTGGGGATGGAAGGGAGTTGAGGATGGGATAAACCGTGGTGGTGAATTTCTTTCCCTTCTCCCCGTTCTCTGCCTGCGTCTCCCCGTTCTCTCTTCCTGAACTCTTCCATGGTTCCCCTGAATCTGGAAATGATGTGGTCCGCTTCTAATTATGACCTCTTCTCATCACATTATAAATGCCCCACTTTCCCTACTTACCTCCCCCTTTGTCTCCCGCACATATGTTTCTTCAGGTGATTCTGATGGGGCACAACGACGCGAACACCATGGATCGGAATATGCGCGTCACCGTGATGCTGAACAAGTTCGGCCCGAACCTGGACGAGCGCATGCCACGTGGCAGGTTCGGCACGTTCCACGTGGTGAACAACTACTATCCCAACGGCTGGGGAATCTACGCTATTGGCGGCAGCGCTGACCCAACGTTTCTCAGCGAATCAAACTATTTCGTAGCCACTGGTGGAAAAACCGAGGTACGGCAGTACTTCCATTTTCCCCCCTCCCTTCCTCGCTCGCTCTCCTTGCTTCCTCTCTCCCTATCGTTTAGCCTGCAGCACGCTATCCCTGTCCTTGTCTCCTCAACATCTCCCTTGGTTTTGTGGTCTGTGTCTCCGGAACTACACTACAGGTGACCAAGCACGACATTGCTGCAAGCAAGAGCATGTGGAGTGGGTGGGACTGGCAGTCTGTGGGAGATTACTTCGCGGGTGGGGCATTCTTCACAGAATCTGGAAGCTCTGGCTACAGGCCACCGTATTCATACCAAGCTCTCAAGGCTATAGAGGTGCCTCGTGCAACAAACCGTGCTGGGCCAATTGGGTTCTGAGCACCTACCGTAGCTGTAGTTGGCGACCAAGCTTCTTCTTGACTGATTCAAGTAGCGTATGTAGGAAGGGCGACTTGGCTTCCCTGCTTATGTTTTCTATTTTGCTACTATAATTATAACTCTCATGTATATGTTTTATCACTCTATACTGTGCAATTGCTGTTTCATCATTCGTGGAGAATTGGTTGCAGTAGACAGGAGAGCGAGCAGCGGACAACATCCACAACTTGTCATCCATAGCTTGTCATATCTTCTTATCTTCCTCAGTATCCTACCGTGGGTGTAGTTGTTCACAATAAGGTAAAAAAAGTTTATGAAAGTTGTGGAAGTTGTGGATGCAATAAGCATGATTACAATGCGGTAGTGGATTTATTTTGGACAATTGATCTCCTCGCTTATCGTGTCCTCTATACTCCCGCTTTGTGCAGCAGGAAAAAAACCATTGATACGGAACAAGCTCACTGAACAGGATCACAGTAAAACACATCTGGATGCACACTGAAAATGCTTGGCAGCACGAGCAGCATGGCAGCAACCACACTTCAGCAACACTCTGTACATTGGCCACTCTAGTTTAAATCTCCACGGTTTGAGGTGGAGGAAATGGAGGTGCTAACACACTAGTTTGCTCCAACATGCTGTCTGCATCCCAGAGAAAAGCTGCATGGGCTGCAAGGACATAGCTGCAAGGAGCAAAGACAGAATATTGATTTGCTAGTTGTTGGCACTGGACTGCGTTCGGGCTTCCATGAATGAGAGAATTCATCTACACTTGGTGCAAGTGCCTGGCAAGTATATTCAGCTTACCAATTGTCGGGAGAAACTTCAACTGCCTGTTGAAACATCGAGGAAGCTTTCTCAGCGTCACACATCCCTTCCCAAAGAAACTTCGCGTACAGCACCAGAAGTTCACCGTCAGTTGGTGCCACTTCAATGGCCTTCTGGAAAACAGCATCTGCTGCAAAATAGTCTCCTTTCACCTGAATGGCAGGACGAGGACAAACGACAGGTCAGCTTTTACTCCATGGCAAGTTGAAGGGGAATTGATTGGATACCGCAATGAGCAGGTGGGTATCATCAACCTATCAACCCAGGCTTACCTCGTACAGAAACTGAGCGTAGTTCCGAAGAAAGAGGGCATTTCCTGGGTCCTCCTCCAAGGATGCTCGGTACAAGTCATCCATTTCTTGCACTTTGCGCTCTTCTTCAGGCGAACCGCCGAGGTGATGCCGAGGCAACATCGGCTTGCTGCAGAAGCACACAGAGCCAACCTCGCACTCTCCAGACTGAGGAAGATATTCAGGTGGTTGCTGGGGATATGCAGGCGAGGCTCTGTCAGGCACTGTCCTGCCGGAACCCATCCATTCGCTGGGTCGATTCTCAGCATCTTGGGTCCATATGGGACGGCATCCGTGAGCGTTGCACGCAACAGTCATGCCACCGGGTCCGTGAGCAATCATGGTGTAAAGCTCTCCATCCACACGCTCCGAAACGGAGGATGATTCTTGGCTATGTCCCACCGGATGGACAGAAAATTCCGAGGCATTGTCCCGTCCCAGGGTCGATGGACCGTCATGATAGTTCATAGAACTCAGCCACGGCTCGTTGTGAGCATCTCCCGGGAGGAAACTGGGAAATAGAAACCCTGGTGATTCCATGCAGGTGTATACGGAAGCTGGCGCGACGAACACAAGTGGAGTCGACGACGACAAGTTCGGCTCGGGATAAACAGACATTGAAGCTGCATCTTCGGAGCAGCCTCCCAGATCTGGCCTTCCCCATGATCCATCATTGTGCAGGTCATTCTCAGTAGCTCCTGAATTGATTACACTTCCACGTGATGCTTCGTCCGGGTCTTTCATCCTGGAAACCCCGAGTTCAGGCGGCGGCGATGACAGGCCGCTGAAACCTGAGAAAGGTAAGCCAGATGTTAATAAAATGGGCGACGACAGATCGTCTGCATCCATAGACGACGACGCGGAGCCTGGGAGATCCATTTCTGACACCGTACGGTATCGCAGCCGTTGTTGGCTTCCATGATGTCTAATTTCTCTTGCAGATAGCTCCCGATTACGGATTTGTGAACCTTGAGGAACGGAGAACGATGATGACACAGGAGAAGGCGTCGAAGCCCAGGTACCCTGAGAAGCTGCTGGACAGTAAAAGCCGTCTTCGTGATGGAATGGTTCCAGGGACATTGACGTGGACGAGCGATGGAAACCTGAAGATGAACGAGGGCTGAAACAAGGACTTCTGAAGGATGTTTTTGAAGAGGCGTAGGGCCTGTAGACTCGACAGCTTGACGTTTTTTGCCGAGTTTTGGTGTCTGCGTCCGAGATAGCAGGCAAAACAGGAGCCGAAACACTTCTTGATAGAATTGCGTCAGCCATGGTTACGCGGATCTTGATCGCAAACTCCGCTTCAATCTAGTACGAATAGTATCTGCGGCACAATTGCGAACGAAATGAGCCCTTCTGAAGAACCAGGAGAAGGCGAAGGGCAATAAAATAGCTCGGCCTGCACGCCAGCACACACTCCTGTTTGCCGTCCAGAACTCGCCCACTATTAATCCTGGGGAAGATTGTTTAATCGACCAACCGGAGCAAGGAATCAAGAAACGCTAGGTGCGCGATGGCCTGTTCATTCTAAACTAGACCGCTTGACGAATCCGCAACCTTTCGTATTCCAGTTATGCTGAGCTGTCACTGCGGTGACTGCTGAATGCCCACAATAACCGCCATGGCCTACCCCATTCGTATTCCAGTTATGCTGAGCTGTCACTGCGGTGACTGCTGAATGCCCACAATAACCGCCATGGCCATGGAAACATGGAACTTTGACAATGACATCTGCTCCATTCACATGAAGCACATCACCACATTGGTTCCTCCGCGCCCCAGACCGATTGGATGGGGAATAAACCGAATTTCCCACCTCTCCCCAAGCAGCATTCTCCTCAGCCACTCCCGGGAGTTCCAAGCCACCATTGACCAGGACATCCAGCCGTTCATTCTGATCCCGGCCACCCGCATCGACGTCGGGAGTTCATTCTGCTCCCGAAGCAACCATTGCCACATTTTCTGCCCGGAGCAGTCTGCAACAGGGTTGTCTTCTCGTCTGCCTCTTCTGCCCGCTCATAGACCGAAACAAGTCGGGACTCGGGGGTTGGGGGCAGCCCGAAACCAAATCGCGCTTGTATTTGGGGCCACCACCACCACACGTGGGCAGAACCATTACCAGAGGGGCTAGAGCTCCCACACCACGCTGGAGGATGAGAAAACAGCAGGGCAGAGAGCACGAATCACAACATTTCCACTGTGGCCTGGGAAGAGGAGATCCCTAGAACCAGGAATGAGACTTGATACGGGGAACTGTGACAGCGTGGCACCCGCGACGGCCGATTGGAAGGAAAAGGAAATTTCAGTGCCCAATAAATGAATACCTTTTTGGGGGGTCCATGGAGTGAGCTCGGCAACTGGATCCCAATTGACGCTAGTCAATGCAGGAAAGTGGAGAAAAAGCGAGCATCCCTGCTGACCTGGTGACAGCTGGTTTGTTGGTCCCTTTCCCCACTTCAAATCCCCGCTGAGGGACCAAGCAGGCGGAATCGTCGTGGTCCCCGCGCGTCCGGAGATCCCCAAGCCGCTGAGGGGTTCGATGCCACAAAAGCGATGGTCAACTGCAACGGTGGTCATGCGGCAGCGAGTTCCGTCTCCTAGCTTTTCGGAGGAGTGAGCTGGAAGTTGCGCGTTGGCAGACATGATGGCAGTCGAATGATGACTTCACGTGAAAAGCAGACAGGAAGCAGCATGAGCAGAGAAAAACCGCAACAAGGTATTCTGGTAAGTAAATTGTACTCTACTAAACCTTTGTGACACATATCATCGTGCAATCCCGTGTTTTGAACATTTCACATATTATCACTAATTCTTGTTTGCTACATTAGCCGGTGGCTAGCTAGACACTTACGATTCTGTTGGCATATAAACCTACATCCTACATCATCACAGTAACTCTCAAAAGCGTGCTTCATTTGCGAAGGAGTCCCTCATGGCATCAAACAGATAAAATGACTCACGCCATTGCCTCTTGGACAAGCCAGGAGCGCTCACCTACATCGGGGTGAAACATGGAAACAAAATCAGTAAGTAATTCTACATAGTACATTTTCAGTTCATATAACAAAGCTCGATCAAGTTGGATTAGCGGAGTGCATATCTTGGCTACTGCTCTCACCTGAAATATGTAAATCTGGCTGTCAGATACATAAGCAGACAAAAGAGCCGGTGGTGACGTCAGCTCGTAGTGATAGTACGTTGTGCCAGCTGGCCGTTCCTGAACAGAAGCATCGACCACACGGGTTGGCTGATCTGGCGGGCCGAAAATCCCGATCACATCCTCCAAGTCACCAATTTCTTCAATGCTTGCCTTGTCAGCATTGCCTGAAGCAACCCGAGAGAGAAAAAGAGATCATATTGCGTTAGCGGCCAACTTTCATGAAAGCATATCATCCAACTCACTGATCTCTTCAATGCTTGCCTGGTCAGCATTGCATAAAGCGACTCGACAAAAGAGGGGAAGAGCAACAAGAGTGAACTGTTGGCCATTTTTGTAACACTTTGTCAACTTTGTTGAAGTCACTTATTTCTTTGATGCTTGTTTAGTCAGGGTTGCCCAGTTAAGGGCAGGAACCTTCAGGAGGGAGAGAACCGGCAGGAGGAGCAAACATGGTGAGCATGGGAAAGATAGGCAAAGGAGGAGATTCATTGTGTGCCTATTCAGGAACGCCAGCACTACGAAAGTGCCTTGAGGATACCGCGGATAAAGGGAATTAAATTTAATTTGGAGGTTTGAAACGCATTTCTGCCCAACAATCCCCCATCGTAAAAAAAAAAAAAAGGAGTTCTTGTTGCGGGCCTAATCAGGAATGCGAGCACTACGAAATTACCGTAAGTATCCGCAGTGAGAGGGATATAACTTAAATCTGAAGGATGAAATTGAGTGGGTGGATGGGAATGACTTGACAAGTAGCCAGCCTCACTTCAACTCCACTTAACCGCTTGCAACCCCACTCACCAACTTGAACACCACTCACCCACATGAACACCACTCACCCACATGAATGGCACTCAACCGCTTGAATCCCACTCACCCACTTGAACCCCACCCACCCGCTTGAACCGCACTCAACCACTTGCAACCTCACTCACCAGACTGAACCCCACTGGACCAGCTTGCAATCCCACTAAACCATGGGCAGCCCAAAGACGTCCACCACACTCGCATACCCTTGCGCTGCCCCTTACTCCCCTCACTGATTGAACCCCACTCAACTGCTTGAAACCCCACACACCAGATTGAACCCCACTCAACCGCTTGGAACCCCACTCACCAGATTGAACTGCACTCAACCGCTTGCAACCGCTCGCAAAAGCACTCACCCACAGGCAGCACAAACACGTCCACCACACTCGCATACCCTCCCGTTGCCCCTGCTGTTGCCCCGCCTCCGCCCCCCAGCGCAGCAGCAGGCGTGGGGGAGACAAAGCGGGAATCCAGGCCGTAAAGCTTGGCGTCATTTAGGGAGACGGGGACGGGTAACCAGCCGCGAGGGATGAGGAAGGAGTAGGGGTTGGTGGCTCGCTCTGTGCCGTCCGGCTTGTAATACCGCCGAAAAATGCCGTCCTCTCCTGGTGGTGTGGTGGTGCTGCTGCTGCTGTTGCTCCCACTGCTGCCACTGCCGTTGATGTTGCTGGTGGTGGTGCTAGCGGTGCTGCTGCCTGTGGTGGCTTGGTCTGCAGGCAGGGAAAACAATATGGGAGACGAGAGGAAAGGCGTGTGGGAAATGCAAGGAGGGAGGTTGGCGAGATTGAAGGTAACTGGGACGGACAACCAGCCATGACATGAGGGGTAAGGAAGGAATAGGCTTGGTCTGCAGGAATGGGAGACAACATGGGTCAGTCAGGGAGGGGTGAGTGGGGAAGGCAGGGAGAGAGGTTAACGTGATTGAGGGTGACAGGGACGGGTAATTAGCCGCGGGGGATGAGGGAGAGGGAAAGAGGGGGGTAGATGAGTAGGGGTTGGAGGATTGCTACGTGCCATCCGGTTCTTGAAAACGCCGAAAAAATGCCGGTTCTGGTGAATCGACCAGCATTTTTCTGCCGATAAAACACCTCTCCTGCTGCTGTGGTGGTTGTAGCGCTTTTTCTGGGGCAGCTGTTGTGGTGATTCAGTCTGAAGGCAGCGGGAATAATGAAGTGAGAGGAAATCCTGATTTCATGCGACACCAAAGGCACAACCCTTCTCATTCATACCTGACTTCTCTGTGCGACACCAGGCGACTCGTCGATCGTACCTGACTCCTCTGCGACACCAGGCGACTCGTCGATCGTACCTGACTCCTGTGCGACAGCAGGCGAACCAATCGTCCATCCAGGCAGTGCTACCGAAGCGGCGCATGCGAGCATTAGGGTTAAGGCTGACCGCCGGGGTACCGGAAGGTAAGGTACACTGGGTAACACTGCATTAGGCAGCACTACGTTTGTTGCCAGTGCGTCAGGTACTTGCTGCTCGTCCTTTCCGGCTATCGCTACTCCCTGATTTGCCCATTCTTCCAACAACCCTTGCTCGCGTTCGGAATCGCACGATTCTCTTAACGAAGAACGCGGTTGCGTCGTCGAAGCTGAGTAAGCGACGTGTTGCGACGGATTCGGCCATCTGCGACGACGTGGCGACGATGCGTTGGTCGCGAAGGTCGGTTGCGTCACTGCACGAGTCGCATTGCGAAAGTTTCTGCAACACTCATGCTCCGAAGATGTGCGAAGCCCTGGTCTTTGTGAAGGATGGGATGACAAACGAGCCGCAGCGCCGGCGACTTGCGCAACGCAAGTCACGGCAGCAACGGCAGCCATTAGCAGCAACTTTGGATAAGGTTTGGATCAGCACGAATTGATGGTGGTGGTGGTGATGTGCTGTGGTATACTCAATATAAGCGATGATATAAGAGCATGACAGCCATTATGGTTTGCAGCGAGATGTGTGTTTCTCATATACGGTAGTTGCATCCTAGAGATACGGTATTGGGTGATGGATTGCTTTGAGGGTAAACAGGCATGCCATAAGGACATCAAAGGAAACATCTCTTGTACTTGGACGCTTCAAAAAGATCTGAAAGAATCAATAGAACACTATATAGTGCCTGATAATCACAAAATATTCAACTAAATAAAACAGCAAGTTAATATATGGTCAACTATACAATGCAAGATAAAAGATACTTGTGTACTCTGAATTTAAATGCGCTGGGAGGCACAACGAACTCAAAATAGTGCATACACGCATTGACTGGGTGCTGCTGACGCTGATTCCAAGACAATGTAGTTTCCGCCCCCGTTCCTGCCACACCATTTTCACCAACCCATACTGCCACCATGCACCACTCCAAAACATTACTGCTGAATGATTCCCTCTCCGTCTGCCCGCCTGCCTTCGTCGCTTCAAAGGCCAAAGAACGCTCCAGGGGCTCGCATGGGAGAGAAATCACTTCAAGCCTCCATAACAGCCTCTTTGCTGCCTGCCAGGACAAGATCCTGCCATGGCATGGTACACTACTGCCTGCCTTCAACTCAATTAACTGGCTGTCACTCATCTCCTCGGTGTGTCATTTGAGAATCCGGCCCGGCATGCGGGTTGTCATCTTATCAGGGCTTGTAGCGCGCAGGGTAGAAGTCATTGGAGTTTCCCCACAGATAGCCCCAAACACAGCCGCAGGAGCAACGACGAGGCTGGAACACGAGATTTCCCGGCCCAAATGGCACCGTAAGCTGCAGGGGACTTCATGAGATGTCGCCTCCTTAAGTGTTCAATCCGGGCCTTCGAGACGTCTCAAACGAGAGGCTGTAATGTTAATAATGTAACGACTCTTCAGAGCAGCTGGCCCTCATGTTGTCATCGTAGCAGGCCTTGTAGAACGCCGGGTAAAGTAGGTGGAGTTTCGCCACAGGGTGGCCTCTAACACGACTGCAGGCCTTGTGGCAATCAAGGCATTCCTTCGAGTCGACTCAAAACCCATCCGTCATCACACTTGTGAGTCATCGCAGCCAGCCCTGAGGTTGTTGTCGTAGCAGGCCGTGTAGCACGCGGGGTAGAAGTAGGTGGAGTTGCGATACAGGTTGCCCAGGGCGAGGCTGTAGGTGTATGTTGATGCAGATAGCGTGCACAGGTACGTGCATGTGTACTGTAGAGATTGGAAGAAGTACAGTGCAACGAAAGAAAAAAAGGAAAGAATGAGACACATGCAAAGAAAAGGAAGAACATGAGCATGCGTGTTAAACCACGCTGCAAAAATGCAATGCTACTGATCTAACACCAGAAAAACGCAAATCATAAAAAAAATGCATATTGATTTACCTTTAAGCAATCACACTGTTTGGAGAACATCATCGGGCAGTAATCCATATAATCTTGGGGCAGCTTCCAGGTCGGGTACGGGCAGACTCCGGGCGGCGCCACACAGCTGCTTTTCGGCGGTTTCTGCCCCGTTCTCTTGTAACAAAGCCCGTCGTTACACAGATTACAAACGTCGTAACGCGAGATGGGCAGAGCAAACGCCTCGACCGCATCGCACATTGATGCGTAGGTTACCCCATCGGAGCCACACACGGGAAGAGAAGTACCGCAGATCTGGCTCCCGACCAGCTTTTGACACGGGATCAGCAGCATCTGCCCCTCGACAATAGCCTGATCGGTGCAATCCGCGAGAGAATTTGAATCGCAGATGGAAGCTGGGTAGGAGACGTTGGAGCAGCGGGAGGAGAAATCGGCCGAGATCGAAGCAAGGGTGTCGTTGGCTTGGACGGTGTATGGGATGATGTTGGGGGAGAGCTTGATTTTCTGGATGTTGGTGGTGGTTCCGGAGATACACACGGGTTGACCAATTTGGAAGGCGGGAGCGTAGCACTGGCGGAAGTGAAGGGGAGAAACAACATGGGTTTTGGGAAAGAATGAGTAACCAGGTGAAGGGTAAAGTAAACAGGAACATTTCAATAGACATCCAATTCGAGAAAAAGAAAGAGACAGAAAGAATTTAATAAACAAACGATGGTTCTTACCCTGAGGCCTGGATTGAGTCGGAGGAATGTCGTCACTGGTAGTTGTATAGCGTTTGCAATTTTGGGACAGGTATCTCCCTGCGTTACTGTGTACCACTGGGTACAGTTCACAGTAATGAGCTCCGTCGATAACGAGGATACGCACACCGCGACCGCCACCCCGAGTGAATCATCGGTGCACTTGAGCCCAGGATTCAGCCACAGGAGATCGTTTAGCGAAATGTTGTAACTCCTCGCAATATCCACACATCGTTCGCTCGGCGACGCGTCGTGAACCTTCCCGCAGGAGCGAATGATGGCGGAATTGGAAGCGATACGACCCGGCGAAGTACAAATTGTAAGCGACAGAGGGAGCGACTCGGAGCAGTTCAGCGTGGGGTTGATCGCGATGAGCTGACGATGAGAAATGCCGTTTCGCGACTCGATCGACGCGCAGGTGTCGTTTGGAGCGACTATGTCCATGGCGGAGCATCCCCAGGTAAAATTCGCGGTATCCGCGACTAGGAGAACGTAATCCGGAATCAACGGCAAATCGCAGTCCAAGAACGGGTTTCGCTGAACGAGGAACTCGATAGTGAAGCCGAAGGTGTCGGCGACTGTTTGGCACGTGTCGCCTGCCATCACTGTATAGGTTTGCAAACCGGATTGGAACGAGCCTACGATGCAGGTCATGGCACGGTCGGTTCGGGAACCAATCACGGAGCCCTGGGTAAGAGCAAGAGAGTAGCGAAGGGGAGGGGTACGAGAAATATTAGCAAGCAGAGAGCGAAGAATGACTAGTACCCATAGGGCGACGAAGTGACATAGCGGGAAAGGGACCACCATGAATGAAGGGAATAAAGGACTAGGAGGAAGCGAATGAAACATTAGCTGCAGAGTAAGGACAACTTACCGCAGGACAGGAACAGGTATAGGTGCCGTCAAACTCGTTATTGCACGTCCCGACACCACAGGGATTCGGAATAGCGTCACACGGTGTAGCCGTAACGCACTTGGGCGCACTTTCCTCCAGACGCTCAACGAAACCCGGGGGACAGTTACATCTCGCCCTGCCGCTTCGCACTTCGCACACGCCTCCGCCGCAAGGGTTGGGGGTGATGACCTCGCATGCCCTGCTGTTCCGCTCGTAGAAAACGGGGTAAAGCGCGTTTTCGCTCTTCACGTTACACTTGCCGTTCCCGTCTGGTAACATCCTCAAGCGCATGTAGCCGTTTTCGCCCCAGTTTGTTCCCCACGTATTCTTCAAGATCCAATACGGGTTGACCGGGTCCGTTATGTTGTAACCAACAAGCAGCATCGCATGATCGATGTCGCCATTGCAATCGCCATCGAAAATGCCGCCGGAGTAGCTCTGGGGGAGGAAGAGAGGGGGGGAGGGGGAGGGGGAGGGGGAGGAGAAATAGGTAGGAAAGGGATAACGGGATGTGAGTAACAGCAGAGGTTACGTGGAACAGGTTACGCATCGGAAAAAAAAAAAAAAAAAAAAAAAAAAAAAAGTCACTGTTATACGGGAGTGAGCTTACAATGAAGTCGTTGGTCCCCGAAGCGAGGTACACGAGCACGGGCTGCTGCGCCACGGCCTTCATCAACGCCTTGTTGCTTCGAACCGGCACCTTCTCCCACCCCGTCATCTGCGCCAAACCAGGAAGAAGAGGGGTTATAGGAGCTCGCGGAGCGTTTTGAGTGTCCGACACACAACAGACATGTCGACGTTTTGAGTGTCCGACACACAACAGCAACAAGCGTTGCTGGAAAGCAGAACCAGGAAAAGTAATCCATGAAGAGTATTTGGAAAGAGGATGGGACGGGGGAGGGAAGACGAGGGAAAAGGTCGGAGGTGGGAAAGGGAAAGGTAGAAAAAGCCGGGTTATTGAGAGGGAGTAAAGCACCTTGGCCTTGAGCATTCCGCTGGCGATATTGCGGCACGTAGAGTTGACGTGCGCGACATAGGGATACGCCTGACTAGTAGCGATTCCGCCATTAGCGAGGATGAACTGGAACCCCCACTCGGGCCACCCACCCTCGCAGCACTGCCCCGCCGCGCAGTCGCACACGTGCTGCGGCGACAGCGGCTCCGCCGTCTGATTATTCACCAACGCCCAGACGATGCTAACGATATCCGTCGACGTTAAAGCCCAGCAGCTCTCGCACAGCTGCTGATTCAGCACCGGCGTCATTACGATCGTGCGTCGCCAGTCTACTTCGCTAGGCTGTGCGACGCTCTGCCAGCGGTACCACGTCATGTTGATGTCGCCCGCGCTCGGCGCGGAGTTGAGGCCCGGCGCTTGGAGCGCCTGCGGAGCCGCCGGCGTCACGTCGAGGGCCCTACGCCTCTGACGACTCCGCATTTCGCGGCCGAAGTCTAGAAGTTTCCGCGACGTTTCTCCGCTCAAGGTTCGCCAGCCTCTGGAGGAGCCTGCGAGCCTTCGCTGCTGTCGCAGCTGGCGACCGTCGCCGTCGCCTACAGTCGCCTGCGACGGGAGCGATTCCGGCGGGGCGTCATTCTGGGGCTGTTCAGGCAACAGTCCCTGTGATCGCATAAAAATCTCGAACGCGCTAGGTTGGACAGGAAAAGGCGTCGGGTAGGAGTCGCCGCTGTCCCCGGCAGTGACGGAGACTTGGAATATAAGGAATAATATAACAGGTCCGAACAAGCTTGAATGATACGCCATTTTCACTTTTGGAGAAATGCAGGTCTCGTAGGTTGGACAGTGGAAAGCGAGAAAGGCGAAACGCGCGAACTTTTTCGATACTAAATGTAAGTCCGACGTGGAATAAGCTCTCTTGAACCACCTATGATGGCGGGTGCTCCTTGCAACAAGATTGGTTGGATCAATGCTGTGTTGTTACTAGACTCTTCTTCAGTCGTGCTCTTATCGATCGTCTGTTGAAGTGGAGGCCAAGCTCGCAGTCGAAAGCATTCAGAGAGGAAAAGCCTGGTTTTCATGGATCTAGCTTCTCGAAACTGTTCGTTCCTGTCTTGCCTGTCTGCCTGTCTGTCTGGGGCTCTGGGCCGATCGGAAGGGGTGGAGGGAAGATTGTTGTGTCTGGTTGGTTGGTTGGGAGGACATTTGGTTGGGCTTGCAAACTGGACGGGATCACGTGTCGGATTATCGCTTTCACAACAAACCTCGCGGATTTTAGGTCACAGGTGTTGTCTCCCACGACGCGATCTTCTGTTTCAGCTGGTGATGGGGGAACCCGTCACACAGCTGGAAAACCTCGTGCCAGTGGTGGTTGCTCCAGGCTTCCTTGCTTCCTCTCTCCGCCCACGAAACATCTCGGCTCGGCTCACCTACTCTTTTGTTCGAGTGTGTATTTTTTGTCTCTGGTTGCCCTTGCAGCAGTTTCCCTCCCTCACTTCCAAGTTCCCACACAACCAGCAACACTGGCCAAAGTTGGACGCATAAAGCGAAACGACACAATGCTGCCAATTGTACAAAAGGGGTCAGCTGGATTTTTGTGCCAAAATGGGTCTGTGGCATTTCTTTACGGGAGCCAATACTGTTGGTCATTCGTTCGAATCGCAGGTGGGTCGTGGGAGTTCGTTGAGTTGATGCCAGCTTTAATCAGAAACTAGTTGCAGTTAATTCTGGTGCCCCTGGTGTCCATTCGACAGAAACGAATTCACTGTTTCCATTTCAGAACCCTAGTTTCTTCCTGCCCCTTCGGTAAGTTCCCGGAGGTAAAGCAGGAAAACAGACCAGGACCTTCTGGCGGGATGCTCTTCTACCGACGCCATTTGAATGGGCAAAACGTAATATTTCAAAAAGGCAACGTCAAACAAAGTGCACATTCTCTTCCCTGGTGGCGGCAGCTTTAGGGCAGGATATGCAGGTGGGGGACAGCTGGCGTCAACGATATGTACTGTACACCCGCCTCACACATGTTCTCGAAGCAGCAAATCCTTTGGGGGCCAGTCCGAGCGGCGAGAATCTTGTTGTTGCAGGCAACAAGCTGTCAAGCAGAGGAATCCATATGCTTTGGAGGTTGAGGGGAAGAGGTGTGCGTGGGTAGGTTAGGGTTTGTCGCGTGTGGGGAATGTTTCGATAAGCGGAAAATCCATTCCATGATAAGGCTCGACCCATGTTTGAGCAAGATAGCAGCTAAAGTGTCTAAAAATACAATAGTAAAAGACATCACAATAGATGCAGGACATACATACATTGTGACATTCGTACAGAATATCCATTACACGGTTGGGCCTTTCGCCTGCAATATTTCTCTATGCTCGATGCCGCTCCACGACCCCCCTTCCTTCCATTCTTGTGCAAATTCTCGGCACATGGCAACATTGGAGTCCAACCATTTGGTGCGCCACGCCTAAGAATATGCTCCATCAAGGAGTGCAGTGTCATTGCACGAAATAAATAAATAAATGAATAAAAGCATAAGAGCAAAAAAAAAAAAAGGGGTTCAAACAGAGGAGGAGTGCGAAGGAGTATTAGGTAAGCATAATGTACGCTGTCAGCAATGTTATAAACATGCTAGAAGTTGCTTGCAAGCCTGCGACCCTGCCTCTCCCTCCAACCCCTTGCAAAAGATCGGCACCTAATTACAAAATATTCCATGTGCCCTCGCCTCCATGCCTGCATGCATGCACCGGAGTTTGCAAAGGACATACTCGTTTTGAGATGCCTCAAAGTTAGGCATAGTGATGGCTACACATTTCGCATAATGGGAGGAGAGGGGCAGGGGGAGGGGAAGAAAGAGAGCCCCCCCTTCTTTTCTCACCTTGTACTCCTAATAACCATGGTATACCACTGTATTCACCCAAGAAAGAACTGCTCTTACCTAATAGTCCCACGAACCATACAGGTCAGGGTCATCCGCATTCGCCCATACATACACAAACGTAGGGGAAGGAGGGGAGGAAGTGGGGGACGGGAGGGAGAAGTAAAGGAGAGAGATGTGCTTACCTCATAGTCCCACGACCCATACAGGTCAGGGTCATCCGCATTCGCCCACACATACACAAACGCTTCTATCTCTCCCTCTCCTCCGTCTCCCAACGCCTTGATCGCCTCCTCCCCTGCTTGCAGCTGTTCAATTTGCTCCGCTGCCTGCGAATCTCCCTCATCTCGCGCCAACCCCTGCCCAGAAACCGACGGGGTAACTAACCCTTCCGGGGAAATCGGCTGGGTAATTACCCCTTGTAGGGTAACTGGCTGGGTGGAGCGCACATACTCAACATCTTCGAATGCATCAAAGAGGTTCATCTCTGGAGGGGAGAGGTTGAGGAGGAGCTGGGGGAGCAGGGGGGGCAGGGGGGCCAGGGGGGGCAGGGGGGGCAGGGGGGCCAGGGGGGGCAGGGGGGGCAGGGGGAATGGGATGGGGAAGGGCTGGTTGGGGAGCACGAACTCAACATCTTCGAATGCATCAAAGAGGTTCAGCTCAGGAGGGGAGAGGTTGAGGAGGAGCTTGGGGGAAGGAAAGAGGGGGGGGAGGGGGATGGGGAAGGGGAAAGGGGGGATGGAAGTGGGAGTAGCGCAGGAAACTGACTGGGTGGATCAAGATTGATCGCAGAGTAGCTGCAAACCTGAATCTTGATCCCAGGGAACTGGCTGGGTGGAGCGCACATACTCCCCATCTTCGAATGCACCAAAGAGGTTTTGGAGGGGTGAGGTTGAGGAGGACGATGGAAGGGAGCGAAGGGGGAAGGGGTGAGAGAAAGCAGGAAAGTTGGTACCTCAAGTATCATATTTCGGAGGGACGGGCTGAGGAGAAGAGAAGCTGAGAGCAGGGTGGGATTGAGTTAGAGGGAGGAGCAGAGCAGGGAAGCATGGGGAAAGAGCACACCAACATGCAGCACAAGCTCCACATAAACTTGGGGAAGAAAATTAACAGGAACAAACGAACTCTTTCCTAAGCACCCCCTTCATTCACCTGAATAATCAAGCACTCCTTTTCCCTGCACCCAACTTCTCTCCCAGCCTCTCTCCCAACCTCTCTCCCAACCTCTCTCCCAACCTCTCCCGCAGCCTAAGCTTCTCCCCAACCTCCTTCCGCTGCCAACCAGCTTCTTCCCCCCTCCAGCCCCCTCACCCCCACAATCTTTCCCTGCTTCCGCCTCACCATCCCCAACTCGGATTCCTGCGCCTTCATCCGTCCCGCGGCCCCCAATCCCCCCCTTCCTTCCCCCTCCCCCCCATCCGCCGCACCTTCCCCATTACGGAGTCCTGCTCATTCGGAATCACTGCGGGGTATTGCCGCCCCTCGTCCACCCCGCTCCCTCTCCCCTCCCCCATCCCCGTCCCACTCCCTCTCCCGGCCCTCCCCGCCGCACCTTCCCCATCACGGAGTCGTGCGCTTTGGGAACCACTGCGGGGTATTGCCGGCCCTTGATGCTGTGGCGCGTGCTGGGGGGTGGGAGGGGGGGAAGGAAGAGAAGGGAAGGGGAAAGGGGGCGGGGCGAAGGGAGAGATGGGGGGAACGGAAGCGGACGGAGAAGGGCGGGGGTACGGGAGCCGAGTCGTGTCTTCGAGTCGACGAAAAGGCGTAGCGGGGCTGGGGAGGAAATTGCGCTCACAAGTTGGGCAGACGCGCGGGCGCGGAAGCGGGCACGCGGTCGAGCAGCGCGCGGAGCACCTCGTCCACCATGGCGTGGGGGAGGGGGAAGAGGATGAACTTACAAGTTGGGCAAGCGCGCGGGTGCGGAGGCGGGCACTCGATCCAGTAACGCGTGGAGCACCTCGTCCGCCATGAGCGTGCCGTAAACGAACACGGGCGTCGACGCCGCCGCAGATGCCGCCGCATTTGCCGCCGCAGTTGCCGCCGCCATAGCTCGCCGCTGGCTTAACGGGGGATCCTTCCCGCGAAGTGCTTGTAACGAATGCTGCGCTTCCGGCAGTGCTTCCGGATGCGGATCTGGCTGTGCTTATAACGGGGTGCTGTGCTTATAACGGGTGCTGTGCTTCTCTGACGAGCCGTCAGTGACTTCTCTGAACGCCTCGACAGCCTGTTGTGAGCCGAAACGTCAGCAACTAGCGCAGAGAATCTACCTACTACCAGGGAATCGTCCGGTAAATCGCGTTCGGAGATGAAAATGCGGTCATTCAAATGTGTGTTGTAGCGCTCACGGCGCTGCTAGTAGCTGCTACTTGGTCTGTTCTTCTGGTCTGTTCTTCTCCCTGCGCTGGCGACGGTTTCATGGCAGTTGAATGTGGTACTACTGGTAACTAGATTCGCATTTCCCAAGTTCTTTTGAACCTCAAAGGATTCATCTAAGCCCCACCAAGAGCTTTCAAGATCCAGCTAGGAAAGTACCGCAAGGTTGATTAGCCGACGAAGAGTGTACGAATCTCGCCAGGGTCACAGCTGGGCAAAGATGCTGCGGCCGAAAAGGATAATCGCCAGTTTCTACTCGCAGTTCTTTTCGCTCATTCTTCGCTGAAGACAGCCATTCGTTTCCCGGCAGTTTCCGTTTATTGGTCGCAGGACGGGATTGGATGGATTTGCTGATGTGACACGGTGCAATGAGCATTCAGGAGGTGGAGAAACGCCACATCATGACCAGCTCAGCAGGAATTTTAGCCAATCGAGTGCCTCGACAACAATTCGGCTCCTTGTATCGAGGTTTCGATGCAATAAGGAATATAGGGAAATCCAGGTATGATCCATGGTTACAATCAGTAATGTTGAAAGTTTATCTTGAAGTGAATTAACTTGTACGCATTTTATCGATTATATGCAATCGGGTTTGCTGTTAGACGGACAAGTCGAGTCAACTCCCGTCTGACCAGACGCAGGTGCGAGCCCAGCTTCCATGGACCATCCCATCACCCACCTTCGCCCCACCTCTGACTGACTGAGGAGCGTTACAACAAATAATTGATTGGAAACGATTTCTATTCAAACAGCCGTGATTAGTGTGTTTGTCGGATTACTTCTTAAACGGGCAGGGCGAAACCTCCGACGAAACGAAACACTTAGCAAAACGAACTGGTTGGATGGGTCGTGCCGTCAAGAACAATAAAACTGCTGTCACTTCACACCTCATCTGGAGCTTCTCACAAGAACCTCCCTCCGAACTGCTTCCCTTTTTGGGACAGTTCGGAGTCGAGACAGCTTCCTTCCAAATTCAAGGTTTCTACCACCTGACAGAAGTTTGTTTTGTTAGCACGCGAGCAGCAATGTTGGTGTACACGTCACAATTCCTGCCCATCACAGTTTTGGTAACGCTCACACCTGAGGTTGTTGCGTCAGTCCAAACGAAGGAAAGTTGGCCAGCTGGCTTGGCTGAACAAAGCGAAGCCGAGCCGGCCGTCCCTGGTGTTTATTGAGCCCTCTGATTGGTTAATCTTGCTTTCAGAGTCAGTTGAATCTCTTGGAAGCAATCCGCCCCGTTGATGACGCAATCTTTCCCCATAACCCACGGCCAGGATTCCCTACCACGGTGTTAGAATGAGATGTTGTTGTGACCGCGCCGCGTGCAATTTTTTCCTTCACAACTTCCGAGTCGCTCATCTGCAGCAATCAATTGGCTTGGCGCGGGCGAGATTGTGGAGGAGCGAAGCCAGAGTGGAATTGCTGGCTCCATCGTTTAGGGGGGAAAGGTGCAGGGTGGGGTGGCATTTGATTGATATGCAGGATCCTTTCAGGTGGACGGGTGAACCACATCCTGTGCATATTGCTTTCAGGTGAAGAGGTAAATAATACTTCCTTCACGAACCGAGACAGTAGAGCCACCTTCCGTCTGCCGTAACGCAGCTATTGAACGCCGCCGATCGTCCTTCAGCGACACAAGAATCAGTCGTTTCAATACTAATAATTCACCGTCTGCCTCCTTGCCTCTCTATAAGCATCTCCTCTAGTACCTGAAAAAGCACGCCATTCCCCATTTCCCCGACAAACGATGGCTTCAATAAAGGAACGCGACAGAAAGTTCAACAGCGCGCGATTCGCCTCGGCGGAAAACGACATCATCCCTGCCGGGAGTACTTTGCGCGGCACCAGTTTCAGCAGCGGCCGCAACTCCCGGAGCATCAGCACCGGCCGGAACGCCATTGGCGCAAGCTACCGTTTCAGCCGCCGCTCCAGCCGCTACAGCAGTGAGTTGGATAATTCCGAGGCGCATCCGCTGGATAGACCTCGGTCGGGCCCGCTCGAAGCGGCATTTGACCTGTTCGAGTCGCAAGACCGGCGTTTTCGATGCAGACCGAGCACCAGCGGGGAGTTCGGCGGCGCACGTGACGGCGCGCACGAAATTAGCGGCGCGGACGGTACTAACGGAGGGGACACCGGGAAACGCGACTCGTTGCTCCATCGCCGCCGCCTTTTCCGCCACAACTCGGCGGCTTTCATCCGAACGCCATCGCGAGCCGTCGGATTCCTCGCATTCCAGTCATCCAACGGCTCGCCGTGTCCCTCGCCTTCCCCAACGGGCGCCGCGGCGGCTCTCGCGGCGCCGTCCCCCACGAACCGCTCGCGGCTTCTCCAGCGGTTGCGCGGAAAAAGCGAGTCCCCTGCGCGCGAATCTCCTGCGCGAATCTCCCCTGTCGCGCGGAATCAAAACTGCGGGATTCCGGTGAGTCGCAGTGTTGACGCGTCGGCGGCATTTCCGGCGGAGCAAGATTCGCACTCCGATATTTCAAGGGTGAGAAGCGGGCGAAGCGGCGGGCGAAGGATGCAGGCGATAATGAGCGTCGTGAACACCGTCGCAAGCAGCGCGAGCGACGCTGGAGCTAATGTCGCAAGCATACCGAGCAGCGGAAGCATCAGCGGGAGCTTTTCCAGAATCGTTCGCGTTCCTTCTACCAGAACCTTCGCAAACGTCGCCAGTGTCGCCAGCGTCGCAAGCATCGCGAGTCTCGCGAGTCTGGGCAGCGGCAGCAGCGAGTTCAGCGTGTCGACGATCAGAAGCACCTTCGCAGGCGACGGCAGCGTCGAGTTCAGTCGCAGCAGCAGCAACAGCAGCCTGACGACAAGTGCGAGTGTCGCCAATTACAGCTCTAACGCGGCAACAAGTGCGAATTCAGTTGCAACGTCGCTTTCTCTCGCGGCGACGCGCAGCAACCAGAGCAGCATCATAGCGGATGTGACGCAATCGGACGCGGCGAAAGCGAGCGTGACGGAAACGGGGTTGAGCCTAGGAGACGTGGGTCGCCAGCAGCCAATGAGAGGCAACGAGGGACTCCGAGTCAGCTCCGAGGGCGACGCGGAGGGCCAGGTTGGTGGGGCTACAGTGGAGGAGTGCGAGTGGGGTGACCTGGAGGAGTTTGCTGACGTGGAGTGCGCCAATTGGCAAGATATTTCTGCCGTCTGCCAAGCCAAGGACGCCGAGGGAATCAAGCTGCTTTTTATCGACATCCAGGTGGCTGACGTCACCGCGGGCCTTCCTGACGTCACACACGAGGATACGCAGAAGCAGGCAGGCAGGGCGCTGCAGCAGGAACGTCCCTCTCGTTCTCAGATTCAAGTCTCGTACCACATCACATTCCCAGACCATTCCTTACCAATCTCAGATCCTCCTGCCTCCACGACTGAAGCTTCTCTGTCTTCTGCTGAGGCAGTAACTTGCTTGAGCTCTGGTGATACCTGTAACAGCAGCAGCTGTAGCGGTGGAAAGGTTGCGGCCCACAATGTACATACTCCTCCTGCTGCTGCTGCTGCTGCTGCTGCTTCCACCAATGCTGATCCCACCACCGCTGCTGCCGCCGTCTCTCCCCCTGTTGCCTCTACTGTCCCCGCCGCCCCACCCAACCATGCCGTCCCACCCAGCAGCACCGCACCCAGCTTCACCGCGCCCAACACCACCTTACCCAGGCCCCTTCTCCCCGTCAAGATTGCCCATCTGCGGAACCGACACCCCCACATTGACGTCCCCACCCTACAATCTCCCAGCTGCTCCTCCCCCTCTCAGTTCCACTCCCCATACCGCTCCCCTCACATGGACTCCACATCAAGAACCTCAAGATTCGAATCTCCTTCCAAACTCCACTCTCCGTCCAGATTCGATTCTCCGTCAAGATTCAATTCTCCATCAAAATTTGATTCCCCGTCCAGATTTGATTCCCCGTCGTCCAAATTCGAATCTTCGTCCAGATTCAATTCTCCGAACCGGGGGCAGCAGTCACTCGCCTCTTCCTCCACCACCACACCCTCCCCATCCAACTCTCGCACCCGCCATCCTGTCACCCCATCCTCCTCATCCTCCTCCGCCTCCTCCTCCTCATCCTCCCCCTTGCCTTCATATTCCTCCTCACCCTCCTCCATCTCCTCCCCTACAGCTGCCCTAATGCGATTCCAGTCAGCTCTCTTCTCAAACTCCCCCTGCTCCCCTCTTTCCTCCTGCTGGTCCTCCTCCTTCCCTGGGGAATCCCCTCACTCCCCTCGGGAATACCAAGAGTCCTCCCCTGGGGAGTGCGTGGAGTACATAGGCCTATCACCTGCCACCCCTGGGAAAATGTTGAGAGCTTATCAGCGAAGGGAGAAGGGGGATTTTGAAGCATATGGAGCTACCTCTCCTGCTCTTGCTGCTGTTGCTTTAGCAGCACCTACACTAGCAGGCCCTCCATCCCCGTTATTGGCTGCTTCTGTATTCAGTAGTGGGTCCCCGAGAGCCTCCTCGCCATCCAAGGTTCGGGCCAGTGGGAGCGGATCGGGGAGCGGAGGGCCTGTGCTGGCTCCGTCACGATTCCGGGAAGGACCAAGGCGAGCAGAGCTTGATTTCCCCATGGCTGAGTCGCCGTCTGCAAGGGCTGTGGTGGGAAAAGGGCTGCTTGGGACTAATCACACAACCCTTGAGGTTATGACAGACTCAAAGAGACCTGTTGTTGTGTTTGGCGATGATTTGGACGATCCCAAGGGAGTGGCCATCCTGAGAGGTGAAAGGGTGAGGGAAGGGGCCACGAAAGTGAGCCCAAGTAGCAGATGGAAGCGGCTTGTGAAAGCGGTGATGCATCGTCAAACGGTGCCGTCTTGATGTGGCTATGGGCTAACAGACGCATGACATTGGCAGGTCAATGGCAGGCATAAGCCAACAAGGAGACATGTATAGTTGTACTATTATTGTATGTTGTATGGTTTGAGTTCCATGCTAGCACATCCTATTTTATGTACTTAACTGCAAATTTTGCTATGCTAATTGTTCTGTCTGGTGGGTTTGAGTCCGCTACGTCAATCATCCGGCCCACTCAATAATTCGCTACAATAACACCACCCACTTGAGATAAGGAGGTTGTGGTGAAAATCCATCGGGGCCTCTGACGTGGAGGGTGACAGTCAAAGTCGCCACATGGAAAGAAACGAGAGGCTTGGGGGGATTGAGATTGTTGACGGTGGGCCGGGTTAGGCGGCGAGGAGACGGGGTCTACTTGGGACACGAAGGCCATAAAACGTGGGGTTGAAGCTGACCGCAAATGCACCTCAACCTGCTGGGAACGTTGCTTTGAACCCCTTACAGTAAAATTTCCCACACTGCTCAGTTGGGAATCACGCGTGCGCGACGGATGCCAACTGCGAGGGCAATTGTAAAACATAAATTGCCCTGACAACCGAATCCAATCCCAATTTCCCCGACACGAGCGCATCTTGGGTTGTGGTGTGGAGTCGGGATGAATCGAACAAAAATCATCCACCAGAGAATCCCATGGGTCTCAAAAATCTGTTGCTCTCTCACCATTCACCACCCTCCCACCACATCCTCCCGCGTCAGCCAGTCCTTACACCAAGGATGAGCTGTCGCATCCTACTTCAGTTCGCTTCCTCATCCTCAACCTCTGGCTTGGATTGGTTGGAACCCTTTTTGCGAGTTTACATTACACTGCTGGGGAAGGGAACACACCAGACAAACAAATTGACCTGACCAACCACCAATCTTTATCCAAGCTGCCTTCGCCAACTGTGAGTTCCAAACTCCACCACTTCAGCTGCCTTTGCAGCCTTCCTCTCTCGCGATTTACGGGCTCGCGGCAGGTTTCCCGTATTCCATTATTTCATTCCGAAGCAAAGCTCGAAGAACGATTTCAAGGTAATTTCAAATGGCGGAACAAGCTCCCTCTGCGAACTGCGCGCGAGAACCAGCCGCAGCTGATGCTGCCGACCCTTCATCGCATCAGCATTCGTCGCACAAACATTCGTCGCACAAGTCATCGCAGAAAGAAATTCTCTCCGAGCTCCTCTCCATCGCCGACATTACCGTTTCTTCGCACAAGTCGTCGTCGTCGACGTCGACGCACCACCATTCCCGTCGCCATGCGACGACCGTCGTCGACCCAATGCACCTCAAGACGGCGTCGCAGCACCTGAAGGCTGCGCGACAGCAGCAGATAGTGGACTCAGACGCCTCGGATTCTGCGACGGGATCTTCTCCCCCGAAGCAAAAGTTTCGCAATCGGATTGCCGCGAGTACAAACGCGAACGCGACGCTGGACAGCTTCTTGACGACGGCGGGCGACAACTCGCAGAGTGGTAACCAGGCCGATGGCGAGAGCTCCACTTCGGTTAACGCGAATGGAGACAACGGGGTAACAAATGTTTCGGGGGTAGAAGAGATGATGTTTCCTTCTTATTCCGACCATGCGAAACCGGATCAAGTCGCCGAGGCTGTCGCAGACGTCGCAGGGCTGAACATTAAGGACGCGGCAAGCTCAGCGACAAGCGAAAACGACGCGCCGAAAGTGGGAACCAGCGAGAAGAGCGAGATGAGAAAAAGTAACAGCGTGAGCGCCTTGGAAAATGCGGAGAAGAAGCCTCCGCCGCGAGGTTCGGTGAATGTCGAAACGTCGGAGGTTCTCGCTGCGATGCGCGTCTGGGGTGCGAACAGAGGGGCGGCGAACGCGGCGGGGAATGCGGACTCGGCGTTTGTGGCGCCATATCAAGGTAGCAGTTACAGCAGCTACGTCGACGACCACAAAACTTCGCCGAGGGTTTCGTTGGAGGGTCGTGTTCGCGAAGAGCCAGCGAAGTTGGAACGATCGCGATCGAAGAGTTACCCCGAGTTGGCAGAGCTGGCGAAATCGGCAGCTGTGCCGAAGATCAAACCGCTCGGCGGAATGCGGTCCGGGGAGAAATCAGGGGGAAATGCCGCGGTTATGGATAAGCTCGGAGTTGGTCAACAGGATGCGGAATATGCAGGTAGGCCTCAACAATGTAGCTACATAGAGAAAAGTTGTAACACGATAACAAACATACATTACGTAGAACGTTTAACCCTGCCCCTAACGTCTTTTTCGCCCCATTTCGGTTTTTCTCCCCTCTGTTCAACTGCTCGATTTTCTGCTAAAGTCATCTCGTTTCTCATCGTCATCCTCCCCATGCCCATGCCAATGGCCATGCCCATGCCAATGGCCATGCCCATGCCCATGCCCATGCCCATGTCCTTGCTCCCATCTTCGTGCTGCGCATGCCCATGCCCATGTTCTTGCCCCCATGGCCGTGCCACTGCGCATGCCCATGCCCATGCCCATGCCCATGCCATGCCCACGCTCAAGCTCATGCTCATGCCCGCCGCCCCTCCCTTCCCCTGCTTCTCCTCCATTCTTGTTGCAAGTTGAAACTGCTGACCACCAGTAATGTCATCCAATTGTTGCTCCTAACCGGATGGTTGGTAACATGTGTTTGGTTGTAACAGATACGGAGTATTTCGGCTGGCTCTTGTCGGGAGGGTCTAAGTTTGCCAAGCCTGCGAGCACGAGGCAAGGTCAGGAGCAACCTCCGAGCCAGTAGCCAAACCTGGGCCTTGTAATGACCCTCATCCTCTGCCTTGTGTGAACTGTACCGCTGCATTTGTCGCTGTGTGCGTGATTCCATTATCACTGTACGACAATGGGAACAAGCATGCGTGAAATCTCATATGTATAGATCCTGGAAGTGAGGTACACCCCATACACTGTACACTATATCCAGTATGCAGCTTCTTTTTGCCTGTTGTGTGTAGTTCGTTCAACTCCATCTCTTCCTCAAGCTCTTCCCCTGTTTTCTTCGTCCGTTCCCTGCAAGCAGATCCGGAAGATCAATGCCAAGAGCCGGTTAGTCCTAGCAGCATTCAGAATGTGGGAATCAGCCTTGCAGGTGTTGGAGAAGTTTCTAAGGAGGATCCAACAAGACCAACCTCGGTTATCACATGCACCGAATCTAGACTCATGCCTGACACCGAATTCCGAAATGGCAACCTTGTTCAACCCCCCCTCTGCATCATCCACCTTCTGCCAAGATAGAAGTAGAGCTGAAAATAGCGATGCCGGCGGCAGCAGCGGCAACAGCAAAGTTCATTCAGGGAAAGACAACCCCGTTTCGCTTCAAAAGTCTGGCTCCAAAGCCTTTCTGAGAGCAAATGGGAATGGATGGTTCTCGTCGCCTCTTTCCAAATCTAGGCGAAGAAGCATCAGTGGCAGCAGCAGCAGCATCATTCACCAGTCAAGCTCCTTTGCGAACGGTAACCATGCTGAAGCAGCAAAGAGGAGAAGCAGTTTGGATGAAACGGATCGGCTGAGAGAGGAGGTGTGTGCAGGGAACATTGTGGCAGCCTGTCCTGCTGCGGATGCGGCTGTAGCTGTTGTAGCTGGAGGGGAAGCTGTGGTGGAGAGAGATGCAGATGCAGCGATGCAGCCTGATTTTGCAGGGACAGATGAGTCGGTTAGAAAGGAAGAGACCGCAAAGAGTGAGGATGTGGTTTCATCGAAACGGAAATTTGTTTTGTGGGGATTGCTCCGTAGGAGGTTGACAGCCCTTTAGGCTCCTTTGTCATGCTTGAGTGCAAGAACACAAAACAGTCTTAGCTAGTGTATGCTTGGTTTGAATTGAATCAATATTGACTGAACGCCTGTTTACTGTTGTTCTGCACAAATTTACACCAGCCATACAGTCACAAATTGGCTTATCCGTGAAGCTAAAATTGTGTACATCGGAGCCGCCAAAGTGCGCGGGAAACTGACCTCCGCCGTCGATTACGACGACAATCTCTAGGCTCGCCGAGGGAAAGGTGAGCAGCAGCATACATCGAGGCATGCAATGGAGGTGTTCAACATTGACTGACTGACTGACTGACTGAACCAGCATGACAATCCACGACACGAGAGACATCAAATGTCAGTTTTCAGGGCTGGCTGAAGCTGGTCTGGACAATTCCAGACGGTTTTCCGTAGAGGCGGTCTCGCATCGCAAGCAGAGAGACAAGGAGGTCCCTGAATGCCAGGCTGGATGATGGCAGGATAGGGAGTAAAGAGGCGCTGTGTTGGTGGTGTGTGTTGCTACGGCGAAGCTTTCATCGTATCAGTTGCGTTGCTCTTCCAATTCGTGTATCCGTCGTAGAATTTGCAGGCTTTGCTCCTTAGAGCAGGAAAACCTGTAGCTTCTTTTTTTCCGTCAATATTTGACGGACCTGCGTCTCCTCGTTTAGCGATGGATGCGGTTCAGGGAGAAGCGAGTACGGCGAGGCGAGGGGAAGAGAACACACAGAAGCGAAGCAAGCACCAAGGAGACGAGAAGCGATCTAGCTTGGGAAACGATTCAGCAAGGACGATGAAGCGGACGGGGAGGAGGACCAAAGGACGGGAAACCACGAGCACGAAGAAAAAGAAGATTATTCTGCAGCTGCGACAGTGGGTGACGTGTGACAAGCTCTATGACTTTTTCTTCACAATTCTGTATTCTTCTTCTTGACGACTCGCATAGTATAATACCCTTAATCAAGGTCAAGGATTCGTCGTTCTCCTTAACGATTGTGCTCACGTCCAGCGTAAAGTGATTCCTTAACGACCTGTCTCCTAGAACTTCTGAGTCGATTTAACAGTCGTTCCACTCAAGGTGACTTCTTAATCACCCGGATCGCTTTATTACCCCGTCTCTCACAGCGTTATTGTCTGCGTCCGAGGCGTCTGAAAAGTCTGTTACCACCTGCTGCTTTCCTCCGTTCTGCTCCAGGTACCAGCAGGAGGTTCTTCAGGTGGCTCTGGAGCGCAACACTATTGTCTACCTGGAGAC